CCCTAGGTTGGCTCAGCCTTAAAATTAGTACCTGATGCGGTGGTGTGTACACATCAGCACCGGGGAGACGAAGGCGGGCAGGCGTCGTGCTGGCCACACCACTCGCTTGTTCACCTTGTCATCTGCTCATGAAGCAGCACTTGCCCCGATATTCAATATAGGGGCTACATTGGAGATCTATTTGTGCAATCTTCCACTCACTCACCGCCGTTCCAACTCTTCAGCCGCTCAGATATTCCTGACATCCTCACTCATCGCGAGTTGCCACACACAGCCCACCCTGTTGACTCCCACGTCCGTGGGATTCGATCCCAACACGGAAACGAGCATAGTAATACATCGTAACCACGAGCAGCTGTAATCATTCAGACTCTCACTCATTAACAATGGGTTTGATTGCAGGTGGGGGGGGGGGGGGATAATGATTTTTTTAAAATATAATAATTCTCAAAAACACTGCCCAGGATATGCAATACTTTTTCAAAGGCCTTCACAAAGTCTTTTCAATATCTGACAAAGTGAAAAACCTTGCCTGAAACAGTGCAGGATTGTTAAGACTTTCACTAAAAAAACTCCTCCAAGCCCCTTTGGTATTCCTCTCGGAGCACATTCAACTTCGGCGACCCGCAATTACCGAGCCATCTTCAAAAAAATCAAACGCTGAATTCCCCCTAACCCTTCGGCTTCTCAACGTCTCTCACCTTAAACAAAAAAATATAATTTGCGCAGCACCGCGGTTTTTTTTACGCTCCGTCCTTTTAAATAAATTTTAATATAAATAAGAAAAACCGCACGCGACCCGGAGAGAGCGCGTGGTCAGAGACGTTCTAATCTTCGGTTCGCGCGGTCACCGGGTGCTGAATCTGGCACGACAGTGGTCGCACTGAGCCACGTGTCTCCCCCCCCCCTACCAAAATCAGCCTCCGCCAAAACAAACCGCGTGCCCTCTCTCTCCCTCTCTCTCCGGACCGCGCCCACGATGGCACCGGGTGTGACAGAGAAAGAGAGAGGGTGCTTCAGCCTTACAGCCCCCTGATTCTTATAATCACACGTGCCATACCCCCCCCCCCCCCCCCCCACGTCTCCACTGTTTTTTCCCGAATTCAATCCGTGGGGATTGCTGCCACGGTCGGTGTGAAGGTGAAGCGCGCGGGACTCGCCATCCAGAGGTCGACCGTCCGAGTCGTTCTGCCGGCGCGGCTTGTGGATACGATGCCTCTAGTTTGTAAAAAATTCCCCTCCCAGGCCACGCGTCCTCGCAGAAAGCACACATGTGTGAATGTTGGGGCTGTGGATGTATTGTAAATCGTCATTTGAGAGGCGCAAATTCATGCTCGGATTGTGCTTAAAGCATGTCCAATGCGCATTGCCATTTCATCCCCCTTGGACATCGCTCCTCCGCACTCCCACTTCTTCCAAGAGATTTGAACATTGTGGAAGAGTAGCCCGCAACAAATACCATTGGAGAAGTTGCTCTCTCGAGCTAAACTCGAGCGGAGGCCCGTGTGCCGGCAGCGACGTGAGCAAGGCACATTCAGGGCTGCACCTTTACCATCACCAATGTAACCCTACCGGTAACGGCGGGATGGAAATACGGGACATCTGTATGTATGTTGAACTTCTTTCGCACCGTACGTAGCCAACCGTGCTAATCGGAGGTGACAACGATTGTGATAACAGTGATACGGATCTTTCTGATGATGATGATGATGATGTTGGCGCAGACAACAACGATGATGGTATTGATGAAACTGATCAATGTGCTTCGGCACAAAAGAAACACAAAACAGCAGTTTTAACGAATTTCGTTTCAATCTAGATTTCAAAGTGCATAGCTCCAGAGGCTTCCCAATACCGGACGAAAGAGCGTTCCAGACGGCAGCAGAAGCACATGTGCAAACGTGACTCTGTGCGGGGAACCTTTGGCGAATGCGCGATCGCATTGTGCGCTCGCCGGCTAGCGCGCGCGCGCGTGCGCCCGTGCGTGTGTGTGGTTCATGAAAATCTATCTCGGTTTTTTTTCTTCTTTATTTTTTTTGCAAGCGAGGAGCTTGTTTGTCGGGTGCCAGGCATTACGGCCGGCGCGTGTCGTATCGCAAAGGCTCTATAAATTCTTCGGCTCGGCTGCACCTTGGGATAATGAGGTCACAACACTCGGCTAGGTTTAACGCCACCTGCGCTCGCTCACCCGAGCAATTAATTGAGACTGAAAATGAAGCTCATAATTTGCCAAGCAGCAAAATATATATTTTTTCTGTCTTTCTTTCTTTCGTTCTGAGAAGGTCCTTCCTATGCGTGGGTGGGGTGGATTGGTGGGTGGTTGGGTGTAGACTGAATCCCCGAGGCAAGAGAAATGCGCAGTGCGTGGTGCGTGCGCGTGCACAAACGTGCATCTGAGTTACAAAAATAGACAAAAAATAAAACCTTCACTTTGGCACCGTGATCACGAGATCGGGGCGTGACAGGTTGAATTCCAGCTTTCGCTCGTAACAATCCATTGCCCCCCCGATGTCGAAAGGCTGCGGAGTGCCCAGTTATAACATTATCCATCAGGTGCGAGTCACGGGTCATTAAGATGCTTTGATTTGAGACATCTTTCTTGCTTTATCGCACTTAGCCGGCGGTTTGCCCTGCCAGGACATTCGGCTCACGGCGTCGCCTTTCCTCGGCGAGAGAAGCACTGCTCTTGTATCCTCCCCCCACCCTCCACCGACTCGTTAGCGTCCCAGCATGCGGCTGAGAGAATACGAGTCACGTGCTGCAAGTCGAAATCCCGGATTTGGGGATAATCCACTCCTTCCCCTCGAGGTGTTCACGTAGGGCAGATGAGAGCCCTGGACATTGGTATTTCATTGATAATTGGCAGAGGAAACACTTTGCCATCTTCTTGGTTCTTTCGGTAAAGTCACGTAGAAGGGAAGTAATAAAATAATAAAAATAAAACATAATAAAATATTATATTATATTATTTTATTATGTTTTATTATTTTTATTATTTTATTACTTCCCTTCTACGTGACTTTACCGAAAGAACCAAGAAGATGAATCCCTGCAGTCACGAAAGCTTTAAATCGACACTTTGCCATGTTTGTCTTTTTTTTAATGACTACGGTTAATGTAGTGCACCGTTTAACATGCTTGAAAGTTCAGGACCGCCACCCCCGTTGGGAGGTTTCTAAATCCACCTTTTAATGAAACACGTTTTTCAAAAGTGTTTCAGTATGACTGGCTCCTCCCTGTCGCGTGACCTTAATGTGCACGTACAGCCCCTTTTGGGTCAATAAAGTGCAGGGTGAGGGCCAAACAACGGCTCCGATCCGCTTGGCAAGCCATTATTTAACTACACTTCGCCACGCTGGTCAGCGCGGGTTGGTGAAGGCGGGGAGCATTGAGGTACAGCACAACATTTGCTGCGCAGCCGTCTGCTGGCGACGGCATAGCAAGCTGTGTGTACGCGGTGGTCCCCGTTGCAAAGCGCTATCCAGGCTCATGACTGCTTGCTTAGCTTCTAAGATCGGACAATATTTGGTCATCACCTCCGATTAGCGTACGGCGCGAAAGAAGTTCAACACACATACATCACCAGTGCAAAACTCTAAAAATCAGCCCTACTCAACGCAACAAAATCCATGGTTATGAACGTGGAAGCCAATTCTCGCAACACCGCCCACTCGCTACCAACCACGTGTGCGCCGGCGTGCCGCTCCAAATCTCCCAAATATGGAAATAACTCACGATACCGCTCAATTAGGAAAAACATCGCAGAGCGACATTGCCCACCTGCCGCTAATTGTAGGCGCACTCTTAGATCCGTGGCTGCATCTGTCTCACGCCGCGCAGGCCACGGGGGAAGGGGGAGCGAGCGGGGCGGGGAGGGCGGTCCCCTTGGCTAGACGGCAGCAAGCAAGTCATCGGAATCGTCGAGATGGACATCGTGATGCGATGTCGCGTTCGTTCGACGCGTCGAGACACCGAGGCGGAGCGTGCTGGCGGCTCTCACTCGCCCCGTGCTGGTGGCGGGCGAGCGACTCGCGTGCCTCCCCCCCCCCCACACCGAACCGTCCGTCACAGCGAGGCCCCGCGGGCAGAAACAAAAGGCCGGGGCGATGGTCCAGTCCCGGTGGAGAGGTCGGATCGGTGCCTCTTGGGTGGTAGTTGAAGGGTGCAACGTGGGGGGAGGGGGCACGATTGCTAAACCCGTGGGCAGGCGCCAGAAATAACACTGGTCAATTTAAAAAAAAAACATTTTTTTCTCGCCTGGACTTTTGCAGCTGTTATAGACTTATTTCAGGGTGCTGATTCCAAATCTGATCTCAGATTTGCTCTATCACATCTCATTTTTATGCTATCGGCATACGCCATTTTCATTGATTTTACCCGAAATTAACTCTGTCACTTATGATTGCACGTTGTTGCGAGTAGTGACTGCTTTAGTGTTAAAATATGGTGCTGTATTTTTAGGATTAGTGTTTTTATAATATCATTTTATGTAGATATCCACATTAATTTCATATTTTTCTTCTGCAGTTTGTATTGAAAATTAAATATTTGATATCTCAAAAACCTGATGTGATAGACAAAAACTGATGCCAGATTTAGAATCAGCACCCCCAAATTACCTTAAACCCGTTGGAATATCTTATGCCAGAAAAAGTGTGGTGACCAGTGTAATGTATCTTGCTTTGTGCTCCATTCTCCTCTTCTCGGTCCTTTCCAAATGCGGCCGTTATCGCCTATGCGTGTTTGTTGTTGTTTGTTGTTGTTTGTTGTTGTTATCGTTGTTGTTATATTTCGGTATTATTCTCGGACGCAGGGTTGGTTGCTGTTATGGTTATACATTTGATCGTGATTGCTGCGTTGTAATTAATATTTTTTTTGTTATCGCTGCGCTTTCGTTTTAATAACGCTCACAAACGCACACACGCACGCACGCACGCGCGCATACACCCGTACCTACCTACATACACGCCGCGCACGCATACACACGTACGTGCGTCTAGATGCCGAAGATCCCGGGCCGTCCGACTTCCTGGAGATTGTCGTCGCTCCGAGGAACATGAGCGTCGTCGCAGGAGCTGGTGAAGTGTCACTCGAGTGTGTTCCCTACGCACGGTGAGCCGAGCACCACCCCGTAGATTGACTGGTCACGTGTTCGTTCGTTCGTTTGTCTGTTTGTTTCCATACTCCCTATCCCCGGGGTCACGTGGTTCAGAAGTCAGAGTGCTGAGCCCAGCACCGCTGAGATGCTGGGATCAAATCTATAACTCAGCCGCCGGTGATTGCTAGCGGGTTCTGAAGATGCATTGATTTTAATGATGGTCATCACGTTCATTTTGGTACACAACTCGCTGGGTGTTGCTGTCCTGTCAAACAATGTTCTCATTTTTAAAATTATTCAAAGTTAATTTTTTATTTTACCGGGTAAGGCCCACTGAGCTCCATAGCTCTTTTGCAGAAGCGACCTGGCCACAAGTGATATCCCAACGAAGTGGATTATCACGTAGCAATATATAACAGCCAATACTATAAGCACATATTTCTAAATGTGGAGAAAAAAACTTTAGGACTCAGGAGAGAGAAAAAAACACGCAACCACGGGGAGAGGGACATGCAAACTCCAAATATGCAGGTCTCAGGGTCGGGATCGAACCCATGACCTCCTGCATACCTGGCGAGATAGTTAACATCTCGCTCCGCGACACCATGCCGAGGGAGTAGGAAATCGCTGCGCCCATACTGTGTGGAACAGAGGTCACATGAATATATTTCAGAGGTAGCCCTGCAATACCCGCTGACACGGGCCGCTCTCTCACACAGGATGGCATTGCTCTACGAGATGTCTTACTGGGCACTCGTGGCATGACCATCTGTAAGCACAGCGGGGAAGTATGATCAACAAACCCCCGTAACCGACACGGCATAGGCATAGGGGACCTTTATCCACCAGTGGATTGATGAAGGAGCTGTAAATTGTCTACATCTGTTTTCCCACTCAAACAAATCCCCCTCTTTTTTTCCCTACAAACTAAGGACGGGCGGTGACGTCGTTAGTTGCTGTCAAAAATGAAGGAGAGAGCCCAGATTTCGATTTAAAGCTTTCGTGACTGCAGGGATTCATCTTCTTGGTTCTTTTGGAAAAGTCACGTAGAAGGTAAATAATAAAATAATAAAAATAAAACATAATAAAATTATTCTCACGACGCTTCGGCCACAACGCAAGCAGCCTCAGGTGAAGAACAGGTCTGTCGGATTCAGATGCTGTCTTTCCGACAGACCTGTTCTTCACCTGTCTTTCTGACAGACTTGTTCTTCACCTGAGGACGGCTGCTTGCATTGTGGCCGAAACGTCGTGAGAATTATTTTATCATGTTTTATTTTTATTATTTTATTATTTCCCTTCTACGTGACTTTACCGAAAGAATCAAGAAGAAGAGAGCCCTGATTCTCAGCGATCGGTGCGCAGAGTCCCGCGAGCCCCCGAATCGCCATGGCTGTCCGTAAATTCCGTTAAACATCCTCAGTTGCAGTTTCAGTCTCCTTCACGAGAATAACCCCCCCCCCCCCGCGGCTTCGTAAACTCCGAGCTCTGCATTCACAAACCACGACGGGGGGGGGGGGGAGTCTGAAATCCTGCCGCCGGTTCGAATGTGCTATGGAGGTTGGGGGGGTGGGGTGTCCCACGCTCGTGCTACTAATTAAAATCCATCTTCCCTATCGTTTCGTGTCTAGGGTTCTCGCCTGATGATGGCGAGACCCATCCGCTGCGCCGTGCGATTGTTACGTCTGCTAACGCTGGGCCGGTCGGCCGCCGCCAAATGAATAGTAATGAATAGGAACGCCCCCCCCCCTCTATTATTTATTCGCAACTGGCGCGCCGCTTCAAGACAGTGCTGGAGTGCGTAACATCTTCTATGCTGCGGCCAGCCCGCAAAAAATAAAGACGCACCACGGTAATAGTCATTAAATATGCATGCAAACCATCTCCGCTCATTAAATTATTTCAACATTTTACACGAATGCGATTTTTTTAACGCTTTGTCAAATGCCTGCGAAAAATCATGTCAGCATCGTGGGGGGTGGGGGGGGGAGGACCCCCCTTTTTTTTCTCCTAGCCAACGGGAAGGCACCATATGGGCAACGGGCGTCACTCTAATTGCTTGCCAGAAACTCTTGACATCAAAAATGCATGCGCCTGGGTATTTCTCTCGGCGGCGGAGGCGGTAATCTCCTAGAAAGCGCTCGCGCGCCCTTAAATCTTTTCGCCGTTGACTTCTCTCCCGTCGAGAAGAAATTCTCGGATCTGGCGACCGAGAGGATGAGAACGGCGCGCGCCGAGGCTAATGGACTCGCGCGATCGAGTCGGCCCTCGTTACCGTGAGCTGTCGTGCGATCTGATCATGTGATTACGCGGGAGAGCGAATTGTTTTATTTATTTCATGTACGTTTTTATTGATTTTCTGTTTAGATTTTTCTTTGGTGGGGTGGGGTGGGAGGGGTGGAGGAAGGGGGGGGGGGGGTGTACGGGTTTTTCGCGGGGCAAGTGGAGGAGAGACAGGAGCTTTGCGGTGAGCTCCCAGTGTCTCACCCTGGGCTCTGCGTCCCTCGGATCTCCGCCGACGTTTGGCAACATTGAATGCGCGCCCGTTCACAAAACGTCGGGGGCAAATACTGCGATTCGACACGCTGCGTTTTGCGACGCTGGATGTCAGTCGCGAATGATATCTGAACCGATACGGGAGCGACGCCTCTTCGCCAACCAGTACCGACCGCAGCGTGGTGAAATGTGGCCAAACTTTCGTGTAGCGGTTGATTGACAAGGGGAAATGTTTAATGTATTCTTGTTTGTATGACAATAACCACCTCACACGACCTGGGGACAGTCAATCAGCGCGTCGCTTGCGGCGAGGTAAAGCGTGCATACTCCCACCTCTTCCAAGGCGTCTGATCAGCATGGAAGAGTAGGCAAAACATATCCTCCAGCGGGGCCCTCTCTGAAGCTCCCTTCAGCAGGGAAGCCCTTCTGCCAGCAGTGTCGTGAGCGAGCAGTTGCGGGGCTGCACCTTTAACCTTTTAAATTCTTTTTTTTTTTACTCGCCCCAATCCCTCTGTGTGCCCCCTTTCGCCGGCCGTCAACCACCAGGCCACTGGAGCGAGTGACCGTCACGTGGAGACACAACAGTGGCCCCGCCATCACGTCCGGCGTCGGCGATTTCGGCCGCCGCCTCACCGTGACGTCCCCGTCCGCGGCCGACGCGGGCCGCTACGACTGCGAGGTGACGCTGGGCCCGAGGGGCCCTGCGTCCTCCGGCGGCGCCGGCGCGGCGTCCGGAGTGGCCGCGGCGCACCCTGTGGTCCGCTCGGCCTACCTTACCGTGCTCGGTGAGTCTCGCGGCTTGCCACCTGTCCTGGTTTTCCCAGGGTTCTAGATTTGAAGCTTTCGTGACTGCAAGAATTGATATTCTTAGGTTTTTTTCGGTAAAGTCACGTAGGTAAAAAATTAAAATTAATAAAAGTTAAAAAAATCACGACGTTTCGGAGGCAACACAAGCCTCCGTCTTCAGGTGGAACCGTCACAGCACGATAGCTGTATCATTACTTGATACAGCTATCGTGCTGTGACGGTATCATTACTTGATACAGCTATCGTGCTGTGACGGTTCCACCTGAAGACGGAAGCTTGTGTTGCCTCCGAAACGTCGTGATTTTATTTTATTTTTATTTTACTTTTATTAATTTTAAGTTTTTTACCTACGTGACTTTACCGAAAAAACCTAAGAATATTCCCCAGGATTGTTCACTCCTCTGCTTTGAGGAAGGGCCATTGACCGAAATGTCACCGATTACTGACTTTCTCCTCTTTCATCATCATCATCATCATCGATCGGCCATGGTCAATCCACTGCTGGATGAAGACCTCGCAAAGCTGCCCCCACAACCACCTCTCACGATCGTGCGATGTAATACTTCGCGGAGCACCTGCGCACGAATTCATGTTAACGTCGCTCATCCCCTCGGTGGATGCCCTCTTGGACGCATGCCATGCCTTGGCTACCACTCTGCTATTATTTTAGACCATTCCTCTTCAGGGCTGCCTTATTCACCAATGCGTTGATTATTTGTTCTGTGTGTTTCTGATCCACTGCCAGTCCAGTATCACTAAACAATGTTGCTTGTAATGAAGCTATCCCGGGAAATCTGTAAGTCTTCCCTGGACATTAAACAGGACCTGCGGCAAGGGTTTTTTCAAGCACCTAGTAAGACCGGCATGGAGTGCAAGGTAGTGGATGTGCATCACCACGCCCGGCCACCTTTGTCTCCCCAATGCTGAAGTTTACACACCTCTCCATATACTCATTTGAGGCTGAGTCGACGTAGGGGAGGACCCAGACCAGTTCAGATAATCGTCACTGGTGTTGACCGTGAGCCGGAATCGAACTTGGATTGTCGGGTTTGTAGCGCGGCTCACTAACCGCTTACACTACCACGGACACACACGGACACACACTGATACACACAAGTAGACAGATGAACGCACGGTTAGACACTCATTTTATGTATAGGACTAAGAGTCTCATAGACTGCAGATGATGGTGACAGAGCCATCTTGGAGGGGAGGTGCAAACAGCACATTTGGCAAGGCCCCAAAACTCCAGAGGGGTTTCAGGAAGAAAAAAAACCATTACATTCTTTATTATTAATTGGTTTAATATGAACAATAAAACAATTCTATGTTAATTAATTGCTGTTTTATTGGCTTGTTTAATTTCATCCTCCAGTTCTCCCTATTGGATGTAGATTAACCCTCCCACATTGCACTCACGCTCAACTAGCCCAGGTGCCCCTGCGGCTAAGAGATCGAAATCTAGCCCTGGAGGACAGTGGTGGTGATGATTGTAGAAGTAGTGATGGTGTTGGTGGTAGTGGTGGTTGAAATGATAATGATAGTAGTGATGGTGGTGGTGATGATGGGGGTTTTGATCATGGCAATGATGTTGATGGTTGTGTTGATGATAGGAATAATGATGATCGTGGTGATGATTATGGTAGCAGCTGTTGTGATGATGGTGGTGGTGATGGTGGTGGTCATGATGATGCTGTTCATAGTCGTGTAAATGTTGATGGCAGTGGTGGTGATGGAAATAATAATGATGACGATAATAATGACCATTGCAGTCGTGATTTTAGTAGTAATGTGTTGGTGGTAGGAATGATTATGGTGGACATGATGATGATGAATGGATGATAATAATGATGATGGTGGTAGTGCCGGTCATGACAACAGGAGTTGTAATGTTGCGGATGGTAATGATGGTGGCGTTGATGAAGACGACGACGATGATGCTGGTGGTGGTGGCGATAATGATGGTGGCGGTGGTAATGGTGGTGGTGATAACGATAACTGCGGTGGTAAATGATGGTGGCGGCGATGATGGCGGCGGTGTGGCAATAAAGGCGGTGGTTATAATTACGCTCACGCATCTAACCGCGATATAAAAAAAAATAGAAATTATCGCACTTCGAAATCAATGTCGCTTTTGAAGAACTCTATCGATGTGGAAACGGCATTGTCTAAGTTCTGTTTCATCGCAGCGCTGCCCGTTAATGGGACACTCTGGATCTGTAACCATTTTTATTGCCCTTCCCTAATTTGGATTCCATTTGCGTCTCCCACTAACGCAGCGTGCGCCCAGAGCGCAAGGTGTGCTCGTCGCCGCCGACAGAAAATGTATCCACTTCACGTATTCATAGACAGACAAAACAAACATCGCATCGCTCACAAATCAGACACTCTACTGCACAATACCAAGCTGCTTCCACCCCGTGGTGAACTGTTCCCATCAACTGTGCGCATTTATTAATTCGCCCGTATCAAGGAGTCCAGACTGCTAGACTGTGTACAAGCACCGACAGGACTACGCTGCAGTTTACAACAATGTACTCGCCGACCCGCACACACCCACTGACTCCCCCCGCTCCCAACACACTCACCCACTCATCACGCTGCAGGTCACCTCACTTCCCTGTTTAGCCTCTTCCCTCGCCCTGCTCCACTTTGAAGTTCTCTCCTGCCATCGTCGTCTCTTTCCCCAAGTATTTATAACGCTTCTCAATCCAAGCGACGTACGAACTTTGATCTATTGCCACTTGACGTGTGCTGTTTTGTGCTGGCTGCTTGGAATGTTGGGCCCTTGGGCTCCTGCGCTGGACAACTGTGATCTGATATAAGCAAGGGAGCAGCCACCTCTACTCCACGGCGTAAGCAGGGCAAAGGCGTTACGTGTACGCCATGAGCCCTAGTCCAAGGATTTACTCTGCCATACTGGCAGTATTTTTTTAAACAGGTCGGAGTATCCCACACTTTTCCCCGCCACGCGCGGATGTACCCCCACTTATACGGCCGGGGTGGACAGAGGTGTGGACGATTTAAGAAACTCGCCACCCTCGTTTCAACAACTGCCGCGCCTGGGATACCGAATCGAACCGGCGACGACCTCTGGGTTGCAAGTCCTGGCCGCGCTGCCCGTTACACCGTGCTGTGGCGAGACGGTGATCGCGACACCGTCGTAGATTCGTCTCCTCTCCGTCGCCAACTCAGGGATGTCTCCAGCTCTCACTGCCTTGTGAATCACGTGCGCTTGAGTCGCAACGCCAAAAGTGTGCGTAAACGGCTTCATTAATTCACGTCAGGTGTTCGCCAACAACATAACGGAAAAAAAAGATCGCTAACGACGCTGTCTCGGAGAAAGGAGAATTACGCACCACCCCTCCCTCCAACCCTACCGGCGTAAATCGAGCTCTCGCACGACATCACAGGTGTCACACCCCCAGCCACCAACGCCGGCCACCAACGATTGTGAATTTACGGCGGCGCGTCTGGAATTCTGCACGCTCTAATTTACGAGAGAGACGAAGCTGTTGGAAGTTATGTCACGAATTTTGAACCGGGGGGGGGGGGGGGAGGGAAACCCCAATTGGATTCTTGGAGGCTGGTGGGGTGGTGGTGGTGGCGGTGGGGGTGGCATTGGATGGTCGGAGGAAGGGGGGGGGGGTGGATAGATGATGATGACGATGAAGAAGACGACGAGGAAGAAGGGAAAAAGGTGAAAGTTTGTTGACGAACTGGCCGTCTGCCAGCGAGGAGGACAAGCTGTCCTCCCGCTACGCGCGCACGCCGCTGTCTGCGCGTCGAGCGAGCGGAGTTCCACTCTCGCTCCGCACAGCTGTACGCGGGCTGTCAGTATTCCACGAGGAAGGAGCGGATTTAATTACTTTAATCAAACTGAGATGCTCTCAGGGGTAATTTAGAGGCCGTCAGCGCACGCCTCGTCGCTCGATTGCCCCAACACACTAAACAAATTTGCATTTTAATTCGGCCGCCGCGCTACCGAATCTACAAGGAGTGGGGGGGGGGGTGGGGGGGGGGAGACAGGCGGCAATGACGTGGGGGGGGGGTGGACGCTGTGGCTGGTTATCTGAAGTCGCGCGCGGCGCCAGCCCCGCTTGTCAACAGGGGGACAAGGCCGGGGAATTAGCGACGTTGCGACGACAAAAAAAAATGTAAAAACACAAAAATTATTTTTGCGAAAGGGGAGGATGGGAAAGGAAGAAAGTGCGGTGGGTGTGAGTGTAAGAGACAGAGATGCGTGAAAGCCAATTTGTGCTCGTTATTTTGCTCGCGCCGAGCCAGTGAGCTGCACGCGTGGTTCAGTCACGGAACATCACAGCCCCGGAGCTGAGGCTCGAGGATATCTCCACAGACATCCCCCCCACCCACCTTAGCACAGTCGCATTATAGCGACGTCAACAGCATTGCACGCGCCGTATATTGAGTTGCTTTTCAATTGTGTTATTCTTTTAACGACGCGGTTGTTATTGTTGTTATTGTCCATCATAGCAAGCAATTGGGAGCATGAAAGCGACAAAAAAGGGAGGTTGATGGATTCGGCAATTCACATGGAAATCGCGACTCGTGATGGAGATAGAATCTTCACATTTTAGAAATTTGCGGAGGAATTTTTTGTCGGCGGCAATGATGCGTTCGCTTTATTGCGTTGGGAATGCCATGCAGCAGTTTCCCTCGAAGGAAAATTAACGGGCAAAAAAAACTGGACACATCTTGACACATTGCAAGGGACAAGATATGTGTATGTGTACGTGTGTGGGGAGCGGTGGGGCAGTGGTTAGCGTGCTGCGCTATGAACCCGGCGACCCGGGTTCGATTCCTGCTCACGGCAAACACCAGTAACGATTATCTGAACCGGTCCTGGGCCTCCCCTAGCTCGACTCAGCCTCAAATTAGTAACCTGGTGCGGTGTGTGAACATCGCCACTGGGGAGACAAAGGCGGTCGGGCGTGGCGCTGGCCACCCACCCCTCGTATACCGTTCCGGCCTTCATAGGTGCTCGCTAACAGCACTTGCCTCTACAATCTGTTAAGGCTATACGGGGGATCTTTGTCTTTGCGGAGCGGTGGGGCAGTGGTTAGCGGGCTGCTCTACGAACCAGGTGATCCGAGTTCGATTCCCGTTCACGGCCGACACCAGCGACAATTATCTGAACTGGTTTTGGGCCTCCCCTAGCTCGACTCAGCCTCAAATGAGTACCTGGCGCAGTGTATAAAACATCCCCACAGGGGAAACAAAGGCGGTCGGTCGTGTCCACTGGCCACCCAACACCGTGGTGTGCAGTGCCGACCTTCATAGGTGCTACTCGCGAACAGCACTTGCCCCAAAACGTCTCCTGAAGCTGTACGGGGGACATCTTTGTCTTGTGCGCGTGTGCTATTTCAACACGAGCTTAACCCATTTACGCATTGCCGTCGCTGCTAACAGGGCGTTGTTAGCGGAGTTCCTGGCCGCGGCGAGACGGGTGATCTCACGGCTCGCACACAAAATCGAGCCCGAGCGGGTTTTGTCTTCTCGAGCAAGCGCTTCGGATTTTGAGGGAACCGATTAAAAATACGCGCCGAAATGTATAACACCCCCTTCCCCTCCCCCCGTCTCGTCTTCTTCTTCTTCTTTGAGAGACACATTTGAGGTGTTAATTGAATCCTGGCCCGGCCGCAGCAGGAGGTCTTGCATACACGATGCCTTGTCCTCCTCGATATATGTTTTTTTCACCCGTCAAGAAGAAAAAAAAAATTACTAAAAATAACATTTGCCGACGCGTGCGCGTAATTATATCTCTCGCCACGAGGATGCATCCCCCCAACACTGCGACTATTGTTTTTAATAACCGCTTTGCATAATTGGATATTAAAATATGCTACATTCTGCATATCGAGGTTGAGAGTTGGGGGTGGGTGGGTGGGAAGGTTATGTAAATGGACGGCTTTAGGAAGCTCCTCCTGTGTCGGGATGAACCCTCGTGCTTTCGCTCTGTCGCCGTCCGCAGAGGTGCCTTTCTTCACGGTGGAGCCGAGGAGGAGGATCATGGGAGTGGTGGAGCAAGCCCTCGAGATCCCCTGCCAGGCAGCAGGTGACGACGGCGGTGACGGCATTCATCGACCGCGACCGTTGCTCGTCAGCCTCATCGTTGTCGTTCAACAGCTGCCATTGTTACGATCATCGTCGTGGTAGTCGTCGTCATCGCCGTCATCTTTGTCATCTCTGTCGTGGTAGTCGTCGTCATCGCCGTCATCTCTGTCGTGGTAGTCGTCGTCATCGCCGTCATCTTTGTCATCTCTGTCGTGGTAGTCGTCATCATCGTCATCGTCATCATCTCTGACGTGGTAGTCATCGTCATCATCTCTGTCGTGGTAGTCGTCATCATCATCATCTCTGTCCTGGTAGTCGTCGTCATCACTGGAGAGTGTGAATGTAATCGTCCCCAGAGCGATGATCCGCGTCGTGGAAACGATCGGCGTCATAATCGTCGCCGTCATTGTTTAGCGTTGTCGTCATCGTCGCCCTCGTTGTCGTAATTATGCCCAGAATAGATTCTCGTCATTGGCATCAGCGTCGTTGTCATCGTGATCATCGGCGTAATGATTATTTTCATCAATACCATCATCGTTGTCAGCATCACCATCATCATCATCTGAAAGATCCGAATCATCATGGTTATCATTATCAGCATCACTGTTATCACAATCGTTGTCACCTCTGATTAGCACCGTTGGCTACGTACGGTGCAAAAGAAGTTCAACATACGTACATAAATATCGCCAAATGTTTTACCATCATCACCATCATTATTGCAATCATCATCATCATTGTCACGATCATCAGCACCATCATTGCAATCATCATCGTCACCATTATCAAAACATCATAGCTGACACTACCACCACCACTATTAAAACCACGACCACCATCACGGCAGCCATCACCGTCACCATCACATCATGAAGACCATCAACAGCAGCAGGTCAGCCATCCAAATCATCACCTGGCGTGTAACCGTGACCACGAGTCATGGGGTGTCGTCCCATATAAACGTCCCCATTACTCAGCCGCCCGCTCTCCGCCGGGTGCTCACACGAAACTATTCCCCCCCCAACCCTGTTGCCCCCCCCCCTTCCCCTGCACCCCCCCTCCGCCCCCCACCACTTCGGATCATCGCAGGCTTGCCTCCGCCGACCCTGACGTGGTATCGGGACAGCTCCCCGATCGGCCACTTCGGGGATTCGCGGTTCCGAGTGCTCGCGAACGGCAGCCTCCTGGTGGCGTCGCTGGAGGAGAAAGACTCGGGCATGGTGCAGTGCTTTGTGCGCAACGTGGCCGGGGAGGTGCAGACCCACACCTTCCTCACCGTCACCAGTGAGTGCAGCGCCTACGCTCCGTCAACGACACGTTGATGAGTTTGCTCTGTCCGTACGTACGTTTGTTTGTCGGTTCGTCCGTCCGTTTCTTCTTTATATTAGTGTTTATTTTCTCAGGAAAGCGACACTGAGTCCGGAAGAGTTTCTCTTTTCGGGATTCTCCAGCAACACTTCTCCAGCACATCTCGTCAACGTAGAAGAGTAAACCAAATTACCCTCTAGCGTTCGCTAGAGTGGAGGCCCCCCTTTTGCCGGCATGTGGTGTGAGCAAGCAGTTGCAGGGTTGCACCTTTACCTTTTTTCCCGTTTTACCTGCGCTGGGATATTTAGCCAGCGCCAACGACATTAGCTCTCGGAGGAAACCAAATAACCTGGATGAAACACCTGCAAAACAGGTGTTGTGTCCTTCTGCAGCACCTCCAATTAGCACGGTTGGCTACGTTCGGTGCAAAATAATGTCAACTTGCATACGTACAACAGGTAGCAGAGCATGCAATCTACACGCAGAAAGCCACCCGAGTCGTGAATCGAACGCAGGCCCCTTTTTCTGGGAGGCACGAGTGTTACAAATTGTGCCATGTGAACTCTCACTAATTAAAGGCTGTTGCCCTCAAGGTTTAAGAGCTTGGAGATACGAGATGACTGCCAATGGCTCTGAGGTCAGATCCCTGAACTGGCATTGCTGAGACCCTGGCTTCGGATCTGAGTTCCAGACTCCCAACTCTGATCAAGCCGGGGTTTACAAGTGCCAGTCACCCTTACAATGAATAATGCCAGGCCTACACGATTGCCTCAATTGGGTCTGTGTTCACGTCTGTCATGGCAAAGCCAAGATTGCATCGGAGTTGATTGCCGTGAGCCTGGTCACTAATGGCTCTGTGCAGCAACAACAATTTGATTGTGACTTAAATTGGCCAGAAACACACAAAGAAATACAACTCTGGGAAATAAAATTATACATCTCACTGCCATTCAACGAATCTCCGTCTCGAGCATGCCAGATATTCTTCCTTTTCCATGTAACTCCTGTCCCCCCCACTCCCCAATATTGATATGCGGCCAGGTGGCTCACTCGATGGTAGAGCCAGCGTCTCACATTCGATAGGTTGTGAGATCAAATCCTGATTGTGGGGTTTGACTCAGCCCACTGGTTCTGGATAGACTCACCCCCTGCCATAGGAATGTGGATATTCCACCACTGTCTCGGGGTTGTACACAGGAGTTTAGCGCCAATGAGTCAGCGCTCGTTTGAGCAGGAAAGCACTTTGACGTTTTGAGTTAGTTGAATTTGGTTTTATTTGGTGTCATAGGCTGAGATGTTACATCGTTTGCATACAGAACAACAAAAAATAAAAGTACACGACAACAATGTTTTAAAACATCAACACAAGGTAAGCACTTCACCATTGAAAGGTATACAATCAAGGGCAACACTGTGCAGGACACAAGAAACAGCTAACCAATTAGTCATGAGTATAACAATACTCAGCCAGAAATTGTTGATCGCGTTTCAAACAAACGAATTTAAATAAGGCGGACGTGAGTAGCGACTTTAACCGAGTAACAGGAAGTGAGCCTGTTCCAATGAAGGGATTCTGGGTAAGGAGGCCATGGGTTTCTAACGCGAGTCTACGGGTCTATATTATGACTCTGTGAGCGTGGATAACGGTGACTCAAGGTCACTGGGATGGAGATCTCAGAATGAGTTCCGTGACATCACCGGACCGTTCTCCGACACAGGGTGATGCACTGCTCCTCGGATTCCTCATCTAGTTCTCAATGATACTGGGAGCACAGTTGGAATACCATTATAAATGCATAGACATATTTTGAGAGATATATATTAAGTAAGAGCAAGAAATAAAAAAAAATAGTCGTGCCTTTACGTAATAAAAGTTATGCCTTTATGTAATAAGCCAAAATTTAATAAAAATTTAGTTGTGAATTCCATTTTGAGTAATGAAATATCATTATGCATTTGAGAGAGTGTGTGTTGCGGTGTATGTTTAATGTTCCCATCTCGCACTATTTTTTAACAGCCTTTTTATATTCATATCTAAACACTGCAAAGATATCAGGGACACAGCACTCTCTCACAGCCGCATTCTTATTTTATTACTTGAGCAGTCATCGGTGACTGTGCTGAGACCACCAACTTTAATAAGAACTAGATCTTCGTGGGTCTATCTGTGCACGGCTATGGGCCGCAGTCTAAGTCTATGGATCTCGAGGTTAATCTGTGAGCTTAAATCTGAGTCTAAAAGGTCTGTGTGCGCACTTATCGGTTTATATATGAGTCTATTGGTCTCTGTGTAATTCTATGCTGTCTGTGTGAACGTATGGGTTTTGATAATTGTTTTTTTACCCTTTTATCTGGCAACAAAACTGACACCTTTTTTACAAGGAGTCATGTTCGCTTAGACCACAATACCTGCAGTCATAATGCAAACAAAAAACATAACTCTGATAATGTATGCACTGTCCTTGAAGTTGATTGGTCCACACCCGAGACTGCTTTCCTTAGAGCCTAGTCTGTGGTCTATGCAAACATGACTCCTTGTAAAAAAAGGTGTTAGTTTTGTTGCCAGATAAAAAGGGTAAAAAACCAATTATCATATTTTTTACTGGCAAATGAGGTTCCAATGGTGTATGGGTTTTTGTCCGAGTCAAAGGATCTCTATACGAGTCTGTGAGTCTGTGTAAGTCTGTGGGTCTCTATGCGAGCCTATGAGTCTCTGTGAAAGTTGATGGGTATCTAAGTGAATCTGTGGATTTCTACGTGCATCTGAGGGTCTCTATGTGAGCCAATGGCTCGTGAAACGAGACCATTAACTTGCTACACTTAGACCGCAGGCAGCCGATACACCGACTCTAACCCAGAACTGTAGCGGTGCCGGCTCAGTGACATTAACCCTAAGCCACCCGGCCGCTTCTGAATGATAATCAATTCTTGCGCGCAATGCAATGCATGTATCATGAGCACGAGAATCAATGAAATCAATGAAATCAATTAATGCCTTCACGCCTCTATCGTGAAGTGACTTTGAAGTAGCTAATGCAATTAAAGTGGCCGACTTCAGAGGCGGCCGGCCTGCCCCGAGGTGCGAGCGCTGAGCCTGCACGGCTAACATTTGAGATTCAAATCCAGGTTTCGTCCACCGGCGATAAACTAAATGGGTTCCATAGTTGATGGTCTCAGCCTCGTCATCGGTGACTGATCACACGAAAAAAAATGCATTCATTGTAAGCATGCGCTTAATTTGAATACCTTGCATCTTGCACCTCCAGTTGGCACGTTTGGCTACGTACGGTGCGAAAGAAGTTCAACATACATACATCTCTGTGTGTGGAACATAGCTTACTTGAAGGGGTCCCAATGGCAGCTCCGTCATATCGCCTTCCAAAAGGGGCGTTGTATATCACAGACCTTTGCAATTGTCTGTGAGAGAGATGCAGACGGATGCCTCGCATGATGATTGCATAATCAGAGATAAATTGGTCAACAAAATGCACGTGCTGATTATTTAGAAGTGGATGACACTCGAGCAACTGAGGTCTTAGGGATCGCGACTGGGGTCGGGTACAGGAGGACATGGTCCCCCTATTTGGAACCCAGCCCCCCCCCCCCCCCCCGCGTCCTCCCCCTCTTACTATCTCCTCCTATCTTACTCCCCCTCTTCGTTTCCTTTCTCAACTCCTCGCCTCCTCACTCGGTACACCGCAGCCGGAGGACATCGCGGCCCCTCCTGCGCACGGTTCACCATCGCGTTGTTTCCGTGTTCATCGTTGCTGTCGTCGTTGTTGCTGCTAAACGTCCAAACAAAGTATTCAACAAACAAATAAACAAAAACAAGTGATAATTGTTTTTTTACCCTTCTATCTGGCAACAAAACTGACACCTTTTTTTACAAGGAGTCACGTTTGCATAGACCACAATACCTGCAGTCATAATGCAAACAAAAAACATACCCATGTGAGACTAGGCTCTATGGAAAGCTAAGGAAAGCTGTCTCGGGTGTGGACCAATCAACTTCAAGGACAGTGCACATTATCAGAGTTATGTTTTTTGTTTGCATTATGACTGCAGGTATTGTGGTCTATGCAAACATGACTACTTGTAAAAAAGGTGTCACTTTTGTTGCCAGATAGAAGGGTTAAAAAACAATTATCATATTTTTTTACTGGCAAATGAGGTTCCAATGGTGTAAAAACAAGTGAACGCATTCAAAGTTCCAACCTTTGCTCCCCCCAGGTTTCCCCCCAAACATCACGCGAGGCCCCGTGGACAGCACGGCCATCGAGGGCACCGCGCTCACGCTGCCGTGCGAAGTGTCAGGTGCCCCCAAGCCGGCCATCACCTGGTTCAAAGGTGCGCCGCTCACCACTCGAGCGTGACCTCCCCCCTTCTCCACGCCATGCGAGGTCGTCGGTACCATTCGAGCCTCGCAGCAATGCGGCGGTCGCTGGACATGCGTGAAAATGATGGGCGTCTGTGGAAAATAGATTTGTAGCTCAACGGATTCCTCCAGTGTAGATACATTGAAGTCACGTAGGTGAAAACTAAATAAAATAAATCAACTAAATTAAGTTAAATTTAGTTTTCACCTACGTGACTTTACCGAAAAAAGCCAAAGAGGATGGATCCTTGCAGTCACGAAAACTTCAAATCTAGAATGTAGATACATTGATTGTGATTCTGATGAGTTGCAGAAACGATGCAAGTTTCTTAAATGCCCCGCACCCCCCCTCCCCTCACCTACACCACCCTCTCCCTCTGCCGCCGCCACCGCTACGCGTGTCTATTGGGCGGCATAAATGGGTTCACCTCGGCTGAGTCGGTCGTCAGGCCTCGTGTGGTGGAGTAGAGTGTGGGTATTCTCCCACATATGTCTGGCCGGCGTGGGAGAGTTAGCCAAATTTACACTCAAGAGGGGCCCTCCCGAACATCTCTGTGGGTGGGTGCGAGCGAGCGATTCGAAGGGTTGCAACCGTCACCTTTTGCCGAACGTAAATCAAATCGGATCATTGGAACATTCAATGTCACCGCCGTTCTCACCGCGCAAGTCTGCAGCAGTCTCGCGGTTGGTCGGCGATGACTCCCGTGTGTTATCCCAGTTGAGTGATTTGCGGTGTAATGTTTCGAATTTCGCACGTTTTGAACTGTGACGCCGGGGTTAGTGCAAGTGCGGCTCCCAGGCTTTGGAACGCTTTGCCTTTGCCAATCAGACAATCAGAATGGTTAGATATATATATACTTGAGTCTGTCTTGAAAAGTCACCGCCTTATATTGGCCTACACCCCGCAGTTCTGGCCGTTTACCCTGGTTCCGTCCATTTCCTGCTTTCCATGCACAGCGCGCATTGGGATGTACAGATGAACTGCGCCTTACACATCATGTAAATAATTATCACTACCACGAACCTCCGGGACGAGTGTCAGACGCGCTCCCGCTGGGCCACGTCACCGCCCCATACACGATGTGAAGCATTGTCGGGGGAGGTTGAGTGGGGGGGGGCACTCGGAACTTTGACCATCGTCGTCGTCATCGTCGTCGCTACGACCGTCCTCGTGAGAGCGGGCGAGATGTTCACCGTGACCGCGTCCATGCCCGTGCCCCTGGCGTGCCCGCGCCGTGTGCGGCTGCAGGCGGCAAGGCCGTGCCCCTGAGCTCGATGCGCTTCTCCCTGCTGCCGTCGGGGTGGCTGCGCGTGGGGCCGGCCGAGCTGCGTGACGCCGGCACCTACACCTGCCTGGCCAAGAACTACCGCGGCGAGGCGACGGCACGCGCCCGCTTCACCGTATGGGGTGAGCACGCGAGTGGGAGAGCTCACCCATGCGTTGATTCACTCGCTCCACTGCTCACTGACCGAATCACAGCCTTTTTGACCCACTCAATCTCTGGCTCACTGGCTGTCTGACTCATTCACTTACAAGTGACGAACTCAGTGTCTGATTTACTCACTGAATCACTCGCTCACTGACTCACTTTCTGACTCACTGATTCACTCCTTCACTGACTTACTCACCGACTCACTCACTGACTAGGTCACGAAATGACTGACTCACGCAATCACTCTTTCGCTGACTCCATCTCCGGATGATTAACCGAGTCACTCACAACTGAATCACCAACCCAGTCTTGGCTGCAAGTGCAGTGTACTAATCATTTACACTCCAGTGGCATCTTTGTTTATTAAATGAGACATTTGAAATGGAGAAAATGCGATGATAGCAATAATAAAACACGATGAACTAAATTATTTCGCAAAAATCAGTACGCTACGGGATGAAACGTATTAAAAATAGCGTGACGTGACCATCATTATTATCCATACTGCACGGTATGCACAATTGGATGATAATTATGTTATCGAGGTAATCAGAGACAATTTAACAATACCATCAGTGGCGATGTAAGAATGAAATTTGCAACAATTGTGTGCTAAATTTTCATAAATTCCCATGAACTTGAGTCATCAGAAATTAATTTCATATTCAAGATGGGCACATTATCTTCTACTCAGAAGCTCATTACATAGGTTTAGAGAAAAATCACTGCCACCACCACCGCCACAACCAGCTTCATGACAGCTGCCACCATCACTCCCACCATCTTCACCACCTCAACCACCACTAACCATTTCCACCACCATCACCCCTGTCACCAATCTCACTCCCACGACCACTAACACCACCGCCCCTCCCAATACCGGCACTACGTAAGCACATATGTTGAACTCCTTTAGCACCCAACGTAATCAACCGTGCTCATCGGATGTGCGGGGGAAGGACAACAATACGGTTACAGCACCCGCCCACCAGTGCCACCACTATCACAAATCACCACAAACAACGAACTCCTCCTCCACTGCCACGTGCATGTGCTCGCACACGCACGCCTCAGAGCACGCGTCCCCCCCCCCCACAGCCCCCCACCCCCCCGCAGGGGGTCCCCATTGCGGCACGCGCGTGTGCACACAGGGAATTTACGCACGCAGACGCAAGGATACAATTGCGCTGCCGTGCGTGGAGGTCTACCCCGGCAGCAGCGGTGGACGCTGTGCGGAGCACGCTTAGAGGAATGATGCACGCATGCGCACACACACACACAAAGGTCCCCCGTGTATCCTTCAACAAACTGTTGGGGCAAGTGTTGTTAGCGAGCACCTTTTAATGCCGGCATGGGGCCCAAGGGGGTGGTTGTCCAGCACCACGCTCAGCCACCTTTATATCCCCAGTGGTGATGTTTACGCACCACACCAGATACTCATGACATGCCTACTGATTCATCATCGTCACCATCAGCCATGGTCAATCCACTGAGTCGACCAAGGGGGAGATGACCAGGACCGATTCATATATTCGCTATTGGTCGTAACCCACTATGCCTCCGTTCTCCACAGGCATGCATATACACACACACACATACGTGCGCACGCATGCCAGACGAGCTCGTTAATTCCAGTGTGCTGCACGCACGCAAGCAGACACATATTACACGCGTGCGCACACACAGTTACGCGCACACACGCACATTCGGCACGGGGAAAATGACTTTCCGTGCAATATCAATCTGGTTGCTAACCAGCAGACACACTCATCTGCTGGGGGACAGTGTTCTAATGGGCCTCTTAGTTAAACTAAATTGTGTCGTCTAATAGTCGAGAGTGCGGCGGGCTGCTCCCGCACGACGGTATTCATTTAACGGGGAGAAATAAAAGCAGATTTAGCTTTGACCTTATGACCCCGTGTGGGAGGTGCTCTGCTCGGCAGCCTATGTGGGTGAACATATACATACATGTGTAGTGTACTAATTCAGAGACACTAATAGGAGGCGTTATCCCTCTTGTTAATTCTGGCTCTCACAGCCATAGGGGATAACTCCATAACGGGTCTGGACAGCCAACACACTTCCAGACCCACAGCTTGAAGTGGCGAAGAACACGACGACCGCGGCATGACGAGTTCCATTCCCGATGGCAGCAGCCCCGACTGTGAGCCGGAGCTCGCCTTTTATTCTCCCCAGCGTGGCCAGGTTCCGCCCTCGGACAGGCCCCCTTCTGGATCCCCCAGAAGGCTCCGGGCTTGGCCCACAGGTCCAACTGGTAGATCGGGCTGCTACCCCCAATCCCATTGTCTACCAATCTCCCAGCGCCACGCGCTAGTGACTCATTCCATGTCACTCCACATACAAAGACCCCACCCTGCTCCTGTATAGACTACGCTGGCTGTTGGGGCACGTGCTGTGAGCGAGCACTTGTCAAGGCTGGCACAGGGCACAAGTGGAAGGAGGGGCGTGGTGTGGCCAGTGCAATGCCCGGCTACCTTTGTCTCTTCACTGCTCATAATCACAAACTGCACCGGGTGCTCACGGTAAGGCCGAGCTGTTCTTAGGGAATTCGACACCGCTGTTGGATGGCCGTGAACGTGAGCCGAACTCGGGTCGCCAGAGTTTCGCGCGTGGCTAACCACCACCGCACCGCCTCTCCTCAAGAGACCACCCAGCCCCCCCCCCCCCCCGGATTATTAGAGGAGTTTATGTTATATACAGCGGGGCCAAAACAAATTCACCCCCAGTATAAGAGGGGTCAGGACCCAAGCTGAATGAATATTGATTTTAAAGTAACATATTTGTTTATTTAATTTATTACTTCTTCACCCCCCGTGGCTTTATTACAGAGAGGACTCACTTTGTTCTCTCTTGAGGGTCGTATATTTCTTCCCAAATTTAATGGGATTTTACAAACGGAATAAATAAAGCCCCGTGTAATATTTTTTGACTGTCGTTTTTTTTTCTCTCCTCCTATTATCCACGCCATCGAAATCACAGAACGTGCAATTATGTCCTCTCCCTCCCTCTCTTTCCAAAGTGAGCTACGGGGACTATTTGCTTCCTCGCATATTACCGCGGCCAGGCGCTTAACCTACACGCCCGGCGCGGCTGCGTGCCCCGGCTAAACTGAGGCACTCGCGGGGCATCACACACAGAGACAAAGATCCCCCGTATAGCCTTAAGAGAATGCAGGAGCAAGTGCTGTTCGCGGGGCACTTATAAAGGCCGGCACGGCACACGAGGAGGTGGTGGGTGGCTGGCACCACGCCCGTCTCCCAAGCGGCGACGTTTGCACACCGCACCAGGTACTCATTGGAGGCTGAGTCGACCTAGGGGAGGGCCCAAGAGCCGTTCAGATGATCGTCCCCGGTAATTGACCGTGACCGACAATCAAACATGAGTTGGCCGGGTTCTTAGCGCGGCGCGCTAACCACTGCACCGCCGCTCCCCACGGCGTCACAGACACGCGCGCGCGCACGCACGAGTGCCCTCGGTGGTCTCGCGAGCGCGAGGCAGCAGCTGCGCTGCGGAAGAATCCCCGTTTAAATATGGATGCGCGAGCCTTGTGAACGCACGTTCACGAGCCGAGACAAAGATCGCCCCCGCCCGCCCCCGCTCCCTTCCCCGTAGACTACAGCGCTCCAACCTGTTTTCTGGGTTGTACCGCGCGGCGTTCGGCCGCGTTTGTCCGCCGTTTCGCTCGCTCGTTTTTTGCTCGCTTCGTTCAGCGGTGGAAATTGGAAAACTGCCCGATGAGGTCAAACGCGTTGCACGGAATTTCCACGTGAACCATAGAAGCCACTGGAGGCACCTATATGTTAACAATCACCAAAACATTATATAATAATAATATGGTGACTCCAAACTGGAGAAATTTGTCAAAAAATAACGAGGGATCTCCCAAAATCATCGCACGCCCACTGATTCATCGCCACCATCGGCCTTGGTCAATCCGCTGCTGTATGGAGCCCTTTCCGGCAAGCCGCTGCCACCTCTCACGATTAGCCAGTCTCAATCCGCCGCTAGCCTCCTCGTCGAAGCGTCACAGCCGCGGATGGGGGGTGGGGGTGCGTTTCGCTCAAACGACAGAGGCAAAAGGGCGGGGGAGAGTGGTAGGCGATCATTTATTGCTTGGTGGCCGTTAAATTGAACCGCGAATTAATAGTAGAAAATAAAATACTAAATCGGAATGCGCTCGGCATCGCGGTGTGAGTCGAACGTGCTCCCCCCGAGGAAAGTGCCGGGATCGGCGTCCTTAAAGGGGTTAAGGGAGGAGAGCGTTCATTTGATCTCGAGTGCTTCCCCTGACCATGTGAGCGATTGAAATGGGCAGCCAGGGGCTACTACAATAAAAATATGACACATGCGCCTTTCAATCTCCTCCCAACCCACGCCCTCGTTCTTCTGCATCACGGAAAACAACAACGCACACAATGACAACAGCCACAACAACACACGTGCTATGACACACAACGACAACACAAGCACACGACGAAACGCACAATACGACAACACACAAACACACACGACACACATAATACAACACACACACACACAACGACACACAAAAACACCGACACGTATGCACGACGTCAACACACACACAATGTACAGAACACACACACACGACACAAACACACACACTACGACAACACACAAAAGGACATACACACTACGACACACACAAGCGCGCATATGAACACAAAACACCTCTCCCTATGCAATTTTAAAAAAGTTCACAGTGTTAGCGTTTTTGCATCCCTCCGCCATCCCCGTCCAATCTCTCTCACTCCCTAACGGCAAACAGCAACTTCTCTGACACCGGGATACGGCCACCCCACACACACACAGTATGGCCCATGTATTCACCCGCTCATTCAGTCTCTCGCTCACCCACTCACACACCCGTTCACTCGCTCCATTTGCCCGATTCCTGCACGCTCACTTGTCCATTCGCCATTCTCACTCACCAAGCCACTCACCAACCCACCGACTCATTCAATTACTCACTCGCTCACCCACTCACACACCCGTTCGTTCACTCGCTCCATTCATCCGTTTACACAGTCACTTGTCCATTCGCCATCTGACTCGCCAAGCCACTCACCAACCCACCGACTCATTCAATCACTCCATCCGTTCACCCACTCACTCACACACGTATCCATTCGCCACCTCACTCACCAACCCACTAACCCGCTCACCCCCACATCTATTCACCAACCCATCCACGCCCACCTACTCACTCCCTTAATCGCCCCACTCACTTGCACACCACCGCGGTGTCCGGCTGCATCCACGTGGAACGTATTGCCCGTCATCCACAATGTTTCACGACCTCCTCTCAGCCAGTTCTGCAGTTGACTAATATCGGGAAATGTTCTTTAAAGCTTTATGAGGCATGAACATAGTGTAGCACCTTACAGGCAATACGTCTGCACGCTATACGAATTGGGCCACCGCTAACTCCCATGGCTTAGACTTCCTCTTCCTCTCTCCGTGCGTGGGCAGTGAGGACGCGAATCGCCGTTCCTCCTCGCGACCAGAGCGTGGAGAAGGGGATGACCACGACGCTCCACTGTGGCGTCACCCATGACCCCGCCGTCGCTGTCAGGTAAAGGGAGGCAGGGGGGAGGCAGAGATGCGGTGGGGGGTTAATGTCCATGCAACACAAAACAAGCCCGCATTTGGCTCCCCAATACTCACATTGACACAACGCACCAGATGTGCATTTGAGGCTAAGTCAACCGAGCGGAGGCCCAGGACCGGTTCAGATATCCGTCACCGATGTTGGGCTGTGAGCGGGAATCAAATCCACCGGGTCCATCGTGAAGTGTGCTCGCCTCTGCGTCACCCCTCCCCATTGAAAACCACACAGCAACAACAACAACAGCCGCCATTCGCCACTAAGTGGCGGTGACATCACCACGGTGCCTGCGCCAGGACAGGTGCACTTTGAGGCCACGCGAAGTGTCGAAGGCTCGCTGACAGGAGGTGATGGAACAGAGCCAGGTGCTATGGGCTCACTGAGATGACTGGCAGTTGCACCAGCTGTACCCCCTACTGTGCCAACTTGCTGTATTTTATCCGCCCTGGCGTTCCCCTTATTGTTGTGAGCGTCGCTCCTATGTGCTCCGTTGTTGTTGGAGAGCGACTGTCTCCAACTGCCCAGTAGCGTCCTTCATGAGCCTGTTGGTGCATACCTGTGTGTGTGTGCCGGTCCGTCTAAATACAAATATCCCCCATATAGCCTTAACAGACTGTGGGGGCAAGTGCTGTTAGCGAGCACCTATGAAGGCCGGCACGTCACACGAGGGGGTGGGTGGCCAGCACCACGCCCGACCGCCTTTGTCTCCCCAGTGGAAATGTTTTTTACACACCGCACCAGGTACTCATTTGAGGCTGAGTCGACCTAGGGAAGGACCATGACCGGTTCAGAATATCGAAACTGATGTTGGCCGTGAGCGAGAATCGAACTCGGGTCGCCGGGTTCGTATCGCAGCGCGCTGACCGCTACGGGCACACACACACACACACGTGCGCACACTGCCCACGCTCCTGTCAATGGGCGACGGGGGATGAACTTAGCGGAAGAGAGAGAGAGCTCGTATCCGCCGCTCTCCACTTCACAGGGAAACTGTCAGGCTGCCAAGAGCAGGGAATTACGGGGCAGGGCCAGGGACCGCTCCGCTTGCCCTCGCAAATTCACACCTCCGTGCCGCTTCTCACCGCTCCAAGGGAGCAGCCTGGAATGGAGCGGCCGGCGTTCTGAGTTGGGGTGGCTGCCAAGATTCGTTGAACAGCTGTTTGTGCTTTTTTTCATTTGAGACGTGTGGTGGATTCTCAGCGTTCAATTTCTGGCCGTGATTAAGAAGAGAACGGATGATGACATTGCTGATGTTGTTGTTGCGAGACACTGACAATCACGCTGATGGTGAGAATGATTTCGAATACTTACAATGATAATCACTATTTTGAGAGTAATGTGAGAATGACAATTGAAGGTGATGATGATGGCGATGAAAATGATGATGCTCATGATGGCAGTGATGACGATAATTCGGGGCAATTAAAAATTATGCAGTGATGATGGCGACAAAAATGACAATGGGGATGACGACCATAAGTGCATTTCTAACAATAACGTGGTGATGATGATGATGATGCTGATTTCACAAATGACAATAATGATGACAAATATGGTGATTAAAACAATGGTGATGCTGGCAATGAATGCAATAATGCATCTACAATGATGATGAGCATGACAATAATGACAATGTTGATGCAATGAAGAAGACGATGATCGTGATGATGATGACTGAAAATGATGACTACCACGAAGATAACGATGATGATTACCATGATGATGATGATTACGACGAAGATGACGACAGCGACAATGACTACTCGCGTGATGTTGACCAATCATTGACCATGATGACGACGACTAACAACGTTGGCAGGGTGTTCTGGGACAAGGACGGCTCCGTGATCGGGCCCGAGGCGGCCCCGAGGCTCGCGCAGGACGCTGGCGGCTTCCTGCGCGTCGTGCAGGCCTGGTCGGGCGACATCGGCTCCTACACGTGCCACGTGACCTCGGCGGCTGGCAACGACTCCAGGACCGCCCGGGTGGAAGTGCGGTGAGGAAATCACGTGGACACTTCGAGAGACAGAGATACCCCCCCCACTCCTCCTCCACCCACCCACCCCCACGTATAGACTTTAATAGGCTGCAGAGGCAAGTGCTGTGAGCGATTCACATCGAGGAGGCCTACACGGCACACGACGGGGTGGATGCGCAGCACCACGCCAGGCCGTCTTTGTTTCCCCAATGATGATGTTTAGACATGTGTATGTATTTAAAACCTCTTTCCTTCCGTACGTTGGCAGCCGTGCTTATCGGAGGTGCAGGGGAAGGACAACAAACTTACCGTAAAAAGCAGTTCTAGAGAAATTCGTTTTCGGGTTATCCATTCTAAGGCTGAGTCGAGTTAGGGAAGCGGGGATGGAACTTGTTTGCCCAGGTTCGTAGTGCAGAGTGCTAACCACTACAACATCACTCTCCACGAACACAATCTACTCAAACAAAAAAACTACAGAAACTAACACATTCCATTTGCTACTGAGTGGTTGTGACGGATGGCGATGAGGTGAGAGCGGTGAGATGAGATCGGTGAGGTGAGATCGGTAAGGTGAGATCGGTGAGGTGAGTGCGGTGAGGTGAGGGTGGTGAGGTGAGGACGGTGAGGTGACAGCGATGAGGTGAGCTGAGAGCGGTGAGCTGAGAGTGGTGAGGTGAGAGCGGTGACTGTCGTGACTCGCGGTGGTGGAGCGGGTGACAAAGTTCTGCACCCACACCTCGTGGGACAGATGATATCAGTGGTAGCTCGGGGGTATCCACTTGTGCGGACTGTTTTTTTTTTAAACGCCATCGTGATGATGATCACGACGACGGCAGTGATGCCAGAGGAATCAGGACGGATCTCTCCGTGAGAGATCCTAACCTTCGTCTCCTGGTGTGGCACCGATAGCCACCGGTCCCCTTTAATTTGGGAACAATTCCCCCCCAAACAGTAAACGAACAAGTTCACCCGTGGTACAGGGTTTTTTTGGGGTTAGATCGCGGAGTTGTAATTACTGGCGAAACTTCGTACTCAGATTGTAAATGTTGTGGCTTTGCTCTCCAACACACCGGTTAGTGCTGCACTAGTGACGAATTGGCATGTTCTGTTTGCATGACAAACCTTACGAGTTGGCTGTGTCGGGCGGTGGCGGGTTTAACGGCTCATTTATATATTTTCCTGATCTAAACCCATAAGAACCTGTATTATGGATGATATTGGTCGTGAAAAACTACGCGTTAAACTGAACAAGATCACGTCCTCCGTTGCTCCCAGGTTTGCGAGAGTTATGATTCTGTATAGATTCTTTATCTTGTGGCATGGCGTTCGACAGCACAACTGGGATAAAATTGGGGTGGGGGCCGGGGGAAGAGTGGGGGATGGAGGGAGGAGGCGGGGGGTGGGTGGCATCCCCAATTTATTTTGTAACACCTGCTTTGGGGAACGAGCTAACGAGCTCACCCCAGGGCCACGCGATTCTTCCCGCACCTTCTCTTCAGCTGCCAACATTCACATCGGTCGGTCCAATTTGGCCTGGGTTAAGCCACTCCGTGTGCTCCGTGGTGCTTGCTATAGCTGTTGCTAGCTTCCACGACGGTCGGATTCCCACCGTCGCTTCGGAAGCGAAGGGGGGGCGGGGGGGGGGCGACGGGAGCGTGGCTAGAAGCTGGAAACTGTATAGTGGGTGTAATAATATAGCAGCCGCTGCAAGCCGGAGCGGTGAAAACTTCAGACAATTCGACGAGTGGGCCCGTGGAGCCCGTCATTCGATTGAGTCGAAAAGTACACCCCCTAAATCATCGACATTATCCTGTCCACTCTTAGATAGAGTAACACAAAAAGTTGGCCGCCCGTGTGTTTTATTGCTCACTCACTCCCTCTCTTTCTCTCTCTCGGCGGAGGCAAACGCTAGTTTAAAATCAATCAGCAAATATCAATAAACTGGTACTCTCTAAAATTACAATGAACTATGCGTTCGGAGCGGCGTGTGCGCGTGCGTGGGTGGTTGGTTACGTTTCTGTGCGCGCGTGCTTGGGAGGGTGAGTACGTCTGTGCGCGTGCGTGCTTGGGAGGGTAGGGTACATCTGTACGCGCGCGTGGGTGTGTGGGTACGTCTGTGCGAGTGCATATGCACAGTCGATCAAATTCAAGTGCCTCGCCTGTGCAGGCGAACGTGGCTCGCGTGCAATAAATTTATGACCGGCACTCGCATTCAAAGTGTCTACCAATTCCAACGAGCGATGGGGTGGCAGCTCAACTCTGTCAGTGACCTTGAGACAATGGTGAAAATTCTATTAATTATGATAATTAAAATGTCATGGGGTGGGGTGGGGAGTGGTGGCGCAGTGGTTCGCGCACTGCCACTCTGAACCTGGCGACCAGAGGTCGAGTTGATTCCCAGACCCGGCCAACATATGTGACGAGTGATATCTGACCCGTTCCTGGCCTTAGCTCCTTCACCAATCTGGCAGTGGCAGCGTGGCCAAGTGTGACCCCCCCTCCCCCCCGCCCGAGGACCGACACGGCACGCAGGAAGCTTTCATCTGTATACACTGGATTGACAAAGCAGTGGGAATAAAATAAAGATCTCAATCATTTATCCAGGAAAGCCTCAACGAGTCTCGGCACTCTCGTTCGGAGTGTCTAGTATTTGTGGACAATTATTTTATACGAGAGCAGGATTTGGCTGTTGGGAGGAACTGTGAGTAGTCGGAGAATGCGCCACGCACGGGCATGCCCATGAACCCGCTTGCTGTACTGCCACCTCCAGGGCTTCGCGCAAGCCCAGCGGGTTTGGTGCTTTTCACTCAAATGTGATGCTTAGTCGCTTGCCCGCCTTTCCAGGCTCACCTTCAACGGCGTCACTGTAATATTTGTGTGGTCAGACAGGTCACTCTCCCGTGTATATTGTGGGTCAAGTCTAGCGGGAGCAATCGAGAGCATGCACCCGAGGCGATTCAGTAGGGTCGGTCTGTCTTTAATTTTCGACAAGCCGCCCTGCCAGTTTTCACGCAGTGGCGTGTCACGATAATAACACGGTGCACTCACAATGTGTTACAGGATGATCACTTTATCCCGACACAAACACGCGTTCCCGAACACTCACACACCCTTAAATAATGCACGTTTAGCCTTAGGTGGAGTTCACCACTCGCTTAGGGCTGCATCCACAAGAAACCCGACTCCAGGTGAAGCTTGACTCCACGCATCGTGTTCAACGCCACCCAATTCTAAAAGTGCCTTACCTGCTGCAAAGCGCTGGACAAGAGGCATCCACATCCACGTTCCTTAGGGCAAGGGCCAGTGTACTCATTTAATTGGCGCTGACCAGCACTATCGTTGTTTAAAGATCAAAAAAGTTGATCTTAAATAAATATATTTTTAAGGGTGGTGGAGAGGTGGCACAGTGTATCGCCCTTTGAACCTAGCAAGCTATATTAAACCCTGACAAGTGTGGTGAAGTATAGCCGAACTCCTTCCGTGACTGACAGGCACGGAGAAGCCTTTGTGTGCGAGCGCGTGCATGTGTAGTCACAGCTCTGCACTTGTTATGCCGTGATGGTGGTGGTGATGATGATGAAGGTGAATATGGTGGTGATGGTGGTGGTAGTGATGATGAAGATGGTGCTGATGATGATGATGATGGTGGTGATGATGAGTATGGTGGTGGTGATGATGGTGTTGATGGTGATGAATATGGTGATGGTGGTGATGGTGGTGGTGATGATGGTATTGATGGTGATGAATATGGTGATGGTGGTGATGGTGGTGGTGATGATGGTATTGATGGTGATGAACATGGTGGTGGTGATTTATGATCGTGGTGGTGATGATGGTATTGATGGTGATGAATATGGTGGTGGTGGTGATGATGATGGTAGTGGTGGTGATGATGATGAAGGTGAAGATGGTGGTGATGATGGTGGTGGTGATGGTGATGAATATGGTGATGGTGATGATGGTGTTGATGATAATGATGATGTCGATGATGATGATGGTGGAGGTAGTGGTGGTGATGATGATGGTACCACAGGGAGGTGCCGTACCCGCCGGTGGAGGTGGTGGCACGACTCTCTCTGACGGCACGGCGCTCCGTGGTGCTGTCTTGGGTGCGCTCCTACGACGGCAACAGCCCCCTGCTGCGCTACATCCTGGAGGCCACCGAGAACGGTACTCCTGGCGCTCCCACGCCACGTCGCACTCGAATAACATTACACCGCGTCGCACCACGTGTCACGGCCGTCACGTCGCACCGTGTCACCAAACGTCGCGCAGCGTCGCACTGACGTCACATTGCACCACGTCGCACCACGTGTCACGGCCGTCACGTCGCACCGTGTCACCAAACGTCGCGCAGCGTCGCACTGACGTCACATTGCACCACGTCGCACCACGTGTCACGGCCGTCACGTCGCACCGTGTCACCAAACGTCGCGCAGCGTCGCACTGACGTCACATTGCACCACGTCGCACCACGTGTCACGGCCGTCACGTCGCACCGTGTCACCAAACGTCGCGCAGCGTCGCACTGACGTCACATTGCACCACGTCGCACCACGTGTCACGGCCGTCACGTCGCACCGTGTCACCAAACGTCGCGCAGCGTCGCACTGACGTCACATTGCACCACGTCGCACCACGTGTCACGGCCGTCACGTCGCACCGTGTCACCAAACGTCGCGCAGCGTCGCACTGACGTCACATTGCACCACGTCGCGCCACGTGGCAGTGCGTCACACCTCGTCGCAATACGTCGTGTCCCTGTGCGTCACAGCATCACGTCGCAACGCATCACACCACATCACAAAGTCACAACAGGTCACCCCACATCACCCCACATCACCTCACGTGACGACACATCACAACACACACCGTGCTCGGTATTGCAACACACTCCACTATACCGCAGCACACGTCACCACATACCACACTGAAACGGCTGTGTCTCATTATCTCTGTTGGAATAAGCACAGAGTAATGTTTGGTCCGCAGGCTTGTAATCAAGTGTCATTTTATGCTTGCAACTCAGTGAGCTTTGCCCATATTCTATCCCCTTCAGCATCAAACTCTATAGGAGGCAAATTACTTGGTTCAACAATGATGGGTCTTGTAAATGCTGCTGTTTCGTGCTAGACATTAAGTGGTGTGCATCTTTAGGCTGCCCTGTGAAACTACTTCATCACCCACATTTAAAAAAATCTGTATTTTTTTAAATGTTCCAGTTGTAAGTGGAGACTCGATTATACGTGTGCCAGATTTAGGCTTCATAGCCATACCAGAAAATCATTATAATGTCTATCAGTCAGCTACGGACGAAAACAACTCCATGGAGAACAATCCCTTATGGTGTAAACTGAAAGTGTCATGTCACCATTTTTCACCGACTTGTTTAAATAACAAAACGAATATTCCATCTTCTCCGGTTCGTTTTTTTCGTAACGTTTTGAGAAATAATTCACGTTAATCTCATTTTACATGACTGGGTAATTGAAACGCTGCTCGGAAACCTTGCATTTCCCTTCATGTACAAAGCGGGCGGGGACGGGGGGAACATCCTGACAATAGCACCACGGACAGCACCGCCAGCTACATCGCTCAAGCTCTGCTCTGACTTCAGCTCTGAAATGAAAACATCAGAGCCCCCCCCACCTCCTCCTCTCCCCCCACCTCTCCCCCCCACCCCCAAGGCTAAGTGCCCTTTAACACCGTCATCGTCATTAGCAAATACTGCCTTGTAACTGGGGGAGAAATATAATATATATATAACTAGCTTATGCTATGGGCAATGTCCCTTCTTCAGAGCTGAGACAGACACAGATAGAGGGATGAACGATATGAAGGATTCATTTTGACTTATAGATAGATGCTGAATGGTATAAATGCGGAGACGAGTGAAATCGGGTGTGGGCAGTTGGCGCATGAATTGAATGATTTCCGCGTTGCACTTAAACCGTCGCGAGATGATCGCGATTTGCCTCTTATGGATGGAAATTATTACGTTGCACGGATCTCTTTGGCTCGTGCCTGCGAAATGCTGTCACTGTTGTTGTTGTTGCTTGTGTTTGCACGTGCGTGGTTTTAAATAGAATTGCTGTGGGTTAACCTCTAAACCGTGACGTTAACCCCTTATCCGTGGCGTTAACAGGAAGGGGTTAACCAGAGCCGCTGATGCCAGTGTCGGAGCGTGCAGAGTGTGCAGTGGGTGAAGATGCAACAGTGTGCGGTGGTTGTTCACCCCGTGGATCCTGCATAACTGCAGCCATATCTCAGGCATCTCGACGCTTAGTTGGGCATTGTGCATACAGAGGGAAATGGGGTTCTGGAGGAGAGAGAGACACACAGAGAGATCGAGACACGGAGAGAGGCGAGAATGGAAATAGAGAGAGGCAGAGAGACACAGAGAATGGTGTAGTGACGACACCTACACACACAAAGACACGGAGAACGTCACAGAGAGAGTCACAGAGACACAGAGAGACACCAGATTTCCAGAGCAATACAGATGGAACGTCGAAAGACATGGAAACACACAGAGACCGAAACACACAGTCGTAGAGAGAGAGAGAGAAAGAGAGTGATGGAGAGAGGCAGAGAGACATGCAGAGACTCATGGTCCCGCAGAAAGAGGACCAACTCCTATATAGCCCCCTCCCTCCACCGAAAACCCCCGAGCAAAAAGTCGAGGATCTCGCTCGGCTTAGACCCCTGACTTCACATTCCGCGGGATGCACCATTCGCGTCGCTGTGTCGGCTAAATCGGGTTAACGTGGGCACATCCCGGATTCCCTTAGTTTGGTTTCGGTCGTGGTGGAAGGTTCTTGCTGTTTGCTTTGGATTTGATTGACATCCACCCTTCACCCCAGCCTCTCCCTCACCACCACCACCACCACCTGGACTCCTCTCCCTCCCCCAATAGCTCATTCTTGCCTCTCCTAACCCCATCTACGACCACCGATGCTCATTCTAATCCTGTACCCAGCCTCGCGCTCGCTCCCCCTGCTTATCTGGCCAGCGCCACTACAGTTGCCTCCCTACCTACCTCCGTGTTCACAAAGTAAACAAACTAGAATGCCCATTTTTCTTATTTGCTCGATAAGGAAACACCGACGACGATGATGCTCAAACAAAGTCTGCCGTAAAAAAAGATCGTGTAACGTTATCTCTTGAATTGTTCAAAACTGCAAATATTAACGTTTTATGCGCGTGCTATTGTTTATGTATCCCGACGTTAATCTTCTGCCTTTTTTTCCCTTTAAATTCCATTCGTGTTTTTTTCTCTCTCTCTCTGTCTCTGCTGGTGTTTTGCTTCTCTCTGTTTGCCTCCTTCCCCATAAGATTCTATCGATTTCCTTTAATTATCAAATGAGTCTCGAGACCCGTTTTCGCGAGTGTCCTGCCACCCTGCCGAATGTTCGGCCAAATCCATTCATGAGAGTTTGGCTTCGTGTGGGAGGGAACCTGAAGTAAGCGGAGGAAATCCACCACACTGACGAGGGATTTAACACTCAAAAGCTCAAGCGAATTCAATCCATTATCTGTACAACCATCTCCACCACGCAGCCTAAGCCATCACTGCCTGCCACTTCCCAGGCCGTCTCCTACCCCCAAGTACGAACCAGGCCGCACTCTGTTTTGCTCGCAAGATCTGGGGCACACTTTGGGGCGATTTGCACGTTGGCAATACAGCTCAGCAGGAAGCTCGCTCCCGACAAACTTGGAGGCAGCGTCGCACTCGGGCAGCAAGAGCCAGAGCAGAAGTGGCCCAAGGGTCTGGATCATCGATGGATTTGAGGAGCAGGAGAAGACCTCTTAAGTGCCCCATCATCCCGGCGCCGGCCGTCCTTCACCCTCCCCACCCTCTCTGATCGTTGACAGACTCCCCGTGGACGGTGCTGAGGGTGGACATCGGCCCCGTGATGGCGAACTTCACCATGGGGGGGCTGCTGCCAGTCGCGGACCTACCGCTTCCGCCTGAGCTCCGTCAACGCGGTGGGGACGGGCGAGCCGAGCCACGAGACCGAGAGGTGAGAGAGCGCGCGGAGCGAGCGAGCGGGCGGCTGGGGCGCCGGTGACCGAGGGTCACCGAGGTGGGGGTAGCGCAAGGGCGCGATGGCGGCATCGTTGAAAATCGGAGGCGCGCTCTGATAACATCGATCCCGTGGACATTGACGATGAGATTCAAACTTGAAAGTATCTAACTGCTTGAAAGGGCTGGGCAACATTAATAATAATGGTAAGTTTCATATATCTCGTCGTCACTCGTACAAAGTGTATCTCACAATCAACGAGGAACCACAGACAAGCTGGAAGGTAGGCAGGTGGTGAGCTGGTCCTTTCGGAGCTCTGCAGTTCTCTATCTATTAAGATGTTTTCAGCCATTTACTGAGTATTTGTACTTGTCGGTGGTAACCGGACCACCGGGAGAAAACCCACGAGTGCGAGGAGGCAACACTGTATCTTATACTGATGGAACAGATGGAGATTAGTCCGCATTTAGCTGTACAGCCTTCATCCACCAACCCTCGCTGCTGCTCTCCACAGCGCCGGATTAGAGGCCACGCGCAGCGTAGCCACCACCGCCCGACATCAGCCCAAGGTCGTTCTCAAGGAACTTGGTGCAGCTTTACGCGTCCTCGATGGTAACACGACCCCTGACCCCTTGGCCATACACGCGACCGATGGCCAGGACCGCTCGCTCTTCATCATCGTGCAGCCCGACGGCTGAGCGGTCCAACGCCGCACATGGCAGACTCATGCACGTCGCCTCGTCTGCCTCCTGGGTGGATCCTAGCGGACAATATGATTGTCGCCAGGCCGTCCTATGTTGACGTACTGAGGTTTTGGCGTGGTGCCACAGCCCTCGGTAGTGGTAGCAAAGCCTCCCTCCTCCAGCCCCTTCTACACCCCCACCCTCCTTCCCTCCTTGGCGTGAACACAACCGGGCCGATTAACAGGGCAGACGCGTATAAGTTAGGTTTAATTGCTGTGTTAATTATTGACGATGCCGCTTTCACGTGAATGATGCTTTTCATCGACGCCCGATGATCGCAACGGGACAATTTGCTCTTGCGCAAAACATACACGCGTGCGCATCCACACACACACACATAACTCACACGTGCATACGCTCGCATACACCAAAGACAACAGACTTTTGGGGCAAGTGGCGTTAGCGAGCACCTATAAAGGCCGGTACAAGACACGAGGGGGTGGGTGGCCAGCACCACGCCCGGCCGCCTTTGTTTCCCCAGTGGCGATGTTTACACACCACGCTAGGTCCTCATTTGAGGCAGAGTCGACATAGGGGAGACCTAGGACCGGTTTAGATAATCGTCGTTGGTTTTGGCCGTGAGTGGGAATCGAACCCGTGTTACTGGGGGCCGTAGCGTAGCGTGCTAACCACTGCACCTCCGCTACACTCCCCCCCCCCCCCCCCCATGCACACACGCACACACACACATGCGCGCAATGTACGATCGTTGATTTTACTCTTCCACATTACCGCGACGATCGGTTCGCTCTCTCGGAACGTGAATTTACCGGCCCCGTCACAATCCGAGAGAACGGGGCGACTGGGGGCGAGACGAGCGGACGCCCGATAATGGTAATGTTTATTGTTGAAATGGGGAAGCCTCGCCGGGTCTCGGGACTCCTTATTTCAGGAGGGTTCTGCTAAATCGGGATGATTGAATCAGAGAAGCCAAAGGAAAACAGACACACACTGAGCAACGGGGATGAGACTCAAAAAGGTTTTGCACGGGTGAGTTTCACAGGTGGGTTTACCAGCCCACCTATCACGAGACTGCCGTCCCGTGTCCACCTCGCAGCCCCGGCGGGTTTGAGACTTCGCAGATCTCGGCATGATGAGCCGCAAATGCGCACCGCCACCCTCTGCATCGTAAGCCTCGTACCTAGACATCACTGGTGTCACCTCCATTCAGGGCGACACCAGTGATGATGGCAATGATGTATTTGATGTCTACGACGATGATGACGTGAATAATAATGTTGAATTGTAACGCGCCTCCGCCGCAATGTGGAAAAGATGGAGATTAGGTCACATATATTAGTGTATCGCCTGACGCTCACGAGAATGGAGTTTCACAATTTTGTGAGATCAAGCGATGACAACGATTATGACAGCGATAATGATGATGACCATGATGACGACGATGATGATGACAGCGATGATGATGATGATGACAATGCCGACGATGACGACGACGACGATAAACGTGATGGTGACGACGAGCGGCGATGATGACGATGTCGCCTACCGCTCGCCGCAGTGTGACGTTGCCCGAGGAGCCTCCGGAAGGGACGGTGCAGATGGTGGTGGCTGCCGGGCGGACGAACCGCACGATCGCACTGCAGTGGCAGTCCCCGCCGGAGAGCCAGTGGAACGGAGCGCTCAAGGGCTTCCTCATCCGGTGAGCGGTGGAGCCGGCGCTCCAGATGAGTCAGCGTAACGTGCATGTAACGTCTGTGTAACGTCTGTGTAACGTATGCGTAACGTGTGCGTAACATGTGCGTAACGTCTGTGTAACGTGTGTGTAACGTGTGCGTAATGTGTTCGCACATTTGCGTAATGTGTGCGTAATGTTTGCGTAACGTTTGCATAATGTGTGCATTGTTCAACAAGTGCGGATTGGCGCACGAAATGCAAACGTGTGTCGTGCAACGATAAAAGATGAATGGCAAAGGAGCAGCCCTGCAATTGCTCGCTCGTGATATCGCTGGCGGGAAGGGCCTCCACTGAAAGGGAGCTCGAGAGAAGCCCCTCCGAGAGGGTCTACAACTTACACGCTGGTCAGACTCCTTGACAGAGGTGGGAGTACCCACAGTTTACCCCACCCCACGCGACCAACTGTTTTCAATTTTTATTTATTAGGTATAACCCTGTGAGCCATGCGGCTCTTGACTCGGGTGCAACCGCAACAAAACAAAAACGCGAACAAGAAACATCTTGAAGTGACTACACGCAACAGAAAAAATCATGGAAAAAACAGCAAAGTCTTCCAAAAAGAACATCGCATTTGGGGGGTGGGTGGGGGGGGGCATAGGCAGGGAGCGGCGGTGGGCGGAGGGCGGGTGGTGGTAGTGATGGTGGAATTTAAGAAATGCGAGCCATTGACTCAACTGCCCCGCCGGGAGAACGTATCGAACCGGCGCCGTCTGGATCGCAAGGCCAGCGGCGCTGACGGTCATCGCAAAGCGGCAGCAGCAACGCTCAGAGTCACGCGACCTCAAGCCAAGCTTGAGATCAAGGCTTGAGGTCAAGGCTTGAGGTCACGTGACACACGCACGGTGCAGGAGTGGCCACTTGACTTTCGGTGGGCGCATGAGAGGCAATGTATTCCGCTAAATTGCACGATGGAGATTGTTCATCTCTATTGTACAAAGGGAATAATATATTTTTAAAGACAGATTTTTTCTTTTTAAGATTCCCTTTTCCAACAACTCTTTTCAGGTTTGTAAGTTTCCGTTACGGAGCCGCAGTTCCAACTTTGTTATTTTTTTTCAGCAGTTCAAAGTAGCGTCGCAGTTAAAACTTTAGGTTCTGGTTCAATGCTTACCGCCGTGAAGATGAGCGCGCCTTGAAATTACACCCCGAGCTCTTCAAGGAATCGCTCGCGAAAATCTACCTAGCAAAAAATCGGCTTCGCGAGGTTTTTTTTTTTGGGGGGGGGGGTTGGGGTTGGAGTTCAAACAGATTCGCAAATGTCGAAACGTGTTGATTGCCGTCCGACTGTCTTAAAAAGCGCGCATTCAAACGGTGGGGGGGGGGGGGGGGGCAGCTTGGGGCTCGGCCACACGCCGCAGCAGCAGCTTTGAAGAATTACGATAAAAAATGTATGTAAAATCTATACCGCGCGCTGGCAACACGCGGATGTAATCAATGCTGCTCCACGTTACGCTCGCGTTTATTGCTCGGGTCGTTTGTCACATTTTTAGTTTGTAAAGACGACGCGTCGTCGGCGACCTAACCTATGACACTGGCCAGCAACCTCTCACCCCTAACCCCTAACGCGGTGGATCTCGACCTTTCTGGCGCGCTGCTGCCCCCTCCACCCCCCCCCCCCCCCCAGTCAAGACCACCGGTACCTGCGCCCCCCCCCTCCCTCCCCCCAGTGCAGCATATCCCCCGGCAGGTTACTAGGGCTACAATACAGAGAGAGAGAGGGATCACATATCCACGACCCCAGTCAACGCGGATCTTAGGAAGCCGTTCGTTTCACGCTGTGTGCTGGTGCGTTTTGTTGCCGGCATCGTGGCGCTGCCGTTTCCCCCTTTGCACATTCAAGATTGCTCCCTCACGGTGTCTACGTGCACTTTATTCCCCCACCTCTCCCCCCCCCCCCCCCTCCGTACGATGCATCGCGGCTCCACAGGTACCGGCTGTCCGTCGACCGTGCCGACTACCAGTACAAGAACGTCCCCAACTCGGAGATGACGAGCTACCTCCTGGAGGACCTCTCCGTGTGGACGAGCTACGAGGTGGAGGTGGCGGCCTACAACGGAGCCGGGCTCGGGCCCTACAGCACCGCCGTGCAGGAGTGGACGCTCGAAGGAGGTGAGCGCGGAGGGGGGGGCCGCCACACAGGCGGAAGAGGGTTAGAGGGCCTACGTGTCCTGGAGAGCGGCTGGACGTACTGTATGCACGCAGAACTTATTTCCCACCATACGTCGCCAACCGTGCTCATCGGAGTTGCGGATGAAGGCCTCGCCGAGCCACCGCCACCTCTCACGATCCGGCTCGGGGGCGTGCGGATCTACCTAGCGGACGCACGAGCGAGCTGATGTCATCGTAGTTCCATCTCCCCATGAAGGACGTGCTCTCTCGGACGCCGCGTTCCACTCTCTGGCCGCCGTCGCTCCGTTGTTCTTCTTGACCGTCGGCCATCGTCCCTTCCAGCCGTGATGACACGCCCTGCCCGAGCCGCACGTGACTTGTACGAATCGTTTGGACCTTGTAATCATTAGCCTGCGCATGTTTCACTAATCCATGCGGTCCGCCTTCTGTCCATCAATGTCCTTCCGAGCGTGCGTCTCTCCACGGCACTCTTCGGGCTTTCTTCCGTATATTTTGTAAATGTTTCTGAAGCACGCATCGTGGCAGGTAGCACGCATTGATTCAAACATTGATTCGGGCTTAGGAGCCTTTAACAATCACCAAAGGGGGACGAGAGCATGCTTTTCATGCTTTTGGAAATCTTATTTTGATGATTATGAGCAACATAGCAATGCTCCTCAATAGAGTGTTTAATCAGTACGTAATTCCCTGCTATGACGTTGGGTTCAGGGACGCGATCGTTCATGCAACATGGAAAAAAGCCACCGCAAAGTATGCACGCGGGCGTGGAGAGACGCGACGCTTGGATTCACACCGAGATACAGAAGAGGAGCTCGCTTGGGAGGAGCATGAGCAAGGTCAAGGGTATCATTCAAGCTGTGAAGCGAATGTAAAGGTGTCACGGTGCTTGGGCAGGACACGTCGCCTCGAAGGGTTGGCGGCTGAGACCGACAAAGGAGCGGTGGCCAAAGGGGGGAACGCGCCGGAGAGAACGTCCACCGTGGAGACGGAGCGGTGAGACGGGCCTGGGGTGCAGGAGTTAGGATGGATTCCAACACAGCGAGAATGATGAGCGACGGCGATGACTTGTGGGGGAAGCTTTCATCCAGCAGTGGATAGATGGTGGCTGATGATGACATTGAATGAGATGGGGTGTAATTCATTTTACCTCTAGACCAGGGGTCGGCAACCTACGGCTCCGGAGCCGCATGCGGCTCTTTACGGGCTGCTTCTTGACGATATGTACGTATGTACAGTATGTACAGTATGTATTGCGGCTCTTGAAATACTGAATTTTGTACCGAATTGGAAAGAAATGGCTCTTCTTGTTATTTTGGTTGCTGACCCCTGCTCTAGACGGACACCTAATGTTAGCCCCATTTGCCATTTTCACCAGCACAGAGACAAAGATCACCCTTATAGAATTAACAGACTTTTGGGGCAAGTGCCGTTCGTGAACAACTCTGCGAATTACAAATATCAGTTTACTTGTCACCTGATGAATGTTACTCTGTGCACCAACGTGGAAAGTGCTGCCCCCTTCTCGCTAGAGTAGAGGTCACCTGAAGTGACCTCAGAAGTCGTTCTGTGATATCTGCTTCCGCGGGCCGTCCTCCAACACAGAGGGCTGCAATTCCCTGCGAGGGATCCCTCACGTTGGATCCGTCTCTCACAATGTGAAGGGCACAATCAGGATACAATTGTTGGGAACAAGGACAATTTTAAACAACAACAACAAAAACACAACGATGCATCGACGTAACAGCATCATTCTCTTTTGATAATTATCAAAGTGTGTTTATTGCCGCACTTAAAAAAAAATAAGAAAATTCACTTTGCTCACAATTGCGTTTTTGTCGTGATCGAAATAACGACGGCGGTGACGCGGTGGGAGGAGCCGGGCGCCTGGGCCGCGTGGGCGACTCCCCTGTCGCCCCACAATCGATCCCCCGGCCCTCAGTGATGGTGCGGCTGCTGCACCTGGTTTGCATAGGAGAAGGCCACCCCCTCCCCCCACCCCGTTTCTCAGATCGGAACGTCAAACAGAAACCAAGGCCCACCGTCTCCACTCAGCACTCAGCATCAGCAGCGTTGGCCACCGTGTGTGTGCTTCTCCTGAGACAAGCCCGAGGAGGGAGGGGGGTCATCCCCCCCCACCACGACCACCGCCACCTCCCCGCACACCGCACTCGACCGCAATCCCCCCGACCAATGCTTCTCAGCCTGTCGGCTCGATGCATCGCATCGATTTTGCGGGTGTTTGTCCGTCCATTGATTCCCTTCCTCTTTTGGAAGCTCTCGGGCTGCCTGTCTTTTGCGCGTTGCATCCGGACGACTTATCGTTTGGAACACACGAGTGGCTCCTTTTTCTTTTTGTTAGAAAAAAAAATGGGCTGAGCGTTCATGTTTTGCACACACACACGCACGCGCACGCACGCACGCACGTGTGTGTGTGTGTGTCTGTGTGTGCGTAGGGAAGCGATAGCCTATGGGGAGCGGTGGTGTAGCGGTTAGCGCGCTGCGCTATGAACCTGGCGACCCGGGTTCGAGTCCCGCTCACGGCTAACACCAGTGACGATTATCTGAACCGGTCCTGGGCATCCCCTAGGTCGACTCAGCCTTAAATGAGTACCTGGTGCGGTGTGTAAACATCGCCTACTGGGGAGACAAAGGCGTTCGGGCGTGGTGCTGGCCACCCACCCCCTCGTTCGTGTACCGTTCCGGCCTTCATAGGTGCTCGCTAACAGCACTTGCCCCTACAGTCTGTTAAGGCTACACGGGGGATCTTTGTCTTTATAGGGAAGCGTGCAGCTTTCCTCCGTGCTTTCGGGCGGCTATTTCCTGCGTTGTTCGTCACGATGTCCAGCCTTTCGCTCCACGGATACTGGGCGGCCTTCCTCAGAAACTGATTTAATTCACTCGTTCAATTTCCTAAGAGGCTTCTCCAAACGACATATACACTCAATCTATTCAGTTCCCGAAGAAGCTCCCAGCACGTGCAGCGAAACGTCGGACATCGTGCTGAACAACACGCGGTAACAACCAGAATGCACATCGGAGAGCTGTATGGCGCAACCATCAAAAGCATGTGTGTGCTAAATGTGGTGTGTGTGTAACGTGGTGTGTGTGTGTAATGCGATGTGTGTGTAATGTGATGTGTGTGTGTGTAACGTGATGTGTGTGTGTGTGTAACGTGGTGTGTGTGTCTGTAACGTGGTGTGTGTGTGTAATGTGATGTGTGTGTAATGTGATGTGTGTGTGTGTAATGTGATGTGTGTGTGTGTAATGTGATGTGTGTGTGTAACGTGGTGTGTGTGTGTAACGTGGTGTGTGTGTGTGTAACGTGGTGTGTGTGTGTGTGTAACGTGATGTGTGTGTGGGCGCATGCGGGCAGTGCTGAGTGGGAGCTTGTCTGAGCTGTGTGGCGGGTAGAGGAAGAGTCGGCTGGGTGGGGTGTCTCGTTGAGCAGCTATATTCAAATTATACCTTGTCAGCCCGTGACAAAGTTTCAAAGTCTTGTGGTTAAAAAGGTCCTCTATCGCTTCCACTCGGCGCGCTTTGCAGCGCAGTTGTGCACGGCGCACATTCGTAACACCCACTTTTAAGCCATCGCCTGTGCACAATGGCGTACGAGTTGGCAGGGCCCTTCTCGTAAGATGTGGCGCGCGCGCATTCTCGTGCGAACGCGTGCGCGTGCATGCAAACAGAGCATACGCGCGCCACATGCAATACATACGCACGGTTAACAACCACACAAATAGTGGGCACATTTGAACAAAAAGCGTGCACATGCAACGGTCTGTCATAGCGACGGCGGGACACGTTTGCACTTTGCTTAAAATAATGGGGTCTGGGTGAATTAGACCAACTTTTGGCAAGGTTTTTCGGCTTAAACTCCGCCAATACCTTCATGGTGGAGAAAATTGCCAAACCTGTGTTGTTTTTGGCCATTTCATCGAGGTCATTATAATAATGGGTACAATATAATAATAATAATATTATTAATCATGTCGATGCCACTTGTTCAACTTGGAAAGCCACATTTGAGTCTCACGACTCTTGGTCACGGAGGGCCCTGCCGCATCGAAATGTTTGGCCCAATTCCTTGAGACAGTTATTATCCTCCGTGCAGGAAGGAAACCGAGTGCCTGGAGAAACCCCAATAAAACGTACGAGGGGAGTCACACTCAAAGCTGTTATTCTGGCCACCTTACAGCATCGCTTCCAAGTGTGTATCCATGTTATTATAACATTAAACGTGCAGAGAATAGTTTGTTATAGATATATATCAATATACCCGACACACCAACAACTTGCAACGCATTTGCCATGCCACAAGAAGACGTGGCATGCAAATTCAGAGCCGTTTTTTTCCCGCACGGCCCCTCGCGATGCCCATGACCTGGCATCGATAAATCGTGCGTGGAAAAGTACAGCAGGACCCGCAACAGTGACGGCTGGCCAAAGATCGTAACAAACACCGCCGGAGAACCGAGGGCTTATCTACACACATTTGTTTTGCACATTTTTCTCTTTCTCGGCCTGCCAGCTAATGATCGCGTAGTAGGAGTCGTGGCAAGGTCTCCCGTGCCGCGTGATGGAGGAGGAGGGAGAGGAAGCTGTAGTTTCAGAGTTACCACTTTCCTGGGTGGCAATGGGTTGGCTTCTGTGAGATACAGAATCCCAGAGCAGCAGCAGCAGCAGCAGCGTTACTTGTTGAAAAGAACACCTACTTGAAAAGGGCTGACATTTTTGATTGATAACAGTTTCTGTCAACTGGGGAGTCGCTTATTCTGCAAAAAAATAAAGTAAAAGAAAAGGGTAATGAATACCAATGAGGACTACACCGAGTGGGCTTCACAATTTCTGCGCGACGTGAGCTGCAATTGGTTGATTTCTCAAGGTGAGAGTGGCAGATTTCGACGGTTTTCTGACATAACTTCTCTCATTCCCCACTCGATTTTGGTGATGTGTTTCATCAGCCCCCCCCCCCACCACCACCACGAACCTCGCCCCCCCCCCCCCCCCTTGCATCAAAAAGGAAATTGTCCTGGGTAGAATTTTGCAGTGCAAAATAAAATTGAGCGGGCTGCTTCCTCCACTCTTTTAAATTGCGGTGAATAAAAATATATATATCTGTACATCTATTCCTTTTTCGATTCCAGTACACTGATCTTTCGCGACTTCACCCACGATTTCCCCATTGTCACAATTACTCATGCAAACGGCGCTGAGCTACTCAAAGTCGGTTCTCGTCCGCTCGAGTAGTAAAAAAAAAAATTAACTACACGCCAAGAAAAATGTTCCATTAAAATTTTAAGCCGGGCAACACATGCCACATCAGCAGGCGAGGATTTATTGGAGAAGACCAAAATAGCTTCGCGGGCAAAGCGGGTAAACAGCGCGCGCATAACGAGGCGAGCGGACGCCTTGCCGCGGAGAGCCGCGTGAAGGACGGCTCGGTGAATTCGTGGGACGTGTGCGCTCGTGACCCAATGTCGGTTCCTCGAACCACGTCGGAACCAAACACACGTGGTCCGTTGGTACCGACCGTTGCGAACGATGCTGCCGATGATATTCCCGGAGAGTTTCATCTCGAGGTCGCAAGCATGCATGATCGCGCGTGGTCTCTGTGATAGCTTTCCACAAGGTATTGCCATCGAAGGATAATACACGCTTGGAAGAGAATCTCAATTTGGAGAGGAAGCACTGTTGCGATATGAAACATCTGCAGAATATGATAATACATATTACGTGCGTCGATAACAACGACGGTAAATACCGGTGTTCTTCACTCATTTTCAGAGGGCAGCCACTTTCGCTGATAAGCCATCAGTGTGAGGGCTGCCACACATTTGACACCATTGGGTCTGACAGCACAATGGGGGGTGTTGTCACTATTTGCGTAATGTCAGGGGCCGCACTAAAGGCCACCAGGGGCCGTCAGTGAAGACCACAGGTGTATACTTTCTTTTATATGTAGTGAGACTGCTCCATAACGTTGGGGGGGGGGGGTGGAGGAGAGGCCTGAACGCACCCCCCACCCCTCCCATCTTCAAGGCTGAGCCCTCCACTACTACATTCCCATATTCAAGTCTAAAAAGACGTCGGTGCAATGTACGCATGGAGGGTGAGAGCTGGCAGACATAAGCAGATCCCACCACGACTCATCGTGTTCAGCGTTTTCACATTAGTCTCAAAGTTGTGTGTTCCCATTGACCGTGGTGGCCCCCTCTGAGCTCTGAGTTGTTAAACGCCCCTATGCTCAATTGAACAAGCTCACGACTAAGGCGTTGTAGCGAGATAGCGATGTAGGAAGGTGGGAGGAGAGTGCTATGAGCAATATTAATTGGCGTTACATGTTCATTAATAATACAAAAAAATGTGCGATTTGTAACGAGCACAGCGTTGAATGGGACATAAGTGTCCGTGACCAAGGTACAGAGCTAAGGCTAAGTGTCGCTTGAAAAGCCGGGAGATAGCGATGGGACCTTTAAGTGTCTTTTAAAAGAAGTTGCACATAAAATGCTGCGAATATACACCAGGATAATAATAATAAGTTCAACTTGTAATGCGCGGCACAGCATTCGCTCGCTCTCATAGAGAGAGAGAGAGACACTTCAGACGATTGGGAGCTGCCACAAAACGTCGTGTTTATTAGCATTCGAAGTGAAGCAGATATTTCTCAATACATTTGTTTATTTTATTGTACTTTATTTTGTTCATTCACGGCAATCGGGAAGCCCCCCCCCCCCCCGCCTTGGGCTGCTTGGGGGATGGGTGGGGGGGTACCCCCTATGGTTTTGGTCTGCTTGCCCCCTAAGCGTTTTCTCGGCTTGCTCGGTCACCGTCCCGTCGCGCGGCTCAGCTCCCCGGGGCGCGTGACTCCGGGAGCCAGAAGCGCCGACCCCCCATGCTCCCTCCCTCCCTGGCCTCCCCCGCTCCTCCGCCCGCTCGCCATGGCGGTGGCCTCGGCGAGAGACGCAAGAAGAGTGGCGGCACAAGGGGTTGGTGGCGGGAGTGGGCACAGAAGTGGCACCGGCAGTGTGCCAAATCACGGCCACAAGGGGGGGGTGGAGTAGTTTTTTTGGAGGCTTCAAGTAAAAAAGGAGGGGGAAAAAAATCTGCAAAGGCGGGTCAGGTGACTTAATGAGGTGATAGCCCATTTAGTGAGTGCAAGATGTTGTCAGTCGCAATGGAGGCCCAACAAAGAGAGCAAAAAACGAAAATAAACATTAACCAGAGTTTTTACGAATAACAGTCATTTGGCAGTCTATTGTTGGATGAAGCCCTCTCCACTGCCTTGTGACGTAAAAATTCAGGTATCCCTCGATTTACAAAAGGGATGCGTTCTTTAAAAAAAAAAAACTACGTGCATAAAACGAAATTTCGTAAATCGGAATGGCTTTCCCCATTAATTTAATTTAAAAAAAATCAGCAATGTAATTCGGACAGTCATTCCAAGTCGACTTATATTTTTGGTCTTTCGGTAAAGTCACGTAGATAGAAAATAAAAATGAAATAAAAAATAATAATAATTTTATTTTTTATCTACGTGACTTTACCGAAAGAACCAAGAATATAAATTCCTGCAGTCACGAAAGTTTTGAGGCAAAATACAACTCTACTTCTCACTTAAAAATATACGCCTATATCACTTCAATACAAACATAACAATAAATAACGTAAATTGTAAAACGATTGCATAATAATTCATTTCAAACGAAAATAATTCACCTTTTCAGGGAACTCACCAAAAGATCTGCATGTTTCAGTGACTGGCAAGGCGATGTGGAGACGTTGCTGTTGCCCTGTGACGCTGTAGCGGATGGATGATGCGGCCGGCCGGACTCTTCTTGTTTGGTGATCACACACACGGCACGTGCCGTGATGAGATTTCGTTCACGTGGAAATTCGATTCCGTTTATCGAAAAGTGTCCATCATTTGGCGATTGCGTTCACGCGAAATTTTGTGCAAACCGAAGGTGGGCTGACATTTCAGGCAATGGTCCAATGTCACGACTTCACTTTTGAGTCTGGAAAATATTAAGGAGTAACAGCACTTGTCCTGACAGGTTGTAAAAGGCTAAATGTGGGTTATTTGTTTTTGTGTTTCTAGATGTAATGGTTACTGATTTGTCTGTCGTGTGTGTGGGGAGCGGTGGCGCCGTGATTACCGCGCTGTGCGACGAACCCGGCGACTCGGGTTCGACTCCTACTCATGGCCAACACCAGTGACGATTATTTGAACCTGTTCTGGGCCTCCCCTAGGTCGACTCAGCCTCAAATGGGCACCTGGTACAAGGTGTAAACATCGCCACTGGGGATACAAAGGTGGTCGGGCGTGGTACTGGCCACCCACCTCCTCGTGTACCGTGCTCGCTAACAGCACTTGCCCCAACAGTTTGTTAAGGCTATACGGGGGGCCTTTGTCTTTGTGTGTGCGCGTGGGGGCAGTGCCAACGGCGCCACCGGAGAGAGTTCGAGCAGAGGCCATCAACTCCACCACCATCCACGTCACCTGGTTTCCACCCAGCTCGCACTTCGTTCACGGCGTCAACCAGGGCTACAAGGTGCGTGTGCGTGCGTGCCCTGCACCAGTTGCAACCTTCTGGGCCTTGTTAGCAGGCTCTGATGGGGATATACAAAAGGATGCGACACCAGTCCAAAGTTAAGCAACTTACTCTTAGGTTTTTCCGGTAAAGTCACGTAGGTAAAAAATAAAATTTAAATTAATAAAAATAAAATAAAAATCACGACGTTTCGGTTTCAACACAAGCTTCCATCTTCAGGTGGAACCGTCACAGCACGATTGCTATATCAGCAATTGCTGTATCAGCAATCGTGCTGTGACGGACACAAGCTTCCGTCTTCAAGTGGAACCATCACAGCACGATTGCTGATACAGCAATCGATTGCTGATACAGCAATCGTGCTGTGACGGTTCCACCTGAAGACGGAAGCTTGTGTTGCCCCCGAAACGTCGTGATTTTTATTTTATTTTTATTAATTTTAATTTTATTTTTTACCTACGTGACTTTACCTAAAAAAACCTAAGAGTATGAATCCTTGCAGTCACGAAAGCTTCAAATCTAGAGTTAAGCAACTTGCTGATGGATAATATCAGTCTGGAAAACCAACAGGCCGATGGGCAAGCAAGTGTTTTAATTATTTGTGGAGACAGTACACAGTTCTGATTATGATGATTATGAATCGCGGTCTTCTCTTCTTCAGTTCCCTTCCATCTCATATTTGAGACGATGAGACCCACTGAGTTCTCAACATCAACGTTCGTCTTTCACCAGATTCACGGCGTCCTTTACTCGTCGCCCCTGCCGTTTGAGATCATTGCTCGCCGGGTAAAATCCATCCCATCTTGGCTCTTCCCCTGCCTCTTGTTCTGTGTGCTCGCATGTGTAACGCCACTCGCACACGTGGCATTCCCTGCGGAACCACTCTCCACCACCTGGCTACACCACCGGAGTTGTCTGTCTCGGATCTTCTCCGTCAGCGTCACCACTCGTCCCAGTCGAACTCTTACCGCTCCACGTTTCATTTGCTAATTCTCCGGCACTCAGAGCCGCAAATTCGTACCGGCTGAAGCTCGTGTCATGGCGTTCGAGGACCAGTGACAGAGAAGAGGAGGCCCTCATCCAGTAGTGGATTGGGCGATAACGATGACAATGATGACGATGCAGTCATCCCATTCGCCACGTGGCAGGATTCGTCATCGTTGGTGTGCGAGACTAACAATGGAGCACATTGAATGATGACGATGACCATTGTGTCGCCCTCGTCCGCCACGCGTGCCAGCTTCTGGCGTGGCGGCCGGAGAGCCCCGGCGACGTCACCGTGCGGACGTTGCCACCGCAGCCCGAGGGTTCGGGCCCCGGCGGGGGCACGGGCCCCCTGCACTCGGGGTACCTGTCGGCCCTGCGCAAGTTCACCGAGTACCACGTGAGCGTGCTGTGCTACACGACGCCGGGCGACGGACCGCGCAGCCCGCCCCTCCGCCTACGCACCAGTGAGGCCGGTGAGCTGCCCCCCCCCCCCCCCACCACCACCACCACTGGTGGCGTCGTCATCATCGTAGCTGATTGCCTCCCCGTATCACCAGCTATGATCATCATCGTGGCTGGTGACACGGGGAGGAGGTGTGCGGTGCGGGACTCGGGGCGGAAAGCAAAACTATAACGAAAGAGAATTGAGAATTGATTTTTAAATCGAGTCGTGGCCCTGAACCTTTGACAAGTCACGAAATCGCTTGAGAGGTGAATTGTTAAGATGCCCGGTCACAACTAGAGTTTCAAGTTTATTTTGTTTAACTGGGTGAGAACTCAAAGAGTGTCTCATTTGCAAGAGTCACCTGCGAAATGTTTGGACGTGGTTTCGGAAACCACTACGGAAGCCGCAATCATACACCTGGAGCGAAACGTCAGACGTCGTGACGAGCATTTACAACCCCGAAAACACGATCAGAGAGCAAGCGAAATTCTACCACTGCAAAAACCTACGCAGTCGTGTCAATAAAATAATTAGTTTTTCTTTCCCGTGAAACTCTTGGCTGCAACTTTTCTCCGTGATTAAAGTAATTATTTTCATTTGACCCTGAGTTGCCAGGCTTCACAGAAATGTGTAAAAGTGGCCAAAAAAAACATATTTTTTCTCATTTGGCTACTCATTGAACAAAAACTAAGGGGGTGGGGTGGGGGGATTTATAAATAGAGCAAAAGGCGAGATAATGCTCAACATATTCTCAGTGTGGCTCGCGTGGTTATTGCTCGGAGATGCGCTGTGAGCGGTACTAAAGTGGCCGGTCGCAGGAGCTGAACGATAAAAAAAAATAGTTTTTTTTTAATGTAGCCCCAATCGTGCTCCTAATTAGCTGTCATCCACAGTGCGATCATTGAAATCCTGTCCTCAAAGTGGCACTTCCCTGCCCTGGGCTGCCCTGATTAGTGCTGCTCGATCTCAGGCTGTGAGTCTAAGTGAACCTATTTGAGTCGCACGCTGTGAAAATAGAACGTGTCTGATCGACCTTTACACAATGAGCTGGAACGTTTTATTTTTTTCCCTCGGTTCAGGTGGCCTCATATTACAAGGCCATTTTTTTTTATTGCTACTGCCACTGCTACCGCTAGTATGACTATTATCACCACAATCTATTCGTTGGTGTGAAGTGAAATTATACTATGCGAAGGCAAATTATATATATGGTTCTTTTTAATGCGACATATTTTTGACACTGCCAAATTTTAATTGGCATTCAGGTGATCATCACGGATTGAAGAAAATATAAATAGCTTAGCTTTGATTAATAGATAATGTGCTCCCGCACTTGTAAATTATAGTGTCCAATATTTATTTGGAGGCTCTGCACATAATGCAATAGGGGCAGTGAGGAATTCACAGTGGCGTTTATAACAACACAATGGCCTGGGTTAATTTTACTTCACTGGTCCTTTTGTGCTTTTCCAAGAAAAGCAGCGCCAAAGAATGCAATTCAAAGGGAAAAATAAGTATGCCACCTGCTTGTTTTAAAGGGCCTCGCTTCTAGCCAGGTGTGTGCTTGACAGAGTTAATTGAATTGTCAGACAATGGTTACTTTCAAAAAGAAAGGGAACAGATTGGGGTGGGTGACCACTGCCAATGACGGTGGTCCACAGCTAAACTTTCCTCTCAAGAATTATCTCCGGCACGTGTGTGTTGAACTTATTTTTGCACTGTCCATAGCCAACCGTGCTAATAAGAGGTACGGGGGAAGGACAACAAACTAAACACAAAAAGGCATCCTCTGGATGAAGGAGGGGCAGTTAAAGAGACGGCCATTGGAGTGGACTCCATGAGTCAGCTGACCTACGAGCAAACGGTCAGATACTCTAAGGGTAGACCTTGGAGGTCGCCCCTCGACTGTGAAGCAGCAGAAGCAGCTGCGGAATCTGTCAGAGGATGGAAGGCGTTGGGTAGCGAGGCATGGTGGTGACATCAATGGCTTTGGGCCAAGATGATAAATGTGAATCTTGAGCCTTTCCAACTGATGCAAGTGAAGAACTGGATTTACAATTAAGGTTTGAGTGCCAGGGGGACTCGCTTAAGAGGAGAGACGGGCGGCAGGGGCACCAATTCCTCATCCAGGAGCGGCACGGCGAGTCTTGAAAGCGCTTTGTGCTAATTAGCAGCGAATCCTCGAGGGCCACTGTTCTACAGAGTAGAGCTGCCCCTGCCGACCCGACTGGACGCTGGTCCATGGAGAAAGAGCCTCCGCGGCTTCGTCCAAATCAATTGATGCCCTCCCGCAACATTCGTGATGGCGGTTTAGTCATTCCTGGCACTGCTGCTGTCTGAGATTAAACTGGAGAAAACGGTGGATGGGAGGGGGGGCGGTACGGTGGGGGGGAGCACGAAGCGGAGGTCGCTTTATTCAGGGGCTCAGAGTTGCGCCATCAGTCCCGGCAGTTTGTGTGTGTGGCCGCCAACAGGGGCACAGCCGCACTGCGTAAGTTGGGGGAGTGCTCTCCTCCCCCCCCCCCCCCCCCCGCCGTCTGGCAAAATCATCACGGATAATTCGGAGTTCTGCTGTACTCAGATGATACTAAATCTACGTAGCTACTGGCTACCGATTATTTGATTAACTGTCCGTGTACTACTGTGTGTTTTAAGGGTCCGTCGTCTGTGCAGTCAGCATTTATGTCACCGCGTTTGTAGGGAGAAAAACAAATTAGGACTGGAAACTAGAATAGATTTTTGTTGACGATGTTGTGGATGTCTCTTAACCATATTTAAACGTGTTTGGAGGTCAAAGTTACCTACCACGAATAATGTAGCGACAGTTATTTATGAAAGCATCAGCAAATATCAGCTCACTACTGCGCATCTGTACTCGAACCGGTGATCACCGGGAAAGATGTAGGAGTGGGATAGCAACAAATTCTAAAATGTGGCTGCACCCATTCATAGAGATCTGATATCTACAGCAACCTCCACTCACTCTCATAGAGATCTGTAAGCTACAGAGACCTCCACTCACTCTCATAGAGACCTGTGAGCTACAGAGACCTCCACTCACTCTCATAGAGACCTGTGAGCTACAGAGACCTCCACTCACTCTCGTAGAGACCTGTGAGCTACAGAGACCTCCACTCACTCTCATAGAGATCTGTGAGCTACAGAGACCTCCACTCACTCTCATAGAGACCTGTGAGCTACAAAGACCTCCGCTCACGCTCATAGAGACCTGTGAGCTACAGAGACCTCGACTCACTCTCATAGAGACCTGTGAGTTACAGAGACCTCCACTCACCCTCATAGAGATCTGTGAGCTACAGAGACCTCCACTCACTCTCATAGAGACCTGTGAGTTACAGAGACCTCCACTCACCCTCATAGAGATCTGTGAGCTACAGAGACCTCCACTCACTCTCATAGAGACCTGTGAGTTACAGAGACCTCCACTCACTCTCATAGAGACCTGTGAGCTACAGAGACCTCCACTCACCCTCATAGAGATCTGTGAGTTACAGAGACCTCCACTCACCCTCATAGAGATCTGTGAGCTACAGAGACCTCCACTCACTCTCATAGAGACCTGTGAGCTACAGAGACCTCCACTCACTCTCATAGAGACCTGTGAGCTACAGAGACCTCCACTCACGCTCATAGAGATCTGTGAGCTACAGAGACCTCCACTCACTCTCATAGAGGCCTGTGAGCTACAGAGACCTCCACTCACTCTCATAGAGATATGTGAGCTACAGAGACCTCCACTCACTCTCATAGAGACCTGTGAGCTACAGAGACCTCCACTCACTCTCATAGAGACCTGTGAGATACAGAGACCTCCACTCACTCTCATAGAGACCTGTGAGTTACAGAGACCTCCACTCACTCTCATAGAGACCTGTGAGCTACAGAGACCTCCACTCACTCTCATAGAGACCTGTGAGCTACAGAGACCTCCACTCACTCTCATAGATATCTGTGAGCTACAGAGACCGCCATTCCCTCTCATAGAGATCTGTTAGCTAAACCGACCTCAGTTCACTCTCATAGAGATTGGATAGCTAAAGTGACCTTCATTCACTCTCAGAGATCAGTATGTATGTATGTTGGACTTCTTTCGCACTGTACGTATCCAATTGTGTTAATCGGAGGTGCGGGGAAGGACAACAAGATCTGTGAGCTTACAGCAACCTCCACTCAGTCTCAAAGAGATATGTCGGCATTCCTAAATAACGGGTCAGGGTGCATCGGTAACCTAACCAGTAACCACCAAGGCACATTCGTACTTGAGACTGCTCCAACTTCGTGCTGATAGCTTATCTAATGCACGGCGTTATATTTGGAGTATGCATTTTCTCCCCGTAGTCATGTGGATGTTTCTTTGTGTCCTCCACATTTAGAATTTACTTGCGTTGAGATTATTCGGCTGCTATACTTTTCCACATGACAAGCCACTTAGTTGGGCTATCATTTGTGGCCAGGTCGCTTCTGAAAAAGGGCTTAAAAGCTCAGTGGGCCTTACCTGGTAAAATGGAAAATGTGTTTTTTTAGTTTTTTCATTAATCGTTCTCCAGTTTGTCCGGTCGGGCATCCCACACTGCCAGGCCGTGATCCCGACCGCACATTGCCCCCCATCTCCATGGCATTTTTTCATGCCTGGTCACACTATGGCCCCAGAGTGTTTAACCAGGGCACAGATTTATTATTTTTATTTTCCCCAACGTACGTCCAGAATCTGCCCTCCTCTCTCGGCGTGATTGAGCTGCGCCGTGCGTGTGCGAGTTTTTGCACCTTCGGCCGGGAAATCACCTGGCAACTCGTATCTCAAGACCTGCTGACATTATAATGCCCAAGCCCTGCCTCTCCACTGCCGCTCTTACTCGGGCCGGGCCTTATCATTCACGGCTGCCTGCAACTCTTAATACCACTGGCCGGGAGAGCCATGATAACTCAGCCCCGGCGTATTATAGTACCTTGCTGTCTATACCGGCCCGCAAATGGCCCTCCTAAAGCTGTCCACTATGAGAGATGGCCGCACCGTTTTAATGCCATTGATTGGAGTGCATCAGAACTTTCATTTTACAACTTGCCGTGATACTCCATAAACTTTTGCTGGGTTCGATGCTTCTCTGGGTTTAAATTTGAACATTAATAATATTTTTTGTGCTTATGTCTGTGTAATTAGCTGGGTTGCAGCGATGTAATTTTTCACGATACGATGATTATCGCGACATCGGTTGTTCAAAACGTATTTCTTTCTCGTATTGTTTTCATGCCTTCATGTACAAATAAATATTCCTTTAGAGATAGGCAACTGCGGTTCACGCAACATAAGCCCTGGCACACGTTGTCATAAAATGAGGATTTAATTAAATTTTATGTCACCAGTTACTCCGGAAAATGTTTCACGAAGAACCAAGACAACCGGTTACAGCTATTGTACAAGAACTTTTAATTATTGGTATAATTTCGTGAATACTTTGTCAAAAATGTCAAACTTAAGGGAAATTAAAAAGAGCAATGTCAATCGCGGACGATGTTGTTGCCTAATGGACGATTTACAATTATCCTGCATGGCATATCGCATAAATGATGCTGCCACAGTGGTGAGATGGTGAGCACATTGGACTTGTAATCCAACAGTCACCGGATCATTTCCATCTTTCATCGCGTCAGTTGAAACCCCCCCCACCCCCATCACTGTCCACCCAGCAGTATAAATTGGTTCACCGCAGGGGGTCCCATCAGCAGGTCAAATTGTGGGGTGCTCCCGCTTTTCCCAACTCGTCTCTTCGGTATAGAAGAGGAGACCGAAATACCCGCGCGTTAGTGGAGGCCCTTCAGCCGGCAGTGGCGCGAGCGAGGAATTGCAGGGCTGCACCTTTACCTGCATAGTACAAGATTATCGTGGTATTGCCATGTCGCGGCAACCCTAGGAAATGCACCCGGGCTACGGTTATGATAGTGATTTATTATTATTATTATCGATATCTCTGTGTGCTAACTGCTGCGTCGGGGTTGTTTGTCCCCAGTACCTGGTCCCGTGGGGAATCTGGGTTTCTCCGAGATTCTGGATACGTCTCTCAAAGTGAGCTGGGATGAGCCGCAGGAGAAAAACGGAATCTTGATCGGTAAGGAAGGTCGCGCGCTCGTTTCTCTCGGCCCTCCGCTTGCTCTTGATGCGAGAGCTCCTCCACCTCTACGCCCTACCCCGGTCAAAGTTATGATTGACTTTTTTCCTCTGTTATGATGGCTTTTCCCATCGCTTACAGATTTGATTCCAGGTCAAAGTGATTTCCTGCTCAAATGAGCATCGAGGCATTGGTGCTCACGTCCTATTTACAGCTCTGAGCCAGTGGTGGAAGTTCCACATTGCTGTGATAATAACCGGTCTATCACCCAACTAAGATTTGAACTCTCAACCTTCTGATAATGAGCCACTCACTCCACCGCTGAGCCACCTCTACCCGGGACACCCCTGCAGTTCACCAACTCCCACTGACCAGCGCGGTGAAGTATGGTCAGATAACCCCGATGGACCCGCACGGTGTGAGAAGGCCATCATCCAGCAGTGGATTGACAAAAGGGCTGTAAATATAAAAGTAATGCGAAATTAAATAGTTTGTTTCGTATGTTATCGTGATTGTCCAGTGTTATGAGGTACAGTTTATTTTTTATTTGTTGTATGTAAGGGCGGTGGCGTAGTAGTTGGCAATACTGTGCTCTGAACCCGGCGACCTGATGTTAGCCACGGCCAACATCTGTGGTGAGTGATGTCTGAATCGGTCCTGGGCCTCCAGCACTCAACCAAGTCTGCCCACAAGGACCCTCCACAAAGACACGTTTGGGAGGGGGGGAAAAATCACGAGTTATTGGACGGCACGGTCTTGGAATAAGTAACGGCGTCAATCACTGTTTGGGGACATCTCAGATTCTAGACGGTGGGGGTGAGTGAGTGAGTGAGTGTGTGGTGGTGGCGTTATACCAAACGTGTGTCTGTGTGTCTTTGTGTACTCGTGTGGGAAAGCATATTCAGCAGAATGCAAACCATCTGTGTTGCCCGGTCAGGAAAAACAAAACCTCTAGACCAACGCAATACAATTTATTTTTTTTGTCTAGCGTCAAATTACAAAAAAAAAGGATCTCTCAGACGCTGAGCGGGCAGTGCCATGAATCAAACGAAGAGAAAAGTCAACACGGAGCAAAATGAGCGCTTTTGAACGGAGACATTGGACCATAGAAAACAAAACACGAGCGATGCAATAAAAAAAGTCCAATAGATTTACGAAACAAGACTGTTCGTTTTCTTGAAACTGCCCGTCGGGAAAAACAAAAACACGCACAACTCTTACGTAGCGCCATTTACCGCTCATGTTTTTAATAATAACTGCGATTATTATGAACACAAATCTCGTTGTGGGAAATAGGGTTCAAATCACAGCGGATGGTATTGGAGGTCATTTCCGATGCAGGAAAGCACTGCGCAGATCACTCGAACAGAGCACTCGGGAACTGAAAGGAGGCCGGCCAGCTGTGTTCATGTTTTGTTTTTGTCCACCAATTTTTTCATCCCATTTGTTGCCCATCAGCATTGCGTCATCAGATGACGAACCAATTCGGATCCCTCGCAGGGCAGTGCAACCTTTGGCGTTGGAGAAGAGGCCACGGGGAGCAGAGATGACAGAGCTACTCCTGAGATCCGTTCACGTGAACTCTGGTCCACGCAGTTAGGGGGCAGCACTTTCCCCACCCACACTGTCACGGAGAGTAATGTTCATTGCGCGACGTTTATCATTCTCAGACCTGGAAGGTAACCAAATGAAGTGCGTCATTGAATTTATTTATTTTTTTATTGGGGGGGGGGGGTGTGCAGTCATTGATAACCCTGCTAAGACCATCAATTCGGTGCACTCGCAACCCTGGCTTAATTGCAGATGGCTGAAATCTGGATTGAAACCCTGTCTCTCAGCAAGTTCCAGCTCAGCACTCTGACCTCTGAGCCCACTGGCCGGCTGAACTATGACAAGTGTAGTGGGTTTCGCTTTTATTGGTATGGTGGTGGCGGCTGCGGTGGTGGTAGTGACGGCGGTTGGGGCGGCAATGGACATGGTTGTGCAGGGCGCGCCATCGAAAGCTCCACATCGGCGCACGGCGCTGTCGGCCCCCCTCGCCTCCTCATCAATCGCCTCTCACGTCGGATCGAGAGGAGAAATTAAGAGTTATCGCGGAACGCAAACGCAACAAGAGACTGATCAAGGCCTGGCGGCAGGACAAAAAAACATTGACTCGGGCATTTTTCATTGCCGGCTCCATCTGATGAGGCGCACCACTTGAAAGCGCCGGCCCGTCATGGAAAATCATTTCGGGCCGTCGGTGCCCTCGCGGACAGATAAATAAACGCGGTGCAGCCGCCATCTATTGGATGGGCGCTGAATCCCCGTTTGGGGCTCTCTGTGTCACCCCCCCCCCCCTAAGCCCCCCCCCCCCCCCGATTCCCTTAACTCTTCGGTCACTCTCGAGATGAGAACCGCTTCACCTCTATGATCTACCCAGGTCACCCGACCCCCCCCCCCCCCGGTCCGTAAAAGTGAATTGCAGTCGCAATGGGTTTCTCACTGGGTGAAAGGATACGTATCATTGCTGCTGCTATTACTGTTATGTACAGTATCGTGTTTGTACAGTATTTATGGGATGGGGGTGGGGACAGTGGCCAGTGACTGGGGTTGCCTCCTGTCCTGGTTTTCACCGGATCATCATCTTGTTGAGGTGACTGCTGCTGTCCTGGGAAATCTACATGAAAACACCTGCTTCGTGTCAATTGCGTAGCAGTCGTAATTGTAATAATCATACACGAATCACGGCAATGGATGTGCATGTAAGGTCTCCCCACTGCTATTATCGTGAGACGTTCTTTCTTTTATCTGTGACATGCTCCGTTTTATCTGTAGCTCAGAGGTGGCAACCCTAGCGGTGGCGCAGTGGCCAACGCACTGCGCTATGAAACTCGGCGCTCTGAGTTCAGTTCCCGACCACGGCTAACGTCAGCGCGAAGAGATGATACCCGAATAGATCCTGGGCATCTGTCCTTCACCAACCCGCACGAAGCAGCACGCGGTGAGGTGTGGTTACATCCAGAGCCGGCCCAGCCACTAAGCGACCCTTGCAATTGCAAAGGGCCCCGTGGCCAGCAGAGGGCCCCCTAGAGTCACTGCTAGCTAGTGGGTGAAAAAAATCATACATCAAAGGGGCCTCCAACCAAATTGTGCTTAGGGCCCCCAAAGGTCTAGGGCCGGTTCTGGTTACATCGCCCGAGCGACCGAGGCAGTGTGTAGGGAGACCTTCACCTTCATCCAGCAGTGGACTGACAAAAGCGTTGTAAATCACAGTTTAAAATGCCGCAGTGTGTACAGCAATCAAGTCAATGCGTCAACACTGGCTGAAAAACGACTGCAAGATAATTCAACATTGCTGGGTGATGCTGCGTTGCTTCTCGGGCACAAATGACCAGAAGACAACTCGACACGTTGGTCAATAGTATTCCTGCCGTTAAATTAAAAAATATACACAATGGAGAACGTTTCAGGAAATGCCCCTTCTTCATATAACATAAATAAAGAGCTAAGTCCCAGTCCCAGTCGCAGCCGCACCAACCTTATCATAAAACAACTCCTCTCTAGGGGCCTACCCTGGCTCATCCCCCCCCCTCAACCAATATATATACAAGGTCAGGTCTCTTGGAATTTCTATTTACTTGATACAGCAATCGTGCTGTGACGGTTCCACCTGAAGACGGAAGCTTGTGTTGCCTCCGAAACGTCGTGATTTATTATTTTATTTTATTTCTATTATTACTTTTATTAATTTTATTTTTTACCTACGTGACTTTACCGAAAAAACCTAAAAGTATGGATAATAAGAGTTACTTTACACTTTGGAGCCTGATGAGAATGACTGTTAAAATGTTCTCTGATGACCAGTTTTTAAGCTGGCTATCAATAGTTGCCTAATTGTAGCTATTAAATAACAGCACATCCTTCAACAATAAAAAAAACGATCCCTAAAAAGACGAATTTACATGAAAAACTAAAATTCTAAAGTGTTGCTGGCACATTGATTTGTGGAAATATGTGTTCTTGTGACACTTGCAGAATTGCAGTCATGTGCAAAAATAATTACGAACAATGTTTAGACAATAGCCCACCTATGCCGTAAGGATCCAGTAGACATTCACCAAATCCATTACCGGACATTGGTAATTATAGTGTAGAGCGTGTGTGTCCACGATGCTGTGTACACAATTGAAGGGTCGTAAGTAAGAATACACAGCGAGGCCGATACACGGACAGGGGAACAGGCAGGAGCTTAGAAAAGCAAAGAGGCTGGGTAATAGATAGGCCAGTTGGTTTGTAGAAGTCCAGGTGGTGCTGACTGGTAGACAGTCCAACAGGGAGACAAGGGGGGCCGGAACCCACCTTCCCCCACCCCAACACGCCCCAGCACATGACCACCACATACACTATAACAGACTGTTGGAGCAAATGCTGTTAGCGAGCACCTATTAAGGCCGCCATGGTACACGACGGGGATTGGTGGCCAGTATCGCAGCTGGCCGCCTTTATCTTCGCAAAAGCTGGTGTTTACACACCACTACTGGTACTCATTTAAGGCTGAGTTGACCTTTGGGAGGCCCAGGACCGATGCAGATGTTGGCTGTGAGCGGGAATCGAACTCGGGTCGCCGGGTGCATAGCGAAGTTCACTCAACACTGCACACACCCATGAAGGCCAGCACGGCACACAATGTTGTGGGTGGCCAACACCACACCCGGCCGCCTTTGTCTCCCGAGTGGCAAAGTTTAGACACCGCACCAGGTACTCATTTGAGGCTTAGTCGACCTAGGGAAGGCCCAGAACCGGTGCATATAATCGTCACTGGTGTTGGCCGTGAACGGGAATCGAACTTGTGTCGCCAGGTTGCGTGCTAACCACGACACTACCGCTCCCCGCACACACACAAACTGACATGCACACGTATACACATATATACACGCACACATACACATATACTCACACAAAGGCAAACATCCCCTGCATAGCCTTACAGACTGTTGGGGCAATTCCTCTTCGTAAGCACCTGCTGCATACTGATACGCAAACACACCTATGGACACACACACACGCCCACACAAAAATCCCCAACCCCTCACTGCTGGAAAGTAGTCCAATGCAAACACCAAACTTCGTATTGTGCAATCAAAATTACACTATCAGCACCAGCTAGACGCACAAGACCAAACAATCCAGCAGACGCCTATTGCGCTTAGACACATAAACCGTAAATTTGTAAATAATGAAACTATAGCAAATTTGACTTTCGCAACGAGCATACGCCTGCAGTAATACACCGATACGCGCGCAGTCGCAGGGCATATTGCTCCATGCAAAACGCTATTCGTACGTTGTTACGGTACGCGGAGAGAATGACAGAATGAACTTAAAACGACCATTCATGAAACATAAATAGAGAAGTCATATTTACCGTCATAGAACATGTAACAAAATTATAATGAGGTGCCTGTGAACGTGGTTTCCTGCTCAAATGCTGGATATTCCACAACCATAGCACAACCGCTGTTGACTTCCCCACAAAGTGGTACCCCTATTTTATCAACCCTGGAGGGATGATGGGCTAAGTTTATCCATAAACCAGGATTCGAACTGGCAACCTTCCCATTGCAAGCTGCTCACTGAACCGCCCAGCCATCTGGCCCAAATTTTATGCCGTGGACAAATGTCTCCCCCCCCGCCCTATCCTCCACCACCCCTCCAACCCCCCACCCGCTCTACTAAATCTGGCCCAGACAGTCAGGTCAGTGCATAAGATGACTGCGGCTGTGCGACAATGAGAATCCTCGCAATCTTCAAACCCCCCTTGTGTTCCTTGCAAGTCTGTAAAAATAGCAGATAATTATTTCTGTAATGATGGGTTTATAGAATTAAATTACACAGGATTTGAAAAGCCGATGGCAGGGGCTGTCAGACGCAATGTGTTGGATATATTTTTGAATTTATTGTATTTTTTTTTATACATTCTTTGCTTGGAATACTTCTTGCCTTGTTCGTCGCAATCGCACTGACGATGTGGGGAGTGAGCACGATGAGATATTTCTGGATAGGTGGATGAAAAGAGCAAGAAGCAGGTGGCATCTCATAATAACCGTCATCATGAGCCATGGTCTATCCACCACTAGATGATTGCCTCCCCACGCCGTCGCCATAATTTGTGGTTATGCGATGCCACAATCCAACTCACTCCTGCACGTGAACTGATCTCATCACTCCATCTCTGCGATGGCTATTCTCCAAGGAGGGCATTCTCTCCTTTGGCTCCCATTCTGGCGCAGGTCTCGTCCATTGGCCGTGATCATCCCCTCTGGGCACGATGTGTTTTTCCCCAAGCCCACGGCGCTTCCTGAACAATCGATGCAATGTCACCAATTTTTTTGGTTTCCTGATCGATGCTTTCCCCTTCTCATATCTCGGTGTAATTCAAAGCATGCATCTTTCTACGTTTTTATCATCATATTTGAGCTCTCCACTGCTGGATGAAGATAAATATGATTCTCCTGACTTGCATTTGTCCCCTGATTCACGTGCTTTTCTCCCTGTCTCTCTGTGTCATTGCGAGCATGCGTCTCTCCACGCTGCGCAAGGCTGACAAAAATAGAGACAAATGCAGAAGTTGGGAGGGGTTGGTGGGGGGGGGGGAGATGCTGGCGGTAGATGGGAGAGAGAGAGGGAGCTAGAAAATAAGAGCAAAAGGTAAAAGGTGGCTGAAAGTCTGGGAAATAAAGAAGAATGGAGAGGGAGGAGAGAGAGGAGGGAAAGGTGGGAGTGCGTGAGAGTCCATCTATAAATTGCAGGCTTGGTCCCCCACTCAGAAGCCAAAAAATCCATCGCGTTTAATGAAAGAGTGTTTTAGGGTGGGCAGTAAAATACGGCCGCATAAGGAAAGCTCCTGATTAATACTGCCAGGAAGCCTGGAGAGGGAGGAGGGAAAAAAACACCATCGGAAGCATCCCACAGGCACTGTATAACCTCGACCTGCGAGCGATTTTATGGTTTAACTCGGATGCGGAGGCTGAAAAGACGTGGGTGGGTTTCTAACAATTTCTGATACGACTGCCCGGAAATTAAACGGCCGGGACACGTAGAACGGCGGTGATTATTTCCACAGAACCGCCGTCCTGACCCGTCGAAAAAAACATTATACATCGGCGGTGGTGATATTTAAAAAAAAAAACGGCAATGCTGCTTCTTGCGAGCGTAAAACATCCGCTGCCCGTCAGACGCGTGTCCGCATTCGTTGGCTCCAATTAGCCGGGGCCGACTGCGTGCAGTGGCTCGCAATGTGGCGAGCGTCTGGGGTTAAAGGGTTAACGCTTTATTTACAGCGTAAGCCTGCCAACAGCGCATGCCCCGCTCAAATTGACTTTCACACGGCGGCGACGGCGGCTGCGAGCGCGGTGACCGCGGCCGATGGTCGCCTGTTTCTCATGACGTCACGTAGTTGGCACGGTCCCCGGTTGCAGGGAATTAAAGGGGCTACCCCCTCCCCTTCCCCCCGTTGCCACCTGGGCCCGTGCCAATTCCGGTCGCCACCTTCACACGTGGCGGATCAAAGGAAGTGCGGAGACACTGACCGAACCGGAGGGGCACATTGGTGGACCGCTGCCAACTTCGCAGCTTCAACACAAGGCTGCGGCAGCAGGAGCCGCAGCAGCAATTCACTCCGCCTCACCTGAAGCCATCGCGCGCCTTTCAATCTTGGATATAGATCTATAAGTTGCTATTCACTGAGCCATACACAATGAGAAGGTTTTTTTTCCCACTGTGCTGACGGGTGGCACCTTCACTGCTCATGATGTTAAGACGGCCGTAATCCACCCAGGGTCAGCCATGTAGCATCGGAGGCGGGGGAGGCGGTGAGTATTTGCGGGTCACTGGGTAGACTGGAGTATGTGGCGCATGACAACCAGCCACAGTCGCGGCGAGAGGAAAACCTGATGTGGTGTGCGCCGTGAAATATTTGCCGGGTCACCGTACCCAGACGGACCAAGCTGAAATGAATGAATCGCTGCTTCCCTGCGTCGCCCTCCCAGGGTACAAGGTGTCGTGGGAGGAGTTGAACAAGACGCACTCGCGCGTCACGCACTACCTGCCCAACAGCACACGCGAGTACCGTGTCACGGGCCTGGCCGCGCTCACCACCTACGTGATCGAGGTGTCGGCGCGCACCAGCCGAGGCTCCGGACCCACCTCGGCCTCCACCATCTCCTCTGGAATTCCGCCAGGTGCCTACTTAACGCCCGTCTCCTCGCCCTCCCCCCCCCCCCCCCACCCCTCGGCCCCCCATAGCAGTGCTCACAGTTGGACTCCCCCTCTTATCCTTGCCGCCGTAGCATCAAGGATGTCCTTCCTCCGCACCTCCGATTAGCACGGTTGGCTACGTATGGTTCAACATACAAAAGCAGTTCAACATACAAACAAACATACAAGGATATTCTGTCAGGTAAAGTCACGTAGAAGGGAAGTAATAAAATAATAAAAAATAAACATAATAAAATAATTCTCACGACGTTTCGGCCACAACGCAAGTAGCCGTCCTCAGGTGAAAACCAGGTCTGTCGAGGCGACAGCGTCTTAGAGTCGCGGCATTATTTTATTATTTTATTACTTCCCTTCTACGTGACTTTACCGAAAGAACCAAGAAGATGAATCCCTGCAGTCACAAAAGCTTTAAATCGAAAAATACAAGGATATTGGTAGGAGCCTTGAGCCCCCCCACCCCACTGCTGATGGCTCTGCTCTACTTTCTACACTCCCATCATCGTCATGGTCATCATTCTTGTTCCCCTGACTGGATGCTAGTGGGGGCGTCAATGATGCCTCGGCTGTCAAATCTCACCACGCTTGCCTGTCATTCACTTTCTCCATCGAGGGTGCTCATCGCCAGGTCCAAAATAGTTGGTACAATATTTAACAACCGTGGCAATCCAGCATTAGACATCGCAGCTTTGCGTCATGTACACAGTGGCTGGTAGCGAGAGCAGCAGGCACGATGGACAGCGCAGAGGGTGTATCGGTACTCATTTGCGTAGCGTTTCACATTCGTTTAAAGTTTGTCATGAGCCAAATTGCCATTTTGCTTTGAATTATCCATGTTTTTATTTTATTTGCACCACTGCTCATGGCCACATTGCCCCGGATGATCGAGAGTTTTACTGGGCAGTTCTCCAACACGTGTTCCCGTTGTACCACGCATTGTCCGACGTTTCGCTCCATGTGCCCGGTGGGAGCTCACTCCAGCGAGATGTTCAACCCGAGAACACATCAGAGGGCTGCACGAGCCAGACCGCTAAATCCTATTCACTAGTTGAATGTATTATTAGAATTGTATGACGGTATACATCACCATACCCTGCCAACAATGCCATCCTAACCGAAGCTTCTCTTGACTCTGCTCACTCACTGTCGAACGCATAGGGCAACCGAATTATATTTTTTACGAAAATTTATTAACAAACCTTTTTTTAGCTTGAGACTTAATCAGAGTGTATTGCTAATGATCGTTTTACTGCAATTTAAATTATGGAAGCGGTGGCGAAAGCGATGCCAATGTGATGAGAAAGATAATGATGGAGAATGAACGACAATAATGAAATAGTGGAGCTGATTAAATAATGGCTGTGGTGATTGAGATGATAATGAAATGATGATAACGATGTTGGTGATGATGGCAGTGGTGATGGTGATGAAAACAATGTAATATTCACGCTTGCAGCAATGATGATGAAAACAGAGTGCATAACTTGTAGCCTCAAATAATAAAATACGGTGCTGATGATTGATTGAGACGATTGTGATGATTAATGGGATGATGATGGAGGTGACGAATGAACAAAAAACAATCGACGCGACCATTACATTCTCCACGGACATCGAGGTCTCCTCTCACCTTTCACTCAGCCCTACTTCCCTCCCTCCCTCCCACCCCTCAGAGCTGCCCGGGGCCCCCTCCAACGTGGCCGTGTCCAATATTGGCCCTCGCTCCGTGGCCCTGCAGTTCCGCGCCGGCTTTGATGGGAAGACGTCCATCCTGAAGTGGGTGGTGGAGGCCCAGGTCGGTGGACATCGCCTCCTCACCCATGCCACCATCTCCGCAGTCACCACCGCAATCTACAATGCCACCACCACCACCCACACCTTTGATGAGCGCGGTTGGCTACGTACGGTGCGAAAGAAGTTCAACATGCAATTATACGTACATCTCCACCCAAACCACCACCATCTCCACCAGGACCGCATTCTTTGTTACCATCAACGTCTCCACCAACAGCATCTCCACCACGGAAATTTCCACCACCAGCACCACCAGCACCATCTAAACAGTCCGTCATCATCTCCACCACCATCAAACACATTTCAAGATGGCTCAGAATTGTCAAATAAACTACATTAGTGGTAGGAATGAAGTTGTGGAGATGTGGCTCGCTCAGGGATGGGAAACACGAGATGAGAGGAGAAAGATGCTGCCACACAGCCCAGGAAGAAGCAATTGGGATTCAGCACCACCAGAAACAACAATGGTATCATCGAGATCCATGGATCAAAGACAAAGATCCCCTATATAGCCTGAATAGACTGTTGGGGCAAGTGCTGTTAGCGAGCACCTATGAAGACCGGCGTGGCACACGAGCCCGCCTTTGTCTCCCCCGTGGCGATGTTTACACACTGCACCAGGTACTCATTTGAGGCCGAGTCGACCTAGAGGAGGCCCACGACCGGTTCGGATAAATCGTCACTGGTGTTGACTGGTGAGCGAGATTGGAACTCCGGTTGGCGTGTTCGTAGCGCAGCGTAGCGCTAACCGCGACACCTGCCGCTCCCCAGCCAGGGCAGCGCTGACGATCCCCAGGGAGTCTTCAGGTCAGGGTCCGCCTTTGAGGATCTTCACCGATGAACCCCGAATGGGGGGGGCCCGGTCAGGCCCAGGCACCGATCCCAGAGCGGCGCTCGGTGCAGCGCCGGCGGCTCACGCGGCCATCCGTCGATCTAACCGGGCGTGATTAATCGCGCCGTCGTACGCGAGCGCTAAACAATCGCCGCCGCCTAATAACCGCTCCGCGTCGAGACGCGTTGAGTTCCTGCAAGCGAAAGCAACAACAACAAAAAATATATTTATTTCTCGCGTGCGTGCGTGCGTGCGTCGGTGTGTGTTTTTTGCGCTTTTTTTTTATTAAGAACGTTATCGTCAAACGATGCGTGTTCACGCGACTTGCACTTCGCTCCCTTACGGGCTTCGTTGCACGTGCGGTGTCGAGTTTAGCGCGCCGACGGCTGGGGGGGGGGAGGCTTCGTGAGTACTCCTGTGAAATGAGCCAATGTGACTGCATCTGTCAAGCCCCGCTGCCTTGCAGCTCCTTGTGCTTGTCACAGGGTTTATTTTAAACGTGTGTGTGTGTGTGTTGCGGACCGGTTAGCTCACTGCTCTACATACCCGGCGACCCGAGTTCGATTCCCGCTCACGGCCAACACCAGTGATTATTATCTAAAGCGGTCATGGGCCTCCCCTAGGTCGACTCAGCCTCAAATGAGTACCTGGTGTGGTGTGTAAACATCACCGCTGGGGAGACAAAGGCGGCCGGGCATGATGTTGGCCACCCACCCCCTCTCATGTGTTGTGCCAGCCTTTGTAGGCGCTCGCTAACAGCACTTGCCCCAACAGTCTGTTCAGGCTATACGGGAGATCTTTGTCTTTTTTTTTGTATCTTATAGACGCGTGTGTTTGCGTGTTATTTAATGGGGGAGTAGTCAGCCCCGTGGTTAGCGCACTGCGCTATGAACTCGACGACCCGAGTTCGATTCCCACTCACGGCCAACACCGGTGAGTGTCTGCTGCTGCTGCTGTGTCCTGTACAGCGCTTTGAGATCCTTGATGAAAAGCCACCGCTATATACATGGAATTATTATTGTTATTATCTGAACCGGTCCTAGGCCTCCCCGAGGTCATGGTGCTACCCCCTCGTGTGCCGTGCCAGCCTTCATAGTTCTTCTACTCGCTAGCAGCACTTGCTCAACAGTCTGTGGCAGGCTATTTGGACCATGTCAGAGTTCACATTCCATGGCCACGATTCGATTCACAGATGTATTCTTTGGTTGCCTCGATTTTACCGTCTCTTTTGTAATTGTTTTTTGTTCATCTTTCGCACCCTTAATCATGAAGGTAAAGGTGGAGCCCTGCAATTTCCTGCTCACGCCACTGCTGGCAGAAGGGGCCTCGATTAGAGGGAGCTCCAGACAGCGCCATTGGAGAGTGTTTGGCCTATTTTGCAATAATGACCAGATGACTTGGACTCGTCAGTACGATACCGCTGGCACACACACATTACCCAACCAGACGCAGACCTGCCGATCAAATTCCTGTGGCGTGCCAATTAACATTACTGGGTGGACAGAAGCGGCGCATGGGATTTACGAAACCTGCACCGGATTATTTGGTTTCTTTGTCCAACTGCTGCGCTTTAAAAATATTGTATCGAACCGGCAACCTCTGCATCGCAAGCCAAGGGCGCTGACCGTCAGCGCCGCGGCAGCAGCGTGCCCGCACGCATCGTTTGTATGATTAATCGAAAGACGTAAATTGTTAGGCAAGCAGGTTGATGCCTGTATCATGAACCTTAGAAATCGATACGAATGAATCCATTGGTCATTTCATCATCACACCCTTGAGAAGTACATTTTAATTGGCTTCACACTCTGCCATGCTCGCGTGCTTCCCAGTGATTGACTGATTCTCGCAGCTTTCTCAGAGCGGACGTTGAGCGGAATAGGCTCGGTAAATTGGTAGGCGATTTGGCCACTGTTATATTTTGTTTGCGTCAATTTTGCATTCGCCCATCCGTAAGCTGGCAGAAAGGACTTGCCCTCTAAAGTGCAGCAGTGGCTGAGATGGGAGTTGAAAGCCCTAAGCCATCAAAGCAGAAGCGTGTGCCTTCGAAAGTCATCTCATCCGTGGGACAGCCCTGCCGCTAATTAAACTGCACTGTCAGTTTAAGCCACAAGTCCTCTGATTTTGTGAACACTTATGTGAGGATGAGGTAGCACAGATGGGGCATGCTGTCCCTGGTGCGATGGTAAGGCCGGTTCTCCATGCGCGGCATTTGAAACAACGAGGCAAGTTTCTGGTCGACCGCAGCAGGTGGCGTGTGACTAGCGTCCTGCAGCGATAGTGAGACGTATACTCGGTGTGGTGTGCCGGGCGCGGAAATATTTTTCGGGTCGCTGAACCCCGGAAAAACCCGACGTGAATATCACACTCCGTGCCAGTCTCACCAGGCCACCATCGCTCCCCGTGTGACCTCAGCAGATTGCGGGAGCGGACGGGGAGGAGGCGGAGTGGATCATGGTGCACGAGTTGGACAATCTGCCGGCTGCTCGCTCCCTGGAGGTGCCGCTACTGCGGCCCTACACACAATACCGGTACGCGATACCCCCCCACCCACCTCTCTACCCCAAATCTCTCGTGGTCTAGTGAGCTAATAAGTCTGAACATTTGTTATCGCGCACTCTTGCAAGCCCAGGCCATCATGAATGCGTGCTGATCATACGCGACAAGGCTCTTTAGAACAATGCTCTCTGAGGTCTGCTGCAAAGCTGACCTCTCTGTATGTGTCCCCCTTGTAAGCATGGGTGTTCTTCAAGCACTCCTGCTTATCCCACTTGCACTACAGACATTTCCAACATGAACTGGCCAATTACCGAATTCTCCAGATTTAGACTCACTTTTTTCACACACCCCCCACCCCACTGTATTTTAAAGCAAAAGTCAGGGGTACGTTGTAGCATCCGGTAACTGTGTGTGTGTGTTTGTGTGAGAAGCGGATCTGCAGAACCTTACACCCGGCATACATTTTGGGGGCGTCTTAAATTTCGGAGCATCTTATAATCCAGAGAATACGGTATCCCCACCCAGCACCCTCCTGAAAGAATGAGCCCTGATACTGATGGAGGCTTTTCTCGGTGTGTGTGTGTATGAAAAAAAAAACGATTCTTTCTCTGCCCATTCAGCCGTAACTTTTGTATATCTCAACAGATGTGAAGGGAAAACTCACTATGAGACATTGAGAGGCCGGTCTAACAATTCGTGTCAAAAATGGTTGAAGTCAACCCCTGAGGCTCATGTGTTACCGAGGCCACGCAATCCTTACACCTTTTTTCTTCGGCAAAGGCTACAGAGGCCCCCATTCATTCTCATCGTTGCAGCCCCTACGGTTATAATATTGAATGTGTCATAAGTGATTTGCGCGAAAGTGTGACCTAAGCACACGCTGCACTTATTTTCTTAATTCGCCCCTGAGTGGAGAAAAATTAAAACGCACCAAGTGAACTCTGCAGGAGCTCACAGGAGAGAGAGAGAGGCGGGAGGGGGGGGAGGTGGGCGTTCTGCAAAACGACAAGTAAAAATAAAACTCGCACGAACACACACCACGGTTGAAGCGTACAAATAAACGAATTAATGAATCGGAATTTGGCGCAGGTTTCCGCGGTTGTGCCGTGCAGGCTCTCGGGTTGCGCGGCGCGTTCCTCGGCACGGCGTCCGACGCTTCGCTCCACGTGCCGGGAGCATCCTCGTGACCTAAATTTGAACTGAAGAAGCTACCAGCACGCGGAGCGAGACGTTGGACGTCGGTGCCAAGCGGCACCATGGCGACACAGCCTAAGAACCACATCGGAGAGCTAATGAACGGAAGGATGAATCGGGCACGCGAAGGATGAACGCTAACTTTGCCATCGGAGGCTCGCGAGCGCTCTCTCACACGAGTTGAGAAGTCATTCGAGTTGGCTGCTCACCCAGAGCCGGGAGGAGCAGATGCAAGATAATGCTCGCACGCACGCACACACATCAGGCGGCCCGGCGCAATCTGCGTAGGGGAACGTCTCCGCCTACCCCAGCTTGCGCCTTTGCGTACGATAAACCCGATCCGCTCGCCATCATCATCCGTCATCGTTATCCGTATGCCCACGCGAGGAGCCGCCATGCACGCGCGCCTTCCTCTGTCGCCGCTGCACGTGCCGCCGGTTGCGCCCGTGCCCGCACTCACGCACACTCTGCACACTCACGCATGTACACGCATGTCCACGCACCTGTGTGCACGTACAAAAGGCAAAGATCCCCCGTAAAGCCTTAACAGACTGTATGGGCAAATGCTGTTAGCGAGCACCTATTGAAAGCCGGAACGGTACACGAGGGGTGGGTAGCCAGCACCACGCCCGACCGCCTTTGTCTCCCCAGTGGCGATGTTTACACACCGCACCAAGTACTAATTTGAGGCTGAGTCGACCTAGGGGAGGCCCAGGAGCGGTTCAGATATTCTCGACTCATGTTGGCCGTGTACGGGAATCGAGCAGGAAATCGAACGTTGGTCTCCCCGGGTTTGTAGCGCAGCCATTGCACCACCCGCTCCCTACACACGTGCACACACACGCAGGTGCGCACACACGCAGGTGCGCACACACACACACACGCACCCACACACGCGCACGCACACACGCGCACCCACACACGCGCGCACACACACGCACCCACACACACGTGCACACACACACGCACCCACACACACCCACACACACGTGTGCACACACACGCACACACACGTGCGCACACACACGCACCCACACACACGCACACACGCACGTACACACACACATGCACACACGTGCGCACACACACGCACCCACACACCCACACACACATACGTGCGCACGGGCGGGATTAAGCAGGTCGAGCCCCAGGGGGCTGCATCTTTGGCTGCGCGAGTGTTTTTGCCAAATGTGGTTCTGGCTGTCGTCTCTCAGATGCCCCCCCTCCCACACCGTCCCCGCCGACCGCCAGCCCCCCCCCCCCCCCTGCACACACAGGGCGCTGGCAAGCGGTCTTGACAGCTCTCACTTTGTCAGCAATGCCCACCGGCGGGCTTGCCGCGCCGTTTACATTTTCAAAGCGCTTCCAACCCCCCCCCCCCCCACGCCGGCCGCTCGAGATCGCCGTCGATGCCATCGTCGTCTTCGTTGTGATTGTTTGACCCCCCCCCCTCCTCCCCCACGCCGCGTAGGTTCCGCATGCGCCAGAGCAACGTGGTGGGGACGAGCCCCCCCAGTGCGGCCACCCGCACCATACAGACCCTGCCGGCCCCCCCAGACGAGGCCCCCCGAAACCTGACGGTCCGCACGGCCAGCGAGAGCAGCCTCTGGGTCCGCTGGGCAGTAAGTGTTGGGGGGGGGTCATGATGGTGATGGTGTTGGTGTGCTGTGCGTTGGCGGTCGTGGTGGTTGTGGTTGCTGTTTTTGATGCAGGCGTCATTTGTTGTTGTTTTTGCTGTTTGTTGACGTCTGTGTTGCTGGTAGTGGCGATGATGTTGTTGGTGTGGTGTTCGCTCGGAAGTATACCCACTATAATCACCCAGGAATGTCTGTCCTTAACGCTCGTGACGTCACTTCACATCGAGCAGCCCCCCTCATTAATATTCATGAGCAGGTGAAGTCTTCCAAATGGACACCCCCCCCCCCCACATTAATAATCATGAGCGGGTGACGTCACTAATTATGGAGTACTCTCCCCCTCACTAATAATCATGCGCAAGTGACGTCACTCCACATCGAACAGCCTCCCTAATTAATATTCATGAGCAGGTGACGTCCTCCAAATGGACACCCCCCCCCCATTATTACTTACTATAATGAGCCAAGAATGTCTGTATGCATCGCTCGTGACGTCACTCTACGTCGACCAGCCCCCCTCGTTAATCATGAACAGGTGACGTCCTCCACATGGACCCCCCCCCCCCCCACATTAATAATCATGAGTGGTTGACATCACTCCACATGGAGCACCCTCCCCCTCATTAATAATCATGAGCAGGTGACGTCACTCCACATCGAACAGCCCCCCTCATTAATAATCATTATAAGGTGACGTCCTCCAAATGGACACCCACCCCATTCATAATCATTAGCGGCTGACGTCACTCCACATGGGGGGCCAAGGCGCCTCCTCCCCCCTCCTCAGCGTCAACTCACAACCCTCACTACAAAGGCAGAACACTCACGTCACGCGGTCTCCGTCACGATATTGAGGCATTAAAGTAAAAAGGACGTCATGATGAACAAGGGATTATAACCTTTAAATGAAATTGGTCTGTGTCACCGCGCCCTTACAAATTGCACACGAATTGATGCAATGAATATCACGTAGCGCTCTGCTTTTCGCTTGCAAGTTTCAAATTTACTGCAATACACCCGTCCTTGGACGGGCAAAAGGCTTGTGATATAGATCGAGACGATTAGGAATGATGATCATTAGGATGATGACAACAATGGAGGAGATGATGATGATGATGAATTAAATGAAAACAGACAAATGCCTCGGCCTCAGCTAACACGAACACACCCCTTGACCTCACACTCCCCTCTCACCCTCCAGAGCCGTCCGGGCAGCTGTCCGCCGTTGTTGTGATTGCTTGTTTGTAAGGATAATAATGTGTAAAGACAGCAGCGTGAGAGCCAAGGTCAAAGCCGGGGGTCCCAGGAGTTGAGAAAGTGTGGGTTCCATTCCCACATGGGATTTGTGGAGAATGTTCCGGGGGTTTTAGGGCTTCGAATTAGGGCCACACAGATGTGAGGGATGGACAGAAATCCCCGCGTGTAACGCGAAGTCGCGAGCAATTATCATCCTCACCGACATACGCCTCTAACGAGCGTTGCTTACCATCGTCGCGCGATGCATCGCTAAATAAAAAATATATACAAATTACAAAAGTGTTGAATAATATCACAGACCTTTGTCAAATCCACTGCTAGATGAATGCCTCCCTCACACCACGTTGGTCATGGGGGGTGGGGTTGCTTCACTGTACTTTACCATACTTCACCACACTCGTCAGCGCGGGTTTTGGTAAAGGAGAGATTATCCCTTGACGCTGATGTTCGCCCTGACCGAGAATTGAACTGGGTTCGTGCGTACACATCTACGTATGGATTCCACAATCGGGACACTTGAGCAATAGCCGCATCGCCAGGCTGAGGGATATGTGTTTCTCCTCCTCGCAATTCTTAAATCTCCGTGTGGTCTCGTATGGTGGCAAGTGCTACCAACGATTTTCTTGAAATATTTTATCTCAAGATGGCACAAATATCTATTATAGCAAGGTCACAATGCTAGCATATCTATATAAATGTTGTTCAAGAAGGTTACCTTAGTGTTTGATAGATAATACCATGATAATTGGTTTTTAACCCTATTATCTGGCAACAAAACTGACACCTTTTTTACAAGGAGTCATGTTTGCATTGATCACAATACCTGCGGTCGGAATGCAAAAAAAAAACACAACTCTGATAATGTATGCACTGTCCTTGAAATTGATTGATCCACACCTAAGACAGCTTTTCTTAGAGCCTAGTCTCATAGATGACGCCAAAAGGCGCACAACTCAAAGACAATGCACCATCAGAGTATGAGAGCTCGGGGTAAGCATTTATTTATAAAAGAAGGTGTCAGTTTTGTTGCCAGATAAAAGGGTAAAAAAACATTTATCATATTTTGCTACTGGCAAAGGAGGTTCCAATGGAGATAATACCATTTTTTTTTTAAACACCGAATGTCATTTGAAACATCGACGGAATATGAGACCAAATAGGAATCTGTGTCCATACGTTAAGCTTTCCGCTCACGGTAAACACTCTCCACGGTGGACATTGTCAACATTCGCCACCCCGAGTGCTACCGACCGTCCCCGTTGGACAGTGCTAACATCCCCTCCTCACTCCCCACCCGCCTTTGTCTCTCCCCCGCCACCAGCCGCTGCACGAGTCCCAGTATAACGGCGCCGCCTCGGCAGCCGGCTACCGCATCCGCGTGGTGCAGCCGGGCCGGCCGGGCGAGACGCCGCCCTCCGTGGCGGTGGACGACCCCACGGAGCGCGAGGCCACGGCCGAGGGCCTGCGGCCGTGGACCGAGTACGAGGTGCGCGTGCAGGCCTTCAACGCCATCGGCTCGGGGCCTTGGAGCCGCCCCGTCACGGCACGCACCAAGGAGTCGGGTGAGCGGCGAGGGAGCGTGGCGGGGGGGGGGACGCGGAGGGGGGGTGCGGAGGGGGGGGGTGCTCGCAACAGCGACTCGCTATCGCCGTCGTGCCCATAACGTCAACAAACAGAATTTATAATGTTTGTTTACACCGTAGAAATCCGATGAGTTTTGAAGCTCTTTTTCACAGGTATCCAGCAGGGGCGGGGTAGGAAGGTTATGACAAGAAACAGTACACAAACACGTTAGCAGTGCCAAGTACAAGAAAGGTGAACAAATCACCCACAAGCATACAAATAATACTAAACCATCCCCATCCTACCAGGCAGGTTTGTTTTTCTTGAAGCCGAGGGGACACCACCCCCTCCAACCTATTGGCAACTGTCCGAGGGTCAAGGCAGAATTGCCAACTCCTTAGAATGGAAAGTCACCAAATGATCCTCGACAATTCACGAGGTGTTGCTCGGTCGACCTCCGAAGGTCACCGGACAATCCACCGAGTGTGGCTTGTCGTACACCGATGCAGCTTCCTTAATGCACACCTGGAATCGCTCCTGCACGTTATCGGCAAGCCATGCCCATCGAAGAACGTCCCTAGATTTCGTTGTAGGCCGCGTCTGGTGCCTGCGCCGCGCGAGATGCCACGTGGATCGTTCGTCCCGTGGCACGGAGAGACGCGGTCGGGGGATGAGGTTGAGAAACGAGAGAGAGAGAGAGAAAGAAAACGAATGTCAGAAACAAAACGTCGCCGGCCACCGCGACTGCGGTTGCTGACGTTGCCGCCACGCCCAACAGTGCCGTCGGCGGGACCCCAAGAGGTGACGGCCAACGCCACGAGCCCCACGTCGATCCTCGTGAGCTGGGGCGTCGTGCCGGAGGCCGACCGCAACGGGCCCATCCTGGGCTACAAGGTGAGGCGGTGGCCAGGTGCCGTGTCACCCCGCACTTCACCACGCCGCATCGGCGCAGGGTTGGTCCCGTTTTAGTTTGCTTCGTCTGACCTCACTTGCAAGAGTGGCCTGCGTCACCGAGAAATGACAGTAAACCAATAAAGTACAGGGAATGAAGCAAATAGGAATTGGAAACAAACGGAAATATAAAATCTAAAAGAATTTAAACTATAAATCGACGTTAAAGCGAAGTTACGTTTTAAATTCACTGCACGTGGGTCCAATGCCAGTTCAGATATCATTCACAATCGGGCTCATTACTGCAGTGCGCTAAGCACGACACCGCCGCTCCGCCACTGCCTCTTGGCTTATTTTGTTTCTGACCAACACGATTCCATCATACGCAACCTCGACATCACCACAGCTGCGGGAGATACCGCACACTTAACATTGCAGATGTACAGTTTCTATATTAAGCCGCCCAGGATGCGTGCACATTTTTTTGCTGTTTCACAACGCACTCACCCTAATGTGTTGAGATAAAACTCGCCACGTGTAGGCAGGCAGAGAGGGAGGGAGATGGAGGAGAGAGAGGATGAGTGAGAGGAAGCGATGTGGGAGGTGATGGGGGGGTGGGGATGTTCGGGGTAGCGAGTGATGGAAGGTGCCGATGTCGACAGAAAGAGGACGAAGGAGGGCAGGGTGGGGGGGGCATAGTCGTCCTGGATCTTTACTGAAAATTTATGAAGCTGTAAGTTACCCTACTATTTGGCACTGCGAGTATCGCCAAATGAAGCCATTCCAGGTGCGAAATGTGACACCAGGAGGCCTGATTGATGCAGTGATGAGAAGTGCATCAATTATTCAATCAAGACCCCGGACTGCACGCTCACATTTCACACGTGCGGTGTGGTCTTAATAGCCGAGCACAGCGTTCCCGTGGCCACTCACGCCTAACGATGAAAATATGCCGTCCGCTCTCCGCCGGAGACGAAGGCGCGTGTGGTGGTTATTAAGGTCCAAGAACAAAAAAAATGTGCCGCTTTAAGAATGCCCTGTGTCAGGTTGACCTGCATCCTGCGCAGTTGCAAATTACGAGCGAGAGATGGAAATGCTGCAATTATGCGATGATGAATTGGCTCATTTAGCTACACGTTTAAATGATGAACACGATTAAGTGTGAATACGGTGAGAGGGCGATAGAGAGAGATGGGGTAGAAGGGTGGAGGGGTTGCTTTTTTTTCTGTAACTGAGCCTGCAAGAAGGAAGGCGGACTGGGTTTATAAGAATAATACCGTATTTTCCTGCATATAACCCACATACGCATATAACCAGCAAAAATAGCGTTTTGTGTAAAACAAATTTCAGAAAGCCCGCACATCTATACACCCCGCAGGGTCTTGTTTTGTTTGTAAAAAGTGGTATACCCCGCGGGTTATATGCGGGAAAATACGGAAATCGTCTTCCGAATGTATTCAAGAACATGCGCAAGTTAGAAACGTCAAATTATAACTACAATAAAACCAAGGGTGCTTTGGGCAGGACAAGTCGCGGGAAGGGTTGACGGTGGCCGGTGGGTGAGACGAACTACCGAGTGGCAGCCGAAGGAGGGCATCGATGAGATCGGCTCGTGCGCAGGTGCCAGGTGAAGTGTCGCATCGTGGAATGGTGGCTCGATCGTCGAGGCTGACCGATACGATGATGAATTTGAATTTCAAAAGCATTTAATTCAAGCATCTTAACAGCCTACGCGGAGAAAACCAATGTCCATTTGCAAGCCGGTGCCGTGTACGCCTCGTGCCACGCAGAGTCAGCTGCCACTGGGGGGGGGGGTCCCTTTGGCAGCCTGCAGCAGGACAGTGGAACGGTTTGCGTGAGAAGTGATTGCAAGGCACTTCAAGCCGCCCACGGATTTAAGCAGCCGACACATTAAAATCCTTAAAATAAGCAGGGGGGGGGGGAAGATGGAAATGCAAGGACAAATAATGAGAGACGGCCAGATTGTGTCAAGATGGGGCACATTTGATTGAGCGGTCTCACCCCACCACTCGCTCTCCGTCCTCAGCCATCTCCATTCACTGCTCCGTTAGCCCACACAAGTCATACGCAGGCAGGCAGACAGGCAGGCTTGATATAGTCGGCCACTTAATGTTTTGATTGCTTACTTATGGATGAACGGAGGCACGGAGCATGCACAGGATTGTATCCGACAGGGGTGATGGTGATGGGAACCAGCGGCTTGATTTGGCCTCTGAGCTCATCGGAGTGACTGCTTGTGTCTTGGCAGACAGACAGAAAGACACGCACGCACGAGCGTGACATGAATAAATCGGGGTCATTTTCATCTGCGTGTCTTTTATATAATGAATGTTTGCGGTCCATAAGAATTCATAATAATAATAATACAATTTGATTGATACGGAACCTTAATGTAACTGCATCTCATATTCATGCGAAATACAGTAATTAAGTGAGAGTAAATTGTGTGATTTCAAAAGTTGTGACGGGCAGTTTTTAATGTTAAGTTTGGGGTAATGCCACGGGCTAGATTAAATGAGTTGGAGGGCAACATTTGGCCCATGCACACAGCCCTGCCTGTCAGTCGACTAAACCTCAAATGACAATCTGATTCACCGTGGAAACATCACTGGAGAGACAAAGATGACTGGGCATGGTGCTGGCTGGATCACCTCCCCTTGTGCAGTGAGCATTAACAGGAGCTAACTAACAGCGCCTGCTCCAACAATCTGTAAGGCTCTGTAAGGCACAGTGCCTTAGTCCTTGCCAGCAATCGCCGCTTCCTCATCCTGAATTTCATCTCGAATAGGTGAACTCAGCGTTGAATGCGTAGCTCAGTGTGTGAGCATCAGCACTGGGGAGACAAGGATGGTGCAGTGGTGACCGCACCATCCCCGTCTTGTAACTATGCAGGCCTGAATAAGTGCTCAACGAGTCTTTTTTTTTGTATGATAAAAAAGGCAGCAGTAATCTTTAAAAAAAAATCCCCGAATTAATTTTGAGATTAGAATGCATGCATCGTGCATTCATGTTATTGTAAGTCAGTTTCGAAATAACCCTCGGTGATTCATTTAAATAAATATAACCTAAGTGTCCTGACTTTTGAGCCACCGTGTACATATTTAGGGGTGGGGGGACAGAGGTCGCAAACGAGTTTTGATTCCTTACCCGTACCCGGCCACACCAGGGTCGCAAACGGGTACCCGTACCCGGCCGTACCCGTACCCTAGGGTACGGGTATCGGGTACCTGATTGCGACCTCTAGGATGAAGCCATGTTGCAGGCGCGGGTGGGTTGATTCTAGGAACTTGAATTGTGAGAAGAGACAAGACGTTGGGAAATGAGTGACAAACAGTTACTCACCAGTGACTCACGGCCTACCCGTATCCGTACCCGGCTTCACCAGGGTCGCAAACGGTATCGGGTAGGGTACGGGTATCGGGTACCCGGTTGCGACCTCTGGGGGGGGGGCCTTAAAAAAACCGAGTGCCGGCGCTGCAGCCCCTGCGCTAACCGGGCCCTGCCCCGCAGGTGCTGTACCGGTCCGGGGATACGGCCGGCGCCCCCGTCGGCGTTGGCTTCTCGCGGCGAGCAGTGGATGGGGACCGCGCTCGGAGCACGATGCTCTCGGGCCTGCGCCGCTTCACGCAGTACGAGGTGCACGTGCTGGCGTTCACGCGCACCGGAGAGGGAGCCCTCTCCGCGCCGGCCGCGAACGCCCGCACCCTCGAGACGAGTACGTTCGCACGCGCCCCCCACACGCTCCGCCACCACCAAGCCACAGATCGTCAATCGACGCCCTAACCGTGTCTCCCGTGCACGTGGGTCCATGTGCGTACATGCGTGCACCGCGTGTGCACGTTCGGTTCCCGTGAACAGTCAACGTCGGTGATGGATATCTGGGCCAGGTCATGGGCCTCCGCCAAGGTCGACACGGCCTCAAATGTGCTCCTGGTGCCTTGTGTAAACATCAGAATTTGGGAGACGAACACGGGCCGGGCGTGGCACTGGCCACCGTACCCTCCTCGTGTGCCGTTTGGGCCTTCATTGGTGCTCGCTAACAGCACTTGCACCTATCGTCTGTTAAAGGCTATATGGGCGATCTGCTTGTGTGTGTGTGAGGAGTGGTGGTACGATGCTTCGCGAGCCATCCTGCGAGCTCGGTTCAGATATCACCCGGCACTAAATATTCACCGTGAGCAGGAATCAAACCCGGAGTTATCAGGTTCAAAGCACAGTGTTGCTAATCACTGTGCCGCCACTCCCCCCCCTCCTCTTTGTTGTTTTGTGTCTTCCTCTCTATGAGACTACAAATAAAAAGTGAGATGCTGGCATTAATTTGCTCGGGCATTAATTTTCTCTCTGGAGCTTACATTTTAGTAAATTGTGTGCACTTGAATTGAAATTGAGTTGGAATTTCAAGGTGTGCAATTGTGTTTGTTTAATTTTCTTATAGATATTGTTATTTGCAGTCTCCCACTCGAATGGGTTTGAAAGACATTGTGTTCAAATATTCATGCTGATAAAAAAAATCGTAAATAATTCACGCTTCAGCATCTGCGTGCCAGCGTGTCTGTGTGTGTCCGTGCGTGCATGCTTATCCATGCTTGCCTTTGTCTGTGTGCGCACGTGCCTGTGTATGCATGTCCGTCTGTTTCTGTGTTCATGTCTGTATGTACGTCTGTGCATATTGTACATCTGTGTGTGTGTCTGCATGTATATCCGTGGGAGTGGTAGTATCGTGGCTAGCGCGCTGCGCTACGAACCCAGCGATTCAATCTTGATTCCCACTCGCAACCGAAACAATGGCGAATATTTGAACCAGTAATGGGCCTCCCCTGGTTGAGAGCCCGGTGCTGTGTGTAACCATCACCTCTGGGGAGACAAAGGCGTCCGGGCGTGTTGCTGGCCACCCCCACCCCCTCGCGTGTCGTTCCAGCCTTCATAGGTGCTCGCTAGCAGAACTTTCCACAACAGTCTCTTAAGGCTGGTTTTTTGTCCTTCCCTCCCCTCCGATTAGCACGGTTGGCTATGTACAGTGCGAAAGAAATTCAACATACATGCATATACGGCTATACAAAGGATCTTTGTGTTTGTGTATTTGTATGCACGCGTGCAAACACATAAGCACGTACGTGTGTCTACGTCCGCTTTTGCAGTTCCGGGTCCTCCGTTCGGACTCCACTTCCCAGAAGTCCACCTCACGTCCGCTCGCCTGTCCTGGCAGCCTCCTACCGAGCCAAACGGCCTCATCCTCGGTGAGACACCCCCCGCCATCTCCGCTCGGATGGGTGACAATGCAATGCGCTCTCGTCGAGATGGGTGCAGCAGGGCACTCCACTGCGTCATCCCGGACTGCCCAATGTGCAGCTGCAGGGGCCTTTGGCTAATCATAGAAGAAAGATGGTGACCGCGTTGCGCGCTTTCACGTGCTCTTCTAGCGGCCGTCTGGAACGCTCTTCCTTCCGATATTAGGAAGCCACTGGAGCTAGGCACTCTTAAATAATCTCGATTGAAAACTAATTTCTTATGAACTGCTTTTTGTGTTTAGTTTGTTGTCCTTCCCCTGCACCTCCGATTAGCACGGTTGGCTACGTACGGTGCAAAAGGAGTTCAACGTACACAATTACATGGGGGAATGATGATGACAATTACGATGCTGCTGCTGTGGACTTGTGGCGATCAGATTTCCCCATGCGCCGAGACACCGAGACACAGCTCCAGCAGGTCAGCGCTGTCTGGCCCATCTACTCACCTACCCACACCCTCACCACTCACTGAGCCACTCACTCGGCCACTCGATCACTCGGCCACCCGTCGCGTTGTACAGCCACATCTACCGAAAATTCATCGCCGGTTATTATCCACAATTTATCATGACTCCGCAGCCGGTTCTGCAGTTGACTCAAGTTGTAAATATTCTGTAAAGCTTACAAGGCATAAACACAGCGCCTTCACGATAGCCTGTGTGTAATGAGTATGGCAGGAATGCGACATGTACTTTTATAATTATTATAATTATTACTCCACTGGATGGATATATGTATGTGAGTCTCTGGGGCTCTATGTTGGTCTTTGTGCCTTCAGTGTGAGTCTATGTTTGAGTTTATCTGTCTGTGTTGAGTCTATCGCTCTCCTATGTTAACCTATAGGTATCTCTGCCGGTCTACTATATGAGTCGAAGTGTGTCTATAAACTTCAATGGATCACTATGTAATTCACACATGCTGGTTGGCTGCCCTCTCCATGTTGAAATCCCTGGACGGGTCTTTGCAAGCTAAACACTGTTGCCTTGGAGGGCAATGAATGGCTCTGGACAATTTGACTGTATTTTAGAAACCTTATCATCTTGTTGTTCTTGCCCGCAATACAATCGCTTGTCTATCTAAAGCTACGCATAGCGAGAGAGAGAGATTTTAGATTGCACAGCAGCCCTCAAAGCCCCCCCCCCCCCACCCACCCGAAGACACATGGGAGAGCTGTAAAGCACGTCCACGAAAACCAAAGCGGGGACTGTTTGAGATTGCGCGCACATTCTATTCAACCCGACTCTAAAATAAAAAATAAAAGCACACAAAACATCCCACTCGCACAGAGCCCTTGATTTAAATTGCGCTGGCCCGTTCGATTCGCACTCAAGGATTTTCGAGGACTTTGCCAAATCAGAGGTAAAGAAATGTGTTTTTGTTTGCCTTGTTGCCACTGCCATGCCCCGGCCCGATGTAAAACAACACCCCGAGCGAGTTATCCCGCGGTTAACATTCTCCACAGCACCCACGCCCTGATTGCCACCGTCAATGGAGGAGCAGGTAAATAATGTATAGAAGGAGACATCTATACTTTGCAACAAAAAACACCGTCAGCTGCAAACGTGACCGCGCAGCGGGGCTGATGGTGGCAACGGCGGAGAGTCCATCTCATCCAACTGTGGGTTGGCCACGGATGAGGATGATGATGATCACAAAACGATGATGTATGTACGGATGTTAAAATTATTTTGCACCGCACGTCGCCAACCGTGCTAATCGCGAGGTTGCGGGTAATGATTGATGATGTTTTCGTCCATGTAGAACGTTAGTGGGAAAGCACTGTAGACTTCATCAGACAAAAGGATCTGGTAATATTGCATGTCCAAGGTGGAGGAGGGCAGCTTACCGAGAGCAGACACTGGAGCGACACGCAGAGGTAGGTGACCAAGGGGAAAGCCTAAAGCCAGACCATGGTGGTAATGAGATTGTAAAAGTGGTCTTTAAAGGGCGGTGTTGCCTGTATAATAAGAGGAAGATCCAAAGCCAGATGGTGGAGTGCTCTATAAGTAGACCTTGGAGGTCAGGTGTCACCTGTGAAACAGCTGACAGCTGCCACTGGAGGATACCTCGACGATCGACTGCTCTTGATGAAGATGTAAATGATTTGGGGATTTTCACGTTGCTGCTTTGCCCTCTCGTCTGCCTGCCCGCCCGTCCGTCCGTCTGTCCGCCCGTGTGAATCATCTGAACCCCAAGGTTACAAGATGATGTTCTGGCTGGATTCGACCAATCAGAACGCGGCGTCGGTGGCGGAGGTGACCCCGGACACGCGGCAGTTCTACGCGGGGGAGCTGCTGCCCAACGCGGGGTACCGCTTCCGGGTGACGGCTCGCACGAGCCGGGGCTGGGGAGAGCCCTCCGAGGTGCTGGTCATCACCACGGAGGGCAGAGGTCAGCCCTGCCTTGACGGTCACATGCGGAGCACGCGAAGCATGCAAGCACACAATGGCACGCAGCACAATGATGCGCAGATGCAAGGACGCGCGTGTGTGTATATATACATATGATATATGTACATATCATATTTTTTATATGGGACGTACAGACACATGGATGCAAACTGGCACATGGACACACGCATGCATGCATACTGATACAGAACACATGGGACACATAGACGCACAATACATGGGCACACACACTACACAAACAAAGATCCCCCGTATCGCCTTTGACAGACTGTTGGGGCAAGTGCTGTTCGCGAGAAAACTACGTGGGGGGTTTGGGTGGCCAGCACCATGCCTGTGCACCTTTGTCTCCTTTGCGGCAATGATGGATGCACACATAAATGCCAAACGTGCACGCACACAGCACCACGGAAATGCACGCACGCGGCCCGGCACGTACATCATACGACACGCGTGACACGCGTGCACGTACGCGCCCGTCGCCGGCGCGCCTCCCGGTCCGCCGGCACCGACCACCGCCGCCGTAACGGCCGAACTGGCCCCGTTCGCTTCTCCCACGCAGACGCCCCGGAGAGCCCGAGCCAGCCGTCCGTGCACCAGTCGGGCGTGGGCTCGCACAGCGTGACCCTGCGCTGGAGCGTGCGGCGCGACCGCGTCTCGCCGCTGCGCGCCTACACCATACAGGCTCGGGCCCTGCCCGGGGGAGTCTGGGAGACGCTGGCGCCGTGGGCCCCCCCGAACCTCACCGCCTACACCATGGATGGGTGAGATTCCCCTTGCTGCCCGTCCCACCCCCCCCCCTCGATCCCCCCCTCCCTGATGCTTCCCCCCCCCTTTCCCCAAGCTAGATAATGAATTGCACTTATAGGATGCCTTTCACACAAAAAAGTCTCAAGGCGCCACACACGAAAAGTATATATTAAAGAAAGGCCAAAGAGGAACAGAACTAATTAGAAAAAAAAACTTTTTAATGGAGATGGGTTTTTAGAAGGGATTTGAAGATGTGAACCCTATCTGAAAGCGTGATCTCTAAAGGTATGGAGTTCCACAACCGCAGGTGGGGGGGGGGGATGGCGGATCAGTACGGAGGTCCAGAGCTGGGGGGCCATCACAGCCAATGTAGCATGCGTGCGAGCTATTTTGAGCGCGTAATGGAAGGATCATGAGCAAAAATGCACACAGAAAGAGACCAACGGTACACGGGCAGAGAAATAAGCAGGAGCTTAGAAAAACAAAGAGGCTGTGTAATAAGTAGACCAATAGGTTCGTCGAAGTCCAGGTAAGCTGACAGTGTAAATAGTCCAACAGGGAGACAACGGGGCCATATGTAGTTGTCTCTGCCCCCAGGATGCCAGATCAGAAAAGACCCTCACTCCCAACTTTTCCTAGCCCCGTACACATGAAGACACAACCCACGACAAAAATCCCCCCCGTATAGCCTGAACAGACGATTGGGGCACGCCCGGCCACCTTTGTCTCCCTCGTGGCGATGTTTAGACATCGCACCAGGCTGCTCATTTAAGTGTGAGTCGATCCACTGAGCCACGCACACACAGCCACGTACACACGCACACGCACACACACACGCACACGAAATCCCGAACTCTCGATGCCGAGACGCACTCAAACGCAAGCAAATAACCGTGCGAATTTTACAATCAATGTTATGCCATGAGCAATGGCTAGATGCACAAAACCGTATAAACGGTGCAAAATTCCCATTGTGCTTAAAAGAGGTAAGAAAAAAGATATATGCAATAAATAATGAAATTATCTCAAGTTTGACTTTCACACCTCGCACGCGGGCATGGTGTAATGCAGACACGCACGCAGTCCCAGCGCGTACTAATCCATTCAAAAACTATTCAAACGCATGAATAATTTAATATATTTTTTTATTATATTACAGAATATTATTTATACCTTGCTACATTAACTGGGGGGGGGGGGGGGGGAACTAGACAATGATATTAAAATAACCGAATAAAAGCGGCAATTAATGAAGTTAGTATTGATATTATTTCAATTAATATGATAATCTGAGCAAACAAATCATAGTTTTGAATAATTAAGTATTTTCGTTTCAAGCGGCCCCCAGGAATTTTAGGCCCTGAACAACTTCCCCCCCCCCCCCATTTAAATCTGGACTCCCCCCCCCATCCTTGGTTTGCATTCCCTTGTCAATTAGTGTAACCAAAGGGAAATATTGCCCTTAATTTGACTTCACAAAATTGTGTTAAAAAAATGTGGAACTTCTTCAAAGATCCAGCAGTGAAGAGACATACACAGTATTCTCTTTTTGTATATAATGTGCTTTTTCATGCTTCCAAAAAAGGGAACTCTGCATTGTGAATTCACAAGATAAATGTGAAACTTACTGTACACTCACTCACTCTCAAGGGAAATCCAGAAGAAGAGAAGAAAAAATTGCGGCACTTTATCCCATTTGGTAGGGAGTGCTTAGTTTAGCCTAATTTTCGGCTGGACTCGGCTGATAAAATGTGCGTGTGTATGATGATACACACATACAGACACATGAAAGGACTCTTAAAAAATTGTTTAAAACCTCTAACCAGTGGTGGGGCTAGCCTCCATTGCAGGGGAGGGGGCAAACAGAAATTAGTTTGATTTATAAACACCACGCGATAAGTCAGACAAGCTATTGACAAGCGATAGAGACGTAGACAGATGAGAGAACCACATAAATTGGTTTTATTTACATTTACTCGGATTTGAAATTCCAGCTGACAACTTTTGGTTCGCCCCAATTTCCCCGTGAATCCGAGGCCACTTGAGCTCTTTGGGGACCCGAAGCATGTGCTTGATGCCAAGCACCACTCCTGACCTCTAACCTCCTCGTGCACACTGCCGCCGCCACCACCACCACCCACTCTCTCCCAGGCTGAAGCCATTCACCACGTACAAGTTCCGCGTGGCAGCAAGGAACGATGTGGGCGAAAGCGAGTGGAGCGAGGAGTCGGAAGCTGTGACGACGCTGCAAGCCGGTGCGTGCGTGCGTGTGTTTGGGTGATGGCGGTGGAAGTGGGGGGTACATTTTTTCCTGGGAGGTGGATTTATTGAAGCGATGTTGGTACTGGTGGTGCCACCCGATTGGGAGCCCCTAAACAGATGATTGTGGGTGCTTCACTTGATTGGAGACATTACATGCTGGATAAGCTACGCCACTGATGTTTTATCACAATCATGTAAAATTATTAAGTTAATTACGAGTGTTTGTGTTTTGTAGGATCTGTTTATTGCACCCCTTTTATACAGGGCCCCTTGAGCTATTTTTTTTTGGGGGGGGGCTTAACTTTTGCATAGTTTGTCTTATGCCACCACTAGATGGGGGCTCTGGAAATGTAACTCCATTAACATATCAAAGCAAGTCGCCGAAGACTATCTCAGACTTCTGGAAAAGGGGAGAACTACCCACGAATGCATTTGGCTTGAGTGGCGTGTTATTACGCAGCTGACAAAAAAAAACCTGGACTTTGAGGTGGCAACTCAGGGTAGACAGCGGTCGGGGGGGGGAGGGTGTAAGGGACAGTGTGGATGTTGGGGGGGGGGAGCGCTGCGGGGGCAATGCTGCGTTGATGCACGGGGAGACGGGAGATTTGGGTTTGTGATTACGAGATCTCGGAGTAATAGAATAGAATAAATAAATTACTGCTTGAAGAAAACCGTTTCGACCGGCTGGTGATTAGGACCGGTTGATTCATCCATTCTGGGCACAATTCAAATTGCACGGCAGAGAACGATTGGGGCTGTTTGATGCGGAATAAAAATCATTGTTAAACTTCACGCCTTTTTAATTTACTTTCTGAAAGATAAAAAGTAATAATCAACTGCTGCGATCTGCCTCACTCTCTTTATCTCCCAACCTCGTCGCCTGCACCCCTCCGCTCCTCTCCTTCCCGGCTCTGTCTCCCTCTCCTCTCCCCCCTCGTCCATCTCCCCCCTCCCCTCTCCTCTCCCTACATCCCTCCGCTCCCGGCACCGTCGCTCTCCCCTCTCTTTTCACCGAGAAGCTCCGGACAAGGCTCCCAGCATCCTCTCCGTCATGCCCCACACGCCCTCCTCGGTGCTCGTCCAATGGGAGGTGAGTTCTCGCGGTCCCACGTTCGCCCCACTTGCCCAGTGGCGTGGCTTTCCCGTGTCACATGACCCATCTCATTGCAATTTAAAGGGTTAGCGGGTTTTTTCTTTTTTTAGGCGGGGACAGGTTTGCTTACTGCGAGATAACGGGACGTCAATAAGTAGCTTATCGGCTCCTTACAGCTGGCCTTGCTTAGCACGCGAACAAATTGCATGTAACCAAAACCCTATTGCTTTCCAGAAGCTGGTGTGCAAAGCAAGTTTATGAGGGGTTATGACAAATCTGCCTCCTGCTCCCCCCCCCCCTCCTCTTGCCTCTTACCCATTCAACCACATTCGTGTCCGTAATATCTGCGACAGCCCTCATGAAAAAAAAGTGTTTTTTTTAAACGTTCACACAAATGTAACCGTCGCCCAACCCCTCAACCTAACCCTGCTTCCTCTGCCTACCCCCGACCCCCATCTCCTCCCCCCTCCCTTCCTCCCCTCCCCCCCTCCCCATACATTTCTCCATGCCTCGCGACAGCCTCCGATGGAAGAGTCTGTGAACGGAGTGTTGCTGGGCTACCGCATCCTCTACCGCGAGCTGCCGCTGGAGGGGTCAAGGGTCATCGCCGGGGGTTACTCCGTACCCTACATCACCGCCGCCCCTGGCAACCCATCCCCCATACAGGCGCAGTTACTTGGTAACTCACTTTAACCCTTCGACCCCTTTTATGCATGTGGTTTCCCCCCCTCCCCCCCCCGTACAGCCTCTGCCTCTGAAGAAATGCTCTGGGGCAATTATGGAAAATTAATACAGAACCCGATCCTGCATGCTAATGTTTACTATTTTTTTTTATTATCGAGCAGGGCAACGAGCAGCAGAGGCTGCCAAGATGCTCACAGTTTTCAGATCCGCTTCGAGGGATCCGGTGGAGCGGCTGCCTCGCGATTTGCACAGCCGTAACCGGCTGGATATCCCCACGGTGGCAAGCGAGCGTGGCCTCGTGTTAAAGCGTAGGCGGGCGGGGGGGGGGCATGACACGGCCGCCCGGTGTTAAGCTTTCAAGTTTAAACGAACGTCAAAAACCAAACAGATTGAGCTTCCGAGTTTACCTTGTTTAACCCCGGTGAGAACTCAAACGACCTTTGACGAGTACTCACTTGCAAAGAGTTACTCCTGTCACCATAGTGGCAAAAGCAAGGCAAATAATAATAATACAGCGATTAAGTGAATACAATATAAAACAATGAAAACAGCCGTGTGACACGTGAGGAATCTACAACTACGCACCAAACGTAAATCAATGTTGAATTAAAATGTAATATTTAATTCCCTGCGGGCGTTAACTCGGGCAGGTTATTTTTAGACTGATCGCAGGACAATTGCAAACTTAAATTATAGGCACAATAGGGACAGGAGATATAGGGTGACGATTTAACTCATGTGTATACAAAATAAGGATATATGTCAAATGCACGCTCAGCTCTCGCTCTCAGCCCGTGTGGACATGAGGTGAGGCTACAATGTCCCCTACCTAATTGCCACGGGTGTTAAATATTGTGCCAACATTTCTTCTTACCTGACTGTAAGAATTTAAAAGGGGGGTGAGGCTACACCAGGAGGGAGCTCAACCCCATCCAGCGCCCCCCCCTCCCAGTCCGATGCTACGGGGGCCGAAGTGACCTCAAACACCTGGGAATCCGTATCGTCGTATTGTACTATGCTCCCAACGTCTGTGCCCTCCGCCTTCGCCAACCCGCACGAACCAGCACGGCAAAGAATCGACCAAGTTACCCCCGCACGACTTTCGTGGCGTGGGGAAGCCCTTATCCAGCAGTGGATTGACAGAAGGACCCGGCGCAGAGTCACGCTGAGACACCATCACATTCTCTCACAAGGAGATATCGCTGTGGCCTGAGGTCCCGTAACTAAATAAATTTTATATTTATTTCACTGCCCTTTGTGAACCCACGGCTGAGAAAAGGCCTCCCAAATGCCGTGTCGGTCACAGGTGTTGACATCCAGTGGCCCAGGCAGCACACTCTAAGTTTATTGTGTGGGCGCGCTGGAAGATCTCGGTGAGGAGCCCTTGGCAAACTGCATTACGCGTGACATCGAGGCACCCTCTTGAATAGCGCGCTCGGCTCTGCACGAGAGTGTGAGTGTGTGCGTGTGTGTGTGTGCGGGAGTGGTAGTGTAGTGGTTAGCGCGCTGCGCTATAAACCCAGCGACCCGAGTTCGATTCCCGCTCACGGCCAACACCAGTGACGATTATTTGAACCGGTCCTGGGCCTTCCCTAGGTCGACTCAGCCTCAAATGAATACCTGGTATGGTGTATAAACATCGCCACTTGGGAGACAAAGGCGGTCGGGCGTGGTGCTTGTCACCCACCCCCACCTGTACCGTTCCGGCCTTCATTAGTGCGCGCTAACAGCACTTGCCCCAACAGTCTGTTTAGGCTATAGGGGGGATCTTTGTCTTTGCCTCTCAAGTAGTGAGGAGCAGTGACCCAGTGGTGTGTCACGCTGTGCCACGGCGCAACATCATTCACGAATACCTGAAACTGTCCCGGGTTTCCCCAAGGTCGACTCAGCCTCAAATGAGGACTTGGTGTGGTGTGTAAACATCGCCACCGGGGAGACCAAAGGCGCGGTGTTGGCGACCTCCTCCCTCGTGTGCCGTGCGGGCCTTCGTGGGTGCTCGCTTTCCTGCACTCGCCCCGACAGTCCATTCGAAGCTGTTACGTGGGGGGGGTCTTCATCTTCGTATTTCTTGTCTCCCCCCCCCCCCCCCCCCTCTGAAGGCAAGTACGAAGTAAAGACGGTGAACGACTCGGCGGTGAAACACTACGAGCTCGCGCGTGAGTGACCGCATCGCTCCGCCCCGGGGGGGGGGGGGGGGGAGGTCACGCGCAGCGCACATCATTCGCGCCCGACGTCAAAACACACGCGCTGACCCCGCGCTCCTTTCAATCTCACGACGAGGACACGGAGGTGGGGGACGGTGGGGGGGGCTGCGGGAGGGAGAGGGGAGTGGAGAGAAAGACCGGGATGGCGACGTGATGGCAGGCAGACAGACTTCAGGGGTCAGGGGACATGCAACACCAATTATCGTGGGCATTTAATTAACTAAACAACGGTGCCTTTAGGAAGGGTCAGGAGCTGCCGGCGCTGTGTGTTGGGAGTTCTAAGACAGTGCTGGGGGCTGGGGCTGGGGGGGAGGGGGTGACCCAGGGTGACAGGCTCCAGGGAGTGCGGGGAGCATCGCGGTGGGGCTGGGAATCGGAACATGGGACCCTCGTCTTCATTTTAGCCGGGTGGTGGTGGCGCACGCCTGTAATCCAGCACTCTGGAGGCAGCAAGGATTGGGGGATCACCGCACAAATGTTGCGAGACTCCCTAATTGTAAATGTTGTGGGTTTACTCTCAAACATACCATATCTCTGTGTCCCTGGACTCTGTAGCTCTCATGCTGTCCAAGTACCCATCTGTTCGCCTGTGACCCTGTATCCCTATTCCTACATTTCCATATCCCCCCCCACATCATCTCATATCTCTCTCACCTGAAGACGATTGCCTGTGTTGCGATCGAAACGTCGTGATCTATTATTTTTCTATCTACGTGACTTTACCGAAAGACCCAAAGAGTATCATCTCATATCCTCACACCCCTTTGCCCCGGGACCGCACGTCCCCACGACCTCATGTCCTCATGTCCCCATGTCTGTGTCCCAATCCTGGACCCATGTGTCCCCATGTTCCTGTGACCCTTACCCTCCAACGCATTCCCATAATCGCATCCCTCCATCGCCCCTTGTGTCTCCATATCCTATGTCCCCACAGTCTCACATCACAATTTCTCCATGTGCCCGTACCCGTGTGCGCCCGTGTCCCTGTTACCCCAGTGCTACCCACGCGTCCCCGTAACCTCGTAACACTTTATCGACCTCCCCAATATCCCCGTGCCTCCACCCCGATGCCCCCTGTGATATGCGCGCTCAGAACTCAACAAGTACCGGCGGTACGAGGTGCGCGTGAGCGCGTACACGGCGGCCGGGGAAGGACCCATGACGTACCCGCGGGAAGTGTACGTCGGGGAGGCAGGTACGTCCGCGTGCCCTCACCGTTGGCACCGCCGCTGTGCCAATGGAGTCGCTGCAAACCACCCTTGACTCCGATCCTAGATCCGTAGCTCCATTTTCTCAAATGGTAACCCTCTCTAAAACCAAACCATACAAACCTAACTCTCCCTAACCCTGACTCTCCCTAACCTTGTCTCTAACACTAACTCACGAACCCTAGCTCTATATTTAACGATAATCCTAACTCCCTAAGCCCAATCCTGTCTCTGACTCTATGAGCATAGCCCTGTCTCTAACCCTGTCTAAGACTTGCCAATGCCATATCCATAGCACTGTTACTAATCCTGCGTCTAACCCTGCGCCTATCCTGTTTCTGAACTTTTCAAGAACCTTTGATAATGTTGTCTCTCACCCTGACCTTAACCCTGTCATATCCCTGTATAAATCCCTGCACAGTTGGCTACGTATGGTGCGAAAGAAGTCTGTCACGCAGCCGTTTGGTCGCCATAGTTTTGAATGTGTTTACACACTCGATAAGGGATGTCCATCCTCATTCTCTGTCCGTCGGTCACCATCCCTTCCGCTGACGACGTGTCCTGCCTCGAGCCCACTTTACTTTCTTAACAATCGATGCGGTCTCCGATTTGCAGACATTCTCTAAACATCCATGTGTTGGTCTATCAGCGTACCTCCACACGTGCACCTCTCCGCGCATCTGTGCGCGCTGATCAGCTTTAGTTCCATTTTCCTTGTCAGTGTCCGTGTTTCTGATCCGTACATCCTTGCAAGGTAATATCTGCTGATAACAAAAAAATAATTCTTCTCGAGGCACATCGGTACATTACTCTTCATTACATTTTGCAAAAGCACAACAACTTGCTCTCATTAACTGCCATAGGAATCTATCATTTCCACATCTGGCTTAGAACTGTGAACAGAATAGTCATTTCAGTTACTTGGTTGAACGGAGGGAAAACCACTTCGCTGTTGAGCAATGCAGAAGGAAACAGCCCAAACATTCAAAGCAGAATGTGTCCTGGAACTCCAGTGGCTATCACCTGAGCTCAAAGGGAATCACTGATTCCACTGTGCACTCGTGACAAATTACCATCGAGCTGAATTGAACCGTGGCGCTGTAATAACGATAACAACACAGCGGACATTATTTCTTTGAAAGCTGCTGTCTGGCCACTTTCTCGTGCGGTTTGCCCCGTTTCCATTTTGGGAGAGGAAACATGACCGAAGGAATGTTTGTTTTAGGACTATTCGTAGCTGCTGCGGCATTTACGCAGAAGTTAAAAACGCAGCGGCGTCCGCGTCCCACGCTCTTTGCCCTCCTCTGGCGCGCTCGTTGTGCCGCTCTCACGGTGAAGTCGCACAGCAGGGGGGCCACGTGGCAACCGCTCCTGCTGCCCATCTCGGCCTTCCGACTCTGACCAAATCACACCGGGGATGCGCCCACGTTCCGTCAAGAGCTCGCAAAGCTAAGCGGGACCTGAGCCTGGAGAGTGTGCTCCAGAATAGCAACTCTGATGGGTGACTGATCACCGTGCAAGTCTGTGGTGTGACCTTGTTTTTTGAAGAGACGGAGGTGGGGGGGGGGGCATACACACAGTTAATGTTAACAAACTTGTTGATGTAAGAATTTTGATGGGGGGGGCTGAACCTTTAGGTGGAGGGGAGGGGGGGAGACTCAGTCCCCTTCATCCACCCCCGTCGATACTGTGTGGCTGCCAAAATGCATGCCAGGTGCTATGGGCTGCTGTGAGTTTGCGCGTCGGACAGCAGGAGGCGGTGCCACAAAAGCGATTGTTGTACTCTACTACGATTCCATATTTATGCTTCCACGTGTACGCTTGTCGCATTTTACCAAACCCGCACTGGTCAGCTCGGTAAAGCATTATCCGATAACCCCCGCACGACATGGACAGGTCCTCATCCAGCAGTGGATTAACAACAAGGGCTGTACGTGTGCATGATGTTGTTGTTATTGTTGTTGTCAGTCCAGTGAACATCCGCTGCTGGTCAAAGGCCTTCCTCCATCCTCTTCCATTCCTTCCTTTCCTTGGTTGTTCTGCAGAACCATGGAAGGACATCTCACCCGTACAAATTATGAGCACACGTGGGCCACGTAGTGTTTGGATAACATCCGTCAATCGAGAAATAAATGTCGTAACCATAATTGTTCTTCTTCCTTCTCTCAACCCCCCCCCCCCCCCCCCCCCGTTATCATTGTTGCTAATCCGATCCTCAGTGCCATCGGCACCTCCCCGCAACGTAGTGGTACGGGCCGCCAGCTCCACTCAACTGGAGGTGGCGTGGGATATCCCCCCCCTGCACACCGAGAATGGAATCATCCTGGGATACAAGGTCAGACTCTAATGCTCCCGTCTGGAGGCGTGCGTGTTAACAAACCTGTTTTTGTTATTTTTTTACACAGGCTCTGGAAACCGCTGTCAGATAATTGCGCGTGTGGGTGTTTCTGTGTGTATGGGGAGCGATTGTGCAGTGGTTAGCGCAGTGCCCTTTGAGCCCGGCGCCACAAGTTTGATGCGCTGCCACAGCTCACATCTCAACTGGTCCTGGGCCTCCCTGCGGTTGTCTCAGCCTTAAAATGAGTACATGTACATGGTGCGGTGCGCAAATAACACTGGGGGGGACAAAGGCGACCAGGTGTGGCGCTGGCCACACCACTCCCAACGTGCACGCGATATTACAGCCCTTGGAGGTGCGGTGCTGGCTAACAGCACTTTTCCCAACAAGCCTGTGTAGGCTATACGGGGGATCTCTGTCTTTGTTTCTATGTGTACGTACCCTGTGCCTGCGTGTACAGTAAAATGCCAGAATTTATTTTTCGCTCAGTATCTTCTGAGTCACTGGTCGACTGGAGTAGTCATGTGACTAGGAGCCTCCACACAGCCATCGTGACAGGTATACTCGATGTGGTATGCAGGGTGCAGAAATATTTTCTGCGTCACTGACAGGCACTTCCGATTAGCAAGATTGGCTACATCGGGTGCGAAAGAAGTTCAACATACAGACATACAGGCACAAGCCTGGCTGAAATGAACCCCTGGTTGGAGCTTTGATATGTGCCGTACATCCTGAGTGTGCTGCAGCAGCCTGTGTTTCACACGGAGGGGTCGCTTGGACTGTAAATGTGTGGTGATTTGAGATGCCTGTGTGATTGCGCGCCTGTGAGCGAGTGGGGAGCGTTAGTGTAACTGTTAGCTCCCTGCACTGCGGACGGCGGCCCGGGTTCGATTCCCCCTAGGCTTCCCCTAGGTGGACTCAGCCTCAAATGAGTACCTGGTGCAGTGTGTAAACATCGCCACTAGGGAGACAAAGGAGGCTGGACGTGGTGTTGGCCATCCACCCCCTCGTATGCCGTGTCGGCCTTCATAGGTGCTTGCCAACAGCACTTGCCGCAAAAGTCTGTTAAGGCTATAGTGGGGGATTTTTGTCTGTATCTCTCAGCCTGCTGATGAGCATGGCCCAGTGGTGGTGGTGAACAGCGGCACAGCATATTTTGGCATGATACTTTTTTCTATTGAAACTATTTTTATATTTTTAAGGTAAGGCCCACTGATCTCTATAGCTATTTTTCAGAAGCGACCTGGCCACAAATGATAGCTCAACCTAGTGGCTTATCATGTGGACATTTATAGCAGCCAAATACTCTCAACGCGTGTTTCTAAATGTGGAGGGAAACAACCGGAGCACCCGGATAAAATCCACACGAACACGGGGGGGATAGACACGAAAACTCGAAATGTACAGGCGTCAGGGTCGGGATCGAACCGACGACCTCCTGAATACCAGGCGAGGTAGTTAACACCTCGCCACCGTGGCGCCTAGGATCATCCCCTCCTGTTGCGGCATCTTCATCCGTACTAATCTTAGGTTTTTTCGGTAACGTCACGTAGGTAAAAAATGAAAATAAATAAAAGTAAAATAAAAATTAAATAAAAATCACAACGTTTCGGAGGCAACACAAGCCTCTGTCTTCAGGTGGAACCGTCACAGCACGCTTTCTGTATCAAGTTTTTTTTTTTACTTGATACAGAAAGCGTGCTGTGACAGTTCCACCTGAAGACGGAGGCTTGTGTTGCCTCCGAAACGTCGTGATTTTTATTTTATTTTTATTTTATTTTACATTTATTAATTTAAATTTTTTACCTACGTGACTTTACCGAAAAAACCTAAGATTATGAATCCTTGCAGTCACGAAAGCTTCAAATCTTGAATTCATCCGTACTCTCGCGTAGTGTTCACGTCACGTGCCATGGTTGTCATCCACATAGCACTTCAATAACAACAATAACATTATGATAATGGCACACAGCCTTTGGTAAAATCTACTGCTGAATGAAGGCTTCCTCGTGTCGTAGCAGTCAACGGAGTTGTTTGGCCATACTTTACCACGCTCGTCAGTGTGGGTTGGTGAAGGGGGGCACAGAGGGCAGTTTCAGATTTCACTCACCTCTGATGTGAGCCGTGGCCGGAAGTCAAACTCGCCCGCCACCCTCTCTCAGGTTCATAGTGCGGTGCGCTAACCACTGCACCTCCGCTCCACCACTCAATTCCTGACCATGGCTAACGTCACCTCCACTCTCACATCCCTCCCACTAACGCGCACTGACCAGCACGGTGAAGCATGGTCTAAACAAACCTTCACGACCGACGCGGTGTATGGGGACACCTCCATCATCCAGCTGTGGAACGGCGCAGTGCTTGCCGTATGGCGAGCGCGCGCGCAACACTGCCGCGGATAACCAGTCACATCTGCGCACTGGCCTTTAACAATCACACTTATCAAACGTGCAACAGTCAAACCAGGGCCCGTCTTTGGCCCCGAGCGAGGGCGCTGAATATTTCGAATCAGGCGGCAACTTTGCCATTAATCAAAAGCATCAGAATGTGATCCGGGTTTATGCCCGAGGGGGCCCTGTCAAGCAACCCAACTGCCACCCCAACCCACCACCATCACCACCCCGCCCGCCCGCCCGCCCGCCCACACAAACGAGCAGATTGCGCTCGGTCATTACCCAGTACTCCGGCGCCACGAGCATTATTTTGCACCATCATTCTTTATCCGCGGAAGAGAAACGGAACTTGAATTTGCGTTTCTCGAGGCCTCAATGGTGATGCAACAAAAAACAACCCTCGATGATATTGCCGATGTTCGAGCTCGTTTTTATCAAAAACGTCGGGACAACGTTCTTTCATCCCTCGCGAAGTCTTCGCAGCCGTAGCGCAGGCCCATTAAGCAGCGCCACGTTATTATCATTATCATCATTACTAGTAGTATTCTTTATACGGGCACGCTCCATTAGGCGGCTGTGTAGTACAGCTGGCCGGCGAGGAAGTTGCATTTGACAAGCTAATATGATTTAACTGGTTTAACAGCTCCCCAAGAACGCCAGACAGATATTAACCGATGACGGCGTAGTTTTGGAATCTGCGTGCCTCTGATATATGAGGGCAGCCATCCGAGGCTCACGAGGCGGCGGGAGGGGGGGGAGTTTGTTTCGGGGAGTTTCAGAACCCACCGGCTGCTTCCCTAAACTCAGCAGGCAGATGAGCGCACAGCGATCCTGTTTTGTATTTGCAGTCGTTCGTGTCTCCAGGGGGGCGCACACCCACCACCCCTCTCCCCCCCTCCCCCCCCCTTCAATCTTTCTTGACTAGTGAACCCTCATGCGTTTCGCTGTTTTACGCAAACATGCATCATGGCAAGCACATTATTGCATTATTAAGTCGGTGCCTGCTGGATATTTGAGCTTGATTAGGCTCTGCTGCAATTACAGTGTGTTAAGTCTACGTAACTACTGGCCAGTGACTGCGCACTGGGCCTACAGCTCATGCGGTGTCTGCAAATGAAATATTCCATCGCCAGCATAATCAGCATTTACATTACCTTAAAGGGAGGGGGGAGGGGGTGGGGGGAGGGAATGGGGGGTGGGGGGAGGGAGGGAACCAATTTCAAAACATACCACGATTTATGTTGTCACTGTCCCATAGCCATACTGCAAATATTCGGAATCAGAATATTTATTTACACGGAGAGGAGGATTCCGATGGGCTATGAAGCTCTTTTTTCACAGTAGGAGCGGGTAAAAACGTCACAACAACAAACAGCTCGCAAACACGATAGGAATGCAAAATGCAAGAAAAGTAAACACATCACCCAAACACGTACAAATAACACTAAACCATCCCCATGCTACCAGACAAACATCCACTGAGGTAATAACTTATTTTTCAGCATCGACCTGGCCACAAATTATAGCTCAACAAAGTGGCCCCATCATGTGGACAATTCATAACACCAAAATGATCTAAATATCTGAATAATCATTCATTGGTGGTATCCGGACACATACGACTCCCACCGTGGCTGCACCCCCCCACCCCCCAGAGGTCGCAACCGGGTACCCGATACCCGGCTACCCGGGTACCCGTTTGCGACTCTGGTGTGGCCGGGTACGGGTACGGATAGGCTGTGAGTCACTGGTGAGTAACTGTTTGTCACTCATTTCCCAACGTCTTGTCTCTTCTCACAATTCAAGTTCCTAGAATCAACCCACCCGCGCCTGCAACATGGCTTCATCCCAGAGGTCGCAATCAGGTACCCGATACCCGTACCCTACCCGTACCCAGCCACGTACGGGTAAGGTACGGGTACGGCCGGGTACGGGTACCCGTTTGCGACTCTGGTGCGGCCGGGTACGGGTACGGGTAAGGAATCAAAACCCGTTTGCGACCTCTGCCACCCCCCCTGACTCGCAGACTCCACGTTGGCAGGGGGAGAGACCTCACATCCGGTGTCCTGTTCAAGGCTCCAACCCAACGGGGGCCCGTGACATACAGAGACTTTTGACTTTTAAACAACTTTTATTGCCGCCAGCAGCAAGAGCACTGGAGGCGATTCCGATATTAAATACGCAGTCACCAGCAACACAAATAAAATAAACGCTATAAATCCACGCGCTGTCTGTGGCGCTAAATGCAGCGTACACAACACGAAATAAAAGTCACGTGGTGGTGGTGGTCATCGCGCACGCCACGGTGACGAGCGAGCGCTTCAGAAGGTGAACACGAGGGTACCGTCCACGCTGGTACAGAGGGCTTGTCAGCCTCCCCAGCGTTCGAAGAAGACGTGCACATCACCGAGAGAGAGGGGAAAGCGATGCGATCACACGATTACGAGCCCGCGCTCGCAGAACATTTAAAATTCCTCGCAGCTCAGGTGTGAATTTAATAATTCCCGCTGCGAAAGAGGCAGCAGATTAAGAAGCGCGAGCGTGCACACAAGCTGTCGGCATCCTTAGCTGTTGTTAATAAATAATGATGAGTCTGGCAGTTGGGGTGGAAGGGGGGGCTCCGAGTGAGCTGTTGACCATGCCGTCATGCACAGAGAAGCCCTTTCACACCCCCACACCACACCGCCTCTCACGAATCCCCCCACAAAGAGTCTTGACGAGAACGCTGACATTGGCTCTCATCACCGCCATCAATCAGCTTAATAAGAGATTATAACCTTTTGCTTTTTTTTGTGTTGCCGAGCCGCTCCGTCAACACAAACACAATTAGTTTGTGGCTTCTGTTAACATATTAGCAGGCGTGTAATCGTGCCCCCCCCCCCCCTGCCAAGCCCCCCCCCCCCCGACCGAAGGGCAAGCGACATAATTCTCGGGAATGTTTTCAGCGGTGCCGATTTAACGAGTCTTCATTCAAGGTCAGTTCGGTTCAGCATCAAATGCCTCAAGCGGAGCCCCCACAGGCTGATGAAGTTCTCTCGGCCAGAAACTTACCCCCCCACACCCATCCACCTCCTCTCCCCTCCCCCCAACGCCGGGAGCTCAATTAATTAAATCACGGCCTCTGTGTCAATCCACCGCTGGCCGAAGGTCACGGCAGTGGCGGTGAGGGGTTAGTTTGTTTGGCGCATACTTCACCCGCTCTGGTCAGTGAGTGCGGGTTGGGTGAAAGGTGGCTACCCCAGGACCAGTTCAGGTACCACTCGCTCACCACCGATATTAGCCGTGACGAGGAATCGAACTCCGGGTTTGCCAGGTTCTTGGCGGTTTTGAGAATGAGATACTTGTGGCCCAAATCACCCTTGGGGCGCCCAATCTCTTGGCGGAGTTTTGAAACTAAGCAGGTCAGAGCCTGGTTGGAACTTGGATGGGTGATCACTACCACCAACAGGGCTTGCCAGGTGTTGTAGAGGTGGGGCTGCGAGGTGTGGCCTGGAGATGGCAACGTTGATGTGTCTCCAGGTTGCCCGGTTTCATCTCGCATGATGCTGCTGACTGCCGCATAAGCAGTGGTGCACGGGCACGATTGACGACAACCAAAAACTCATCCTCGCCAACACTGACCTAAACGGAAAAAAGTGCACAATAGTTGACGTCTCGGGGCAATGGCACCTTCATCACAGCCCATAGAGAGGCCAAGAAGGATCATTAATTTTAATTTGGATGAACATCCCAATGCCGCAGGAGCCTCCTGCCTGAATCGCCTTGAGACTCACTCGAGGGTTCCCCTGGCGAACGATTGCCTTTGATTACGCATCACCGACAAGCGCACCACCTCACGTCGGCCTCATTGCGAAGCCGTATCCATCACTCGTCTGCCAATCCCGGTAATTGAATGAGTGCACTCTTGTTCCATGCGTTGTTGAATGCCAAGGAGCGAGCAGACTATTCAAATTCGACTCTTTGCATTTTCGTACGCTGCCACCGCCCATCCTATATATAAACACGCGCATTACGTGCGGCATGTATAATTAAGATTCTGTGCCGAAGCACACTGCTCGTGGTGTGGCCCGCAGCTTGCCAGCTTAGCCAATGAATGACCTTCACGTGAGTGATGGGAGGCTGCCGTGTAAGAGTTTGTGCGGAATGTTAAGCGTCGAGGGGGTTGACTGCGCCAGGCCGCGACGCCGCCGTTGCCTTAGGACGCCGCTGCCTGCGCTTTCTCGGCACCGCGAAGCCGCGCGGTCAGAGGGGGTCGCGGCGATCCGGATGGATTATTTAAATCGCGTCAGCTCTCTCTGCCGCTCACGCGTTTGGGAATTTCATCGGCCCCGCAATGAAACCGCGGAAGGAATTGTCTTTTTTTTATGCGGATGAACGATACACGTGCACGAATTTGATTTTGTCTCCCACCCCACACTTTACGACGACGTCAAAATGCCACCGCATCTTACGGCCGCTGGAAGCAGAAACAGTGATTGTGTTTATTTTATGGATAGAGGCGCTCGGTCGCAGGCAGGGAAAGAAGAGGTAAGGCTCTTCAGCCTAGACTTGAATGAGGGCAGAGTCGACAGCACTGACAGCTGGGGGAAGGGCGTTCCAGCCTATGGGGGGATCAGTTAAGATATCACCGCAGCCACATTCGGATCGGCCCTTGCCCATCGTTAACGTTGTGAATTGTGCGTGGTCCCACAATGGCCCAACCACTGGCTCTGAAATCAAATCCCAGATCCATTTGACGATCCTCTCGGCTTCAAGATCCTCCGCTACCTCTCAGCATCTCGAGATGGCGGTCACATTTAGGCGCTTTTATCATATGAATCCCCAGTGCATGACTCTTGTATTGACTCAAGGATCCATAGACGCACATGTAGACCAAAGATCCCCCGTATAGCCTCAACAAACTGTTGGGGCAAGTGACGTTAGTGAGCACCCGTGAAAGCCGGCATGGCACACGAGGGGGTTGGTGGGCAGCCCCACTCCTGGCTGCCTTTGTCTCCCTAGTAGCGATGTTTACACTCATTTGAGGCTGAATCGACCTAGGGGAGGCCCAGAACCAGTTTAAAAATTCGTCACCGGTGTTGGCCACGAGCAGGAATCGAACTCGGGTGACTGCGTTCGTAGCGCAGCGCGCTAACCATTGTGCCACCGCCCCCCTAGTAATCCTAGCCACACACAGACAAACCAACTGACACGAGACTTCCTCCTGCCCAAGACCAGGCTTAAGACTTCCTTTTCATCCTCTGCATATGACTGACTGCCTCCCTCTCCATAGAAAATAAATACACTCACTGTTTCTGTACAGTGTCAATATTTATTTCATAGCAATTATATGCGAATCTATGGGACTCTATGTGAGTCCATGCGTGTCTGTGTGAATGTGACACGTGTATGAGCTTTGCCTGAATTATTGTCTCTCTGTGAGAGTCTATGGGTCTTTGAGTGAATCTATGGGCCACTGTTTCTGTGCAGCATCTTTAGATGGTGTTGCATTTAAACACTTTTTCAACCCTCATCTTATTGTATTTTTTTTGTATCATTGTATTGTGTTATATTGTATTCTATTGTATTATTCCATTGGAATGGTGTATTGTGTTATCATATTGTATTCTTGTAATCTGTTGTATTATATTATACTAGCTTATATACCCAGCATTGCCCGGGGCCAAAAAAGTATTTAAAAAATACTCTTCGAAATCTAACGGCAGTGCGTGTGACTGTGGTGGTACCTGCTATGATTACAGCAGTGCATAGCGACTGTGGTCATACCTGCTATCACTACAGTAGTACATGCTGACTGTATAGCAGCATTTATCGACTCTAAAGCATAAAGTACTTACCTGACAGAGTTGTGTGGTGAGGCCTAGTCCCGTGCAGAGCCTCCGGCCTCGCCTAGATTGTCCAGCCGGCCGAGGTGGCACCTTGGCAGGCTGGAGATGGGCTGCTACCCTTGACACCCACCCCCCCCAGCCACGATCTCCCCGGCCGCTCTGCAGTAATATCTACGGCCTATAGTTGTAGCATCTAGCGACTGTATAGTAGTAATAACTGAACGCATCGGGGTGGGGGGGACATCACACAGTGAAGAATTAACGTCAGCGTTTAGTGTATTTTTAATACATTTTTAACGTGAAAGAAAATGTCCCCCTCACTCCCACGAAAGGCATGCGACTTGGCATGGGCCATCCCCCCCACCAAAGGCGTGTGAGTTGGTATGGTAGTGCACGCGTCTTAAATAAATTTAAAGTTCACAGATGTGAAAAAGGAATAGCGCTTGCTCACCGTGGGGCTTACGGCTTGGTACCTGGCTATTTTTTCTTCGCAAGCGCGCGAACAGACACAAACCCCACAAACAAACCCACAAACAGATAATTTTTTACTTATATATAAATTGTAATATTGCATTGTAGTATTGTATTATTGTATTGCATCGTAGCATTGCGTCGTATTATTGTATTGCATTACTCTATTAACATTTTACAGTATTTCATTCTGTATCACATTGCGGCCTTGCATATTGACGTAGTATTGTCATTCCATTGTATGATTGTTGTGATCGTATTGGTGCCCAGGTCTACTTCAAGGACACGGCGCCGTCGGGGGTGAGAGGCGATGCCGGCGCGGAGCGCGTGCGCATGCTCTTCCTGCCGGAGACGAGCGCGCGGCTCAAGAACCTGACGGGCTTCACGGTGTTCGCCGTCAGCGTGTCGGCCTACAACTCGGCCGGGGAGGGCCCTCGCAGCGCCGCCATCACCGCCAAGACGCTGCCCGCTCGTACGTGTTCTCACCGGGCGCGCTTATCGCTCGCGCTCGCCTTTCTCGCTCATCACCCGCTCACCACCCTCGCTCACCACCTGCAGTCACCACCCGTGCTCGCCACCCGTGCTCACCAGCCACGCTCACCACCGACTAATTCGATGTAAAGCAGTCAGGTTGGCTGATGGTCCTACACTCACCTGGAGGAAACCCACAAGCACACATGGGGACAATTCTCATACACCTGGCACCCTTAGATCACGTAGCTCTTTGCTGTCCTGTCATCTCCGAGCCACCTCACTCTCCGTTGGCTTTTGAGATTTTTCACAGCGCAATTGATGACGTAAAAGGGTTGTACATTTATGATTTATTGTCTTATTTATAAATCATTATTAATAACCGACACTGTCTTCCAATGCACTGCAAGTACAGGTGTCCGCCACCGCGCCTGGCTAGCTACTTAATGAATCGCCTTAATTGCATACAAATTAATAGCGGCATGTTTGACCGGGTAGGTGTGTGTGTGTGTGTGTAAGCAAGTGTCTACATTATGAACATTCCTTTACACGCTTGTCCACTGCAAGGCGCTAATCGGCGAACTGATGGCTCAGTTGTTTCCGCAGTGGGATCACCGGTGCGACGCTTCGGCGTTAATTCCGTCAATGAAAATTAGTGGCCAAAAATTGTTTTTTCGCCGAGAGAAGTCGTTTTTGTTTGTTAATTTTAGCCAACGACGGACCAAGGGTGGACGCACCTCACGGAGCGTGACGCTCATTGCAGCTGCCCCACCAAGGACCAAAGCGCGAGCTCCTTTGACGAGACGGAATTAACGAGCCTGAATGCAGACGCAGCCTGCGATAATTTAGTGACATTATCAGACGGAGACTGCAGCGCAACTGAGGAGGACCGAATGTGATAATTGGCTCTGGATGAATGTGCGTATGTAAAATGATGAAATGAGTTCACTGGATGGCTGGCGTGGCGGGTTACGGGTGAAAATTTCTCTCACGCCAACATTTAATAACTGAGTGTTTCACTAAATGTTTTACTCCTTTAGTCGACCATACTTAAGTGAATGACTCAATGAAATCTGCAGACTGAGACTTTATTTAAGATGCCACAGCTTGCCATCGGCTAGACGCAGATGGTGGCGAGATGTTAACTATCTCGCCTGGTATATAGGTGGTTGTGGGTTCGATCCCGACCCTGACGCCTGTAAATTTAGCGTTTGCATGTTCTCCCCGTGGTCGCGTGGATTTTTCCCTGGGTCCTCCTGTTTTTCCCTCCACTTTTAGAAACAATGTTTGGTTCCACATGATAATCCACTTAATTGAGCTGTCATTTGTGGCGAGGTCGCTTTTACAAAATAGCTATATAACTCAGTGGGCCTTACCTGGTAAAACTAAATAATAATCGTTTTTACTTTAGAAATACGATATAAAAAATGCTGGCCAAATTAACCCTAGCATCTTGTCTCTTTGAATACGGGTATGGAATTTTTTCCACGTGTTTGTGTGAAAGTTAAGGCCAATGCATGACCCCTCATAGTCTATTCAAGCGAAGTGTGGACTAGCAATCAAAAAGGCATTGAAAGAGCTGGCCAGGTAGCTCACAGCTCAAAGAGTTGAGCTTCCACCGTTGAGATCCCAGCATCGAATCTGGGTTTCAAAGTCACCAAGATGATTAAACCAGGTATTCCTAGTGTAGCATGCTGATGCTTTGAGCCCGGTTATCAATGACTCCAACGACATACATACAATCTCACACACACACAAACTGTAAAATTTTAATGTGGTTATTTTACTTGATTCTTGCTCAAATTGCAGCTCTTGAGAATTAAAATATCTGTCATGTCATAAATACCAATCTCATATGAAAGGGCGTTATAAAAGCGCCCCTTCTGCTGTGTACAAATGAAAAGGCACCAGGATTATAAATTAGGAAAAAGACCAAAACAAATATGTTTTTGAAGGCACTGAGCTGGCCCCCATGAATTATGGAATACGAGCGATCGTGTCCATGGGCCTTCAAAACTTTAAACATGAAAAATGAGCCCATACACAAAATTCAGACCATCAAAAGCATTCAATCGAAGCTTCAAAAGCACAAAATATACCTTTGGAATAAAACACAATTATCTTTAACCAAGTCCAAACAGGCAACATGTTATTAAGATGCAATATTACATTACCGCGATAGGCAACCTGAATGTCTCATTTCCTGGCCTTATCAAGAAAGGCTGCATTGGAAATGCCGGACACACAGACCCTCCCAACGTCCGTACTTTGCTGAGAGCCCCTTCCACATTGCGCGGCGGCTGTAATGTAATTGTCTCTTTGCTCGCGCATTTATGGAAGTTTCTTATACAGGGATAACTTAATTTGCTCGTGATGAGCCTCCGCTGGCGGTGACACCTCAGGAATTAAGAATGTCACAGCAAATAAAAAAACGGATCTTCACCGCACGGCTCCGGTTGCTTGTCCTGTGTGTTGCTGTCGACGTGCGTTTGCGTTAATTTCACTCCCAACGCTGCCTGTGCTGCCGGCGCTGGTGTCCTGTACCCCTGCCCCCCACCTCTGCCCACCTTACCCCCCCCCCCCCCACCCACACACAGCGCCCTCAGCTCCCCAGTTTGTGCGATTCGAGGACGTGACGACAAGTTCGCTCAACGTGTCGTGGGGAGATCCTCTGCGGCCCAACGGCGTTCTGGAGGGCTTCAAGCTCATCTACAAGCCCACCACACCGGTGCACGGTGACTCGCGCACGCACACACAAAAAACAAAGATCTGCCGCATAGCCTTAACAGGCTGTTGGGGCAAGTGCTGTTAGCGAGCACCTATGAAGGCCGGCACGGCACACGAGGGGTTGGGTAGCCAGCGCCACGCCCGGCTGCCTTTGTCTCCCCATTGGTCATATTTACACATCGCACCAGGTCCTCATTTGAGATTGAGTCGACATAGGGGAGGCCCAGGACGGGTTCAGATAATCATCACTGGTATTGGCCGTGAGCGGGATTTGGACTCGGGTCGCCAGGTTCATAGTGCATTACTGTATGGTGCGAAAGAAGTTCAGCATACATACACACACGCACGCAACCATATGCACGCACACGCATGCATACGCGCACACAGATGCACACGCATGCACACGCACACACACGCAAGCACACGCACGCACACACAACCAGATGCGCATGCACACGCCCACACAAATGCACTCGTGCACACGCACGCATGGACACACGCATGCACATGCATGCACTAATCCAGTAGGCAGGGCCAGATTTAGTTTGATGGGGGCCCGGGTCTGTTATAGATTCAGGGGGGGCCCTCTTTGTACATTCAATTCCCTCCCTTGACTGCTTTACCACCACCCGTGCCCGATGCCAAACACTCCACTATTATTCATCTTGGCTATTTCAGTTGTGGTCTTAAAAAATGTAATGGAGGAATTTTTTAAAGCTAAATCAGGTGTGCAAACGAACAACACTATTTAAATGTGAGCACACTTCCGGTATTAATGCGCATCGTGAAGCTATGGCTTTAATTACCAACCTACACTACGGGGTTTATCGCAGTGCTACAGTATTGCGTCCCAACCGTTGTAAAGCTGTAGATATAGTGTATGTAATTATATTCAGTTGTGTGGGCCCCACGAAATCCAAGGCCGCAGTCGCTAAAACCCCCAGTATGTATATCAATTATTTTTCGCACCGTATTCAGAAGGGGGTGTGAGCCTTTAGCAGTGGGGGGCTCTGCCCCCTCCAAGCCCCCCACGCCGCCTGTCAGCAAGATGCATGTGTTCCCTCTTTCACTCGCCGATGTGTAACGATGCACCAATTCAAATCTGTTGTAATGCGTCGGATTGTTTAACCATACCTCACCGTGCTGGTCAGCACAATGCACTTGCAATACAGAGATCGCCGGTGTGATCTCTGGCCATGGCATTTAAAACAATGGCACAAGTTGCTTAAATCTTCCCACATCACACCCCAACAGTATGAATGAGTTCACCACAGTTAGTTGATTGGTAGATCGGTGGGGTAAAGTGTGGGTACTACAGAGTAGGTGTGGAAGAGTAGGCCAAATGCCATCTAGAAGGGGCTTTCTAGAGCTCCGTTTTAGTGAAGGCCCTACTGCCAGCAGTGGCCTGAGCATGCTTTTGCAGGGCTGCACCTTTACCATTTGAACTAATTCTACATTATAATGAAAATATAAAACAATAAAAAAATTGTTGTTTAATATTTTTATTATTTTATTATTTCCCTTCTACGTGACTTTACCGATAGAACCAATAATATGAATCCCTGCAGTCACGAAAGCTTTAAATCAAAATTTAATTCTACATTTTTGTTTAACTTATTTTTTTTCAGTTTTTGGCAATTTTGGCAAACGAGGGTACCGTTGCAAATGAGACTATCCTGGTATCTTGAGTTCTCACCTCGCTGTAACAAATTGCACTTTGAAACACGATTTACAGACAAAGCATTTTTCAAGTCTTAAACAAATCCACAAAGCCAAATTCCCGACGTCAAGAGCGACGTCAGGTCCGTGCAAAGCGTGACAGCCGGGCCAACGCGTGCGGAGCAGTAATCGTAACCCGCGTATTGCAGTCACTTTGAATGTACTGCTGAGAAGAGGCGAGTGTTCAGATTTGTTTTAAAACCTGTAACACTTGAAGACTCTTTGAAGACTTTGATCAAAGAAGCTCTCTCGTACAAGGCCTTCAGATTGTGCGCATGTCCGTGCCAGCTTTGCCTCCCACTCAGCCGTTCTTTGCTCTTGAAGCTGTGAGCGAAGGCGATTTTATTATTTTGTGCGTTAATATATTTATTTACCACGTTCGTTCGCCGATGCCGGGGTGAGCGCAAACTTTGGACAAGCGTGAGCTCCTCCAAGCTGAGAAAAGCTGTGATCTTTTGCTTGTTTGCTCAAAGTTCGTTAATAATCTGGCTCGGGATCCCTTCTGAGATACCCACCAAGCCGCCCCCCTGTCTCTGCCACTGTCCGCCGGGCACAGTGGTGGTGGTGGTGGTCGTCAGTGGCACAGCATATTTTGGTATGATGAAACGATTTATTTTAAAACTGTCAACAATTTTTATTATTTTACCCGGTAAGGCCCATTGAGCTGTGTAGCTATTTTTCCGAAGCGACAAAGTTGCTCATCACATGGAAATGTATGGCAGCCAAACACTGTGAACGCACCTTGATTCTAAACCTGGAGAAAAAAATCCACGTGACCAAGGGGAGAGAGACATGCAAACTCCAAATATACAGCAGCAGGCGTCACGGTCGGGATCGAACCCATGACCTCCTGCATAGCACGCGATGGAGTTAACATCTCGCCGCTTGAATAGGACTCTCGTTCCAATAGCTAAGACACAGGCTTTGATTGGTGGTAGTGGTGATTGACGCTCGTTATCCAGTAACTTGCCGGCAGAGTTGGCAGCTCACGCAGAGATGGAGATGCATTCACCTGCAGTGCAATGAGGGGGTGGGCTACTGCTGGAGGCAGCACAGCAAGTTGCCCTCTGACCAATTAGCGCAGAGTTGAAGTTTGAATCCCTCATTGTATTGGTGCTCTCCAAACACAGTGATGCCATCCCATCGTCATGATCTGTCCACTGCTGGATGAAGGCTTCCCCCCCCACAGCCGTCACCATCTCTTAATTTTCTGTCTATCTCCTGCACGTAAGCCGATCACATCACTTCCATCTCTTCAGTGGATGTCCGCTCAAGCATGTTCCCTCATTTGGTTCCCACTTCATGATGAGTTTCAATTACTGGCCATTGTCCATGCTCGTGTTTCCGATCCACATGTCATACATAGGTCAAAGACGTCCTTCTTTAACCACATTGGTGTGTTGCTTTTCATTATCAAGTTTAGCTTTTCCAACACCATTCCACGCTAATATTAAACATAAATAATGAATTAACATAACTTGGCCAAATATCCCACAGAGGCAGGCCCCAAACCCTTGAAAAAGACTGCCCCCCCCCCCCCCCCCCTTAAAAAAAGTCTTGAGAATCAAAGATGTTTCGCTGTATAAACAAACGCCGTCGCAATGACATTATCATTGCGGTGACCCCTCTGTCGATGCCTGCCCGTGCGCGGTCCGTGCGGTAGGCGTGAGCAAGATCGTGACGGTGGAGGTCCGGCCGGACGCCCCACGGTGGCTGCGTGTGCGCGACCTCATGGAAGGGGTCACCTACCACTTCCGCGTGTGGGCCAAGACCTTCGCCTTCGGGCCAGAGGCGGACGCCAACGTCACCACCGCACCGCTCGAAGGTGCGAGCCCGGGGATTCATTCCTCCACTGAATATTGTCCGGGTCGCAGGTACACTCGAGTAGGTGTGTAGGTGTGTGTGTGTCAACTCAGTCAGTCGAACCCATGGCACCTGGGTCTGCCCCGTGACGTACTGCCAGCGGGCGTTCGACACTTCACGTGGCCTCAAGGTGCACTTGGCCTGGCACAAGCACCGTGGTGATGTCACCGCCACTTAGTGGCGAATGGCGGTTGTTGTTGTTGTTGTGTGTGTGCACAGTAGTCCCTCGGTTAACGATTTTAATCCGTTCCACGAATACTACTGTCAACCGAAATAACTGTTCATCGAATATACGAATTGCATGAGTCTGCAAAGAGAGCTGTTTACACTGCATCAGCAGAAAACATGTAAACAAAGCCTGCCGAGCTCTAAGCGCTCATGAAACGGCATCCCTGATTGGCTGAGGCGTGGCTCAGCCCACTTAACGAGCGCTCCGATTGGCCAAAATTACCGCCGGCGTGCACAACGTAAACATACCGTTAATAGAAAAACATTAATGTTGGTCCTACGGGAGGAAAAACGTTAACCGAAAAACCGTTAACCCATGTCACCGATAACGGAGGGACTACTGTATGTTGAACTTAATTCGCATCGCACATAGCCAACCGTGCTAATCGGAGGTGCGTGGGGAAGGACAACAAACTGAACACAAAAAGCAGCTCTCAAGAAATTAGTTTCCAATCTAGATTTTAAAGCACGTAGCTCCAGTGGCTTCCTAATATGGGAAGGAAGAACAATCCAGACGGCGCTAGAAGCGCACCTGAAAGCGCGCGATGCAGTGACCGTCTTTGCTCGTTGGTTATCCAATAACCAATTCGATGCATTTGGCTAGCCACGTGGCATGCGGCTAGCGGCCAGAGCCGTGGAGATATGCATACTCTACGTGGTTTGCGGGGCGTGGAGATATTTTCTAGATCTCCGATCTGGATAGGCGTGCCACGGCATGAATCTATAGGCCTAAGTCTATGCGAATCTGCGTGAGTGTATGGGTCTGTATGTGAAACGATGATGGGTGTCTAAGGGTATAGCACTCTACATGAGGTAATGGATCTCTGGGTAAGTCAAGGAATTTTTACGTGAGTCTATGGGGATCTAAGGATTAATTCCTCATTGAATATTCTCCGAGTGGCTGGTAGATGGTCGAAGGTGATATGTGACGAGTATTTGCCGCAGCCACAGTGAGAGATATACTGGATGTGGTGTAGCCGGGTTCATGAATATTCATCCAGGTCACCAATCCGGACAGATCTGCCCCAAATTAAGCAACGTACGATCTCCGGCTATGCGTGGTTTGTGCCGGGGTGGGCCCGCCAAAAATCTCTAGGCCTTTGACCTCAGCTTGACGTGACGCTTTCCGCTGGTGGCCACGGGTTCTGCCAAGGCATAGGGCGACTTGCCACTGCGTTTGTGAAGCTTGACACGGGCTACGTGAAGCTGATATAATTGCGTTAATGTTCGCGTAACCCATCTTGGCAGTTGCTCGCGAAACATTTTTTTGTTATTTTTCTCTCGCTGCATTCTAAAAGGCAAGGGGTGTTTTCTTGCACTTTCATCAGTTCCACGAATATCGCATTGATCAAAAGGGCCACTTTTGTATTGAAAGCTGCTGACACAAGGTCTAAATGTGAAGATAATTCCGACCAGCAGTGCAAATTCAAGAGTTGTGAGCGGTTTGACATTAGACAACTAATGAGGTCTTAACAAAATGCTAGATATTTTTTTAACGATGGATCAGAGCAATCGGTTCTTTTTTGATAAACGTTGATATCGCGAACGAATGTGTTGTTACTCTAATTCCATGAACCTCGTAATTCAGATTTTTTTTTTTTACTTGACTTTCTGGCAGGGCATTTCTGTACTTTTTTGCTCAACTTGAGTCGGCAGCAAATGCAAAGCTGGCACCCTGAAATCGCAGGGCCTATTTAAGCCTTGCCCGAATTCCCGATTGTCAGAATCCTGCACCGTCTTTTGAAATGCATTGTCAATCGTGATAAAATCCAACAAAAAAATGCAGTTGGTGGCAATATTAAATCTTGAGTTTTTATTTAACATTTCATAAGTAACCTTTAATTTTGTCACCGACGCAGCCTAGACCTTTTAGTATTTCAAGGAAGGTCCTACTCAGAAATATTTCTGGAAAAGAGCTGCCCAACTCAGGTGATAACTCAGTTAATTCGGTAGACAATGAAAACGCCACTCTCCTTCCTTTAGCCACCTCGCGTTGACCTTCAAAACAAGCTCTGGGAGAAATCAAGCCTCAATTTTATCCCAATTCTGCTATCAGCATCATCTCCTGAAACAAAAACAAAAGCCCATGCAGATCATTCACAGAGCAGTGTGGCCTTTTGTGTTAGATAACATCCCAAGGAGGCAGATATCACCTCTTCAAATGACCTCTGTTTCACATAGTTGAGGTCAGCACTTTCCCACCCGTTCTGCAAAAAAGATCAAGGTTCGTCACATGACAAAATATAGAAATGTCAATTCTCAGAGCTGAAATTTTGCCACATTAAGCACAGTACCAAGTTGTGTTTTATTTATTTACTTACTTACTTTGATGCGTGTGTGTGCACTCATTAGGGGTGAGTGGTAGTGTCGCGGTTAGCGCGCGGTGCTATGAACCCCGATCACGATCAACACCAGTGATAATTATTTGCACCGGTTCTGGGCCTCCCCTAGGTTGAATCAGCCTCAAATGAGCATCTGTGGTGTGTTAAACATCGCCACAAGCAAGACAAAGGCACACTCGGGTGTGGTGTTGGCCACCCACCACCCTTCCGTATCGCGCTGGCCTTCATAGGTGCTTGCTAACAGCACTTGCCCCAACAGTCTGTTAGGGCTATACGGTCGATCTTTATATTTGTCTTTGCCGTCATTAGTAGCCGGGCTGAAAGTATCAGCATGCTACACTTGGAAACGTGGTTTAATCATGAGGGTGACTTTGAAACTCAGATTCGATTTTCTAGGATCTCAGCGGTGGCAGCTCAACACTCTGACCTCAGAGCCACCCGGCCACCCCTCTCAATGCCTTTTTGATTGCTAGTCCGCACTGCACTTGAATGTACTCTGTCGGGGTATGCATTGGCCTTAACTTTCACACATATATACGCCATAGACTCACTCCAAATTAAAATCAGAATTTCACCACGGTCGGCCGCCTTCGTTCGATCCCAGCTTCTCAGCGGTGACGTAACGTGCTATTTTGCGCAGCATCATTTGCGCAAAATGCATCTCACAGTGGTGCGCAATTTGCAACACGGGCGGTTTTTTTGAACGGGGGCATCGGGAACATCAGACAAGCCAGAAGGAAGGCTGAACCAGCGCTACCAATAATTGGCCAAGCTCTGTGGTCTGCCAATAGGGGTGGGGTGGGGCGATACTCACCATGTGCTATCCCACTTGATCAATTTGTGGGCAATTTCGAATGTGTGGCACATTCGGACCATAACGCTCGCACACAATGAATGACCCGACTGTTGCAAAACACGTCACAGAATCACTGCGAAGTGCAGACGGCGCGTAGTAGTGCCTTGTGGTTAATAACACCCGCGGTAATAACCAGGGTGGCCTGCTGGACTCGAACCCTGAACCTCAGCAACAAGGGGCAAGTGGACTCTGACCTCTGGGTTTGCCCGGCCACCTCGAGGAACTTGTCATTATTGTTTGTGTGTGTGTAGGTTCTCCGGGCCCACCAGGGGCCCCCCAGGTGACCCGCTATGGCACGGACATCACTCTGCACTGGACCGAGGGCGACCCCGGCAGATCTGCCGTCACGAGCTACATCATCGAGGCCCGGCCATCGGGTATGCGTGTCACGTTCACATATACACACACGGGCATATGTGTGTCTCTAATCGTGTGTGTGTGTATATAGTGGGAAGCGGTAGTGTAGCGGATAATGTGCTGCGCTACGAACCTGGCGACCCGGGTTCGATTCCCACTCATGGCCAACACAGGTGACGGTTATCTGAACCTGTCCTGGGCCTCCCCTAGGTCGACTCAGCCTCAAATGAGTACCTGGTGTGGTGGGTAAACATCGCCAGTAGGGAGACAAAGGCAGCCGGGCGTGGTGCTGGACACCCAGCCCCTCGTGTGCCACCCCAACCTTCATAGGTGCACGCTCACAGCACTTGCCCAAACAGTCTGTTAAAAGCTACACGGGGGATCTTTGTCTTTTTTTTGCATGCAAAGGGCAAATTATTTGGTGATGCTTCATTGGCAGTGTTGCACAGTAAACAAAACACTCAACACATTAATACAGAGGCCAGAAACAGGCCCATCGCCTAAAACGTCACCAATGATATATGTTTTGCTTGGAGGTACTGTAGTGCCATTGACTAACACGCTCAGTGTTTTTCATTCCACTGAATGCACATTTCTACCCTACCTATGACGGCCACCAGGTTAACACACACAACAACAACTGCCATTCGCCACTCAGTGGCGGTGACGTCACCATGGTACGTATGCCAGGCCATGTGCACGTTAAGGCCACGTGAAGTGTCGAACACCGGCTGTCAGGAGGTCACGGGACAGACCCAGGTTCCATGGATTGACTGACTGAGATGACTGGCCGATGCACCACTTGTGCCCCCTACTGTGCCACACACACATGCACGTGAGATGTAGCGAGGACACGTCCCGTCCAATGCGCTTCAGCATCCATCGTTCCGCCTTTACGTGAAGAACGGGGCCGTGCCGGCCAAGTAGCGCTGGCTCCCTCCTGGCTTCAAAAGCTGCAGTCCTCATCCATTGGCTGAGCAAGGATGACCCCATCGGTGGATGAGAACTGCCTCCTAGTGGCCAGCGTTGCCCATGACCTCTTAACTGCCACAAATCCTCGCTCCTCGCCGCCAGGTGTTCCCAGAGCTAGGCTTTCGTCAAGAGCGGCAGCTTACTTTGCCCCCAAAACGTGGATGCGGATGAGATCCCTACGGCCTACAAAAGCGATCAGTCTGGAGAGCGGCGTAAGGCCTAATGTAATCTTGTGCAAGCCTTGGGAGGGAGGGGTGAGGAGCGAGCGGGCGGGGGAGGTTAAACACGTACACTCTGGGCCAGGCTAAGCCAGAGAGCATCCGGCTGACGGATGATGCAGTGAACTTGCCCCGTGGTCGATGGCTCAAGGGCAGTGGTGGAGGGAGTTTGCCGCAGCAGTCATAGAGAGAGAGACGCGGGAGAGGGGAGAAGCCACTGGGCACCCAAACGGCCAAGTTGCAGAGAAATGTATTAAATAGATGCGTGGTGCCGATCTATCGAGCTGTACCAAGCCAGGCCGGGCATGTGGAATTTTACAAATGCTGGTCTTTGTTGTATGTGTTACTGAGTGTGTCTGTGGTGTGTGTGTGTGTGTGCGTGTCGTTTGGGGAGTGGCCCTGCACGCTGTGGGTTTGATCACTAACCATGGCTAACATCAGTGGCGAGTGATGTCTGAACCAATTCAGAGCCTCCTGTAGGTCGACTCAGCCTTAAACGAGTACTTCGTTTGGTGTAAGTATCAATACTGGGGAGACAAAGGCGGTCAGACGTGGGTGTTGGCCACACCTCCTGCTCATATCCCGTGCCAGCCTTAATAGGTGCTCGCTAACAACACTTGCTCCTACAGTCCGTTAAGGCTATAGCCAGCATAAGTATATGATGCACACAACACCTCAACATAACTGCACCTTCGAATGACTAAAGTTTGCGTGCTGCGTGTGCAAATTATGTACGCGCGTACAATAAAATCACCGACGAATAAGAAAAGGCTGCTACTACATTAAGCACACATTTGCGTGTGTCTGTGCGTAATGAAGACGCGGGTGTAGGCGTGCAGCCAGGTACCCCGAGTTTGTGAACGCTGACGAGCAGAAAAGCGACCGCAGCAGAGCAGGAAATCATCGCGTCGCGTTTGCACGTCCAAGGCAGGACCCGCGTGATTAATTATCTCCCCGTGCCATGTTTCTCCTTGCTGCAGCTCTGTGGCATTTCCCTCCTCACTTTTTAATTTGCTTACGTAACTCTGCCATGGAGTATGTATGCACGATGAACATAATTCGCGCCGTACGTAGCCAACAGTGCTAGTAGGAGGTGCGAAGGAAGGACAACAAACTAAACACAAAAAGCAGTACTAAAGAAATTCGTTTTCAATCTAAATTTAAAAGTGTACATAGCTCCGTTGGTTTCCTAATATCAGAAGGAAGAGCGTGCTAGACGGCCGTAGACGTGCACCTGAAAGCGTGCGATGGGACGACCGTCTTAGTTCGATAGCCCAGTCAAAAGCCGCTGCTGCGAGGATGACCGGAGTTCGCGTGGCGATGGATTATGCTCCTTGACGAGATCCTCAAGGTATTGTGGTCAATTTGTGGCAAGCACCTTGTGTGCCTAATTAGTGCGATGCAATTCGAGCTGAGTGAGTTTGGCTTGGGGCAAGACGACGTCGCTCAGAAGGGGCCGATGGTTTCGGTGGGCAAGATAAGTGACGGAATGGCTGCCAAAGAACGGAGAGCGCGAGAGGGGGGGGAACGTCCGCCGAGGAGACGGAGCGAGACTGGAATCGGCTCCTGGTACGCACGTGGGCTAATCTGGACAGTCGCATCGCAGAACCGTGGGTGGGGTTGGCGACCATTTAGGTTAGGCATTCATGTGGCAGTAGACCCATTATGGTTGATGATGATGATGTCGGCCTCCGTAAAAGGCATCCGTTAAGTGCATTCAAACAAACCAATGACGGTGTTGAAGCTGAACAAATGAAGAAAATTGCGACCAACAGCAACTTGTAAATGCGGCTGCATCTGTAGAAAAATGAGATCAGGAGGTTTATGTGAAGGGGGGGGGGGGGTTGGTTGTGATGTATGCGAATGTGTGGGACACATTGTTTAGTTTTTATGATGCAACGCTGCTGTTTATTCACAATGCGAATAGCAAGAGACAGGGCGGCATTCTGACTCAATGGAAAAATTGTTTAAATCTGCAACCTCTGTGTGACCGGCGGCGGTGCATTGCTGAAATTCATGTCATTCTGACTGTTAATTATAGATTGTTACTGGACAACAACGTTCAGTTGTGAGCTGAGCCGAGAGACAAGAGGAAGCTGATTGTGCCACCAAACTCCCTCCCCTCCACTCCTCCCTTCGTCCAACTTTCTCGCTGCTATGCAAACCATCGCAGTGCCTGCACAGAGCAACAGAAGCAGCTCCCTATTACGGCTGAACGATTAATCGATTTAAAATCGAAATCGCAATTTGAAACAATGCGATTATGAAATCGCAAAGGCTGCGATTTTTTTGCGATTTGAAAAGTCCTATTAATTTCTTATTGGAATTGTTTTAGTTTGTAGTATTATAACTTTATTTATTTAACTTAACAATTGATCTATGTTTGATTGTTTTATTTCAGTTCAAACATTTTAATAAATACATGTTGGAAGCAATTCATATCTTTTAAGTTCTCATCTTTGCATTAGAATATATAGAGCAGTTCATATTTTGATGGTATCATGTGGTAATGCTCCAATCACATGTTTTAAATCTATTACACAGTGAATATTGAACTGAAGCTTGACTTTAAAAAATGTAATCGCAAATCAAATCGCAATATCTGTCAGAAAAATCGCAATCAGATATTTTCCCCAAATCCTTCGGCCCTACTCGCTACCCAGAGTCCCTTTCATGCGCAGACACTGGGCCCGGGCCGCCGCTACCCACCCCCAAACATTTCCGCATGCACTTCACGTCCGCGAGCACGGGGGGAGCAGCGGCACGCAGGTTCAGCAGCCGCCGAGTGTCGTGGATGGCCCAGACACGCGGATGGCCCAGACACGTGTCTGAGCCGGGTGCAACATTGTTTTGATGCGGCTCGGAGATGGCCACGTGAAAGATTTGTTAGATTTGGCGTAGAGGACGGCCACGTAATTTTGTTGGCGCAACAAAAAAAATCACGGGCCGCTTTTGAGCCCGCGTTTTTCGACCTTCAACGAGGTGACGCAAATGCTGCTGACGATTTGAGCCGTTAAATAACCCCAGTAGCGTAGGAGCAGGGGAAGAGAGTAGTAGCGTTAATTTAATGTACTTATAGTGCAGTAGAACTCCCCTTATCCGTGACGATGCAGGGGGGTAGACTTCATGGATAATTTCGATTTAAAGCTTTCGTGACTGCAGGGATTCATCTTCTTGGTTCTTTCGGTAAAGTCACGTAGAAGGGAAATAATAAAATAATAAAAATAAAACATCATAAAATAATAAAAATAAAACATAATAAAATAATTCTCACGACGTTTCGGCCACAACGTAAGCAGCCGTCACCTGAGGACGTGGATAATGTCTGTAATGTAACTCATATCTACCAGGAACCAGTGTGGCCGTGCCCTTACATCGCGATCTGTGAGCCAAAGCGACCTCATTCACTCTCACAGAGGTCTGAGCTAAAGCGACCTCATTCACTCTCACAGAGATGTGTGAGCTACAGAGATCTCCACTCACTCTCATCGAGATCTGTGAGCTACAGAGACCTCCACTCACTCTCATAGAGACCTGTGAGCCAAAGCGACCTTATTCGTTGCCATAGAGATCTGTGAGCTAAAGCGACCTCATTCACTCTCATAGAGATCTGAGAGCTAAAGCGACCTCATTCACTCTCATAGAGATCTGAGAGCCAAAGCGACCTGATTCACTCTCATAGAGATCTGTGAGCCAAAGCGACCTCATTCACTCTCATAGACATCTGTGGGCTAAAGCGACCTCATTCACTCTCATAGAGATATCTGAGCTAAAGTGACCTCATTCACTCTCATAGACATCTGTGGGCTAAAGCGACCTCATTCACTCTCATAGAGATCTGAGAGCCAAAGCGACCTCATTCACTCTCATAGACATCTGTGGGCTAAAGCGACCTCATTCACTCTCATAGAGATCTGAGAGCCAAAGCGACCTCATTCACTCTCATAGAGATCTGTGGGCTAAAGCGACCTCATTCACTCTCATAGAGATCTGTGGGCTAAAGCGACCTCATTCACTCTCATAGAGATCTGAGAGCCAAAGCGACCTCATTCACTCTCATAGAGATCTATGAGCTAAAGCGACCTCATTCACTCTCATAGACATATGTGGGCTTAAGCGACCTCATTCACTCTCATAGAGATCTGAGAGCTAACCAATAACAACTGAGAACTGCCTACGTGTTAAACCGTCCACGGTTGGACACCCCTAACTTCCCATGTTTGGCTGCACCTCTGTCGAGGACCAAGGGCCCCTCCAGTGGGAGATTTAAATCGTTTCGTAATTTTGGGCATAAAAGAGGAGAGATTCAACATCTCTCTCACACGCCAGCACTTGGGATCGAATTCTGCCAGCCATTGTCCGTTGGGCTCTCTCTCTCTCGTCAGAGACGTGGGGCCGTGGGAGCTACTCCCCTCATCATTAGAGGAAACCCTTCCCTACCACCCCGACTTGCTCCCCCCCCCCCACACTCCTCCCCCGAGTGCTCTGTAGGAGTCCTTATAAAGGCATGCGAGCGAGGGAGCGAGTAAGGGAGCGAGCGAGCGGCACGCATTGTGTGCAGACCGTTACGCATCGGCTCGGGATTATTTAGTGCTGGAACCTCCCCCGAAATCCACCCCCACCCTGCGTCGATCGCGGCGCCCCTGTCATCGCGGAAAGTTTAATGCCCAGCGGTTTCTCGGTTCTCTGAGGTCCGGATATGTGGGAGCACTTTAAGCTGCGCGTGGGGCCAGGGCCGCTGGATGCCGATCGCGAAGATAAATAAATGCTGTGCGAAATTACTGGGGAAAGAGAGGGGCAAAATGAAACGCCACGTATAAACTATGGCCTGGTCTTCCGATGTGTCTTCGGGCTGTACCACGTGTTGGTCGGTAAGGTTGTCCGACGTTTCGCTTCGTGCGCTGGGGAGGAGGACGACTTTTTTTTTGCGGGAACTGATGAAGAACGAGTTCTCAAAAATAAAACTCCCGGTACGTGGAGCGAAACGGCAGACATAGTGCCGAACGAGACGCGGTACAACCCGAGAGCCAATTGGATAGCATTTAATGACCTGAACTCAGTTGCCGAAGAAGCTCCCCGTACGCAGAGTGAAAACATCGGTACATCGTGTCGGCCCAAGTTTCTTTTGTCTTTTCCTTGCACCTCGGATCAGCACGGCTGTCTACGTACTGTGCAAAATAAGTGAAACACAAGACATACATCCGTACGTACGGAGAGTTACTCGGCGCAACCGGGACAAATCCTACGCAGTGGAATTTCTGGCTCACTGTGCCAGGCTTTGACCGTGCCCCAAGCGTCCCCGGCCATCGGCAGACCCACGCACAGTCGATATGAGGCGCGTGCCCTCGGGTTGATGATGGAAGAAAAAAAACCCAAGCTGTGGGTCGCTGCTTGAGAGCGAGAAAAAATAAACGGGTGACGAAAAAAAGAAAACAAATAAAACGGCAAAAAAACAACGCGAGAAAACATTAAAAAAAAATTTAAAAACCCGAGCAACAGGAAACATTAACGAGGCATTCTTTCTGCACTTGGGGATATTTTTAGCCAGTGTCGCCTAAACCGGGCCGCATATTTTTTTGCGCGGCACCCGTTAATCACTCCGTAAACATTTCTTTCGCGATGAGGTATTTAATATGCTCGTGGAGGCTGCGAGAAATTGGCCCGTAATAATGTCGTGATGTGGAGAGCCGCGTTCTCAATTGCTTTTAGATGGCTTCCCTAACCGCCGCGCGTGCATTCCTGATTAAATTGTAATTAGCCGCCCGTAATCGTGTGCGTATCTGAAAATGAGTCGTTATCGCATTTTCGGCGACGCAAGGTCAACCTCCCAATCCAACCCCCAACCCCCCCGTGTCGTCCGTGTGACACCTCTGGAAGCTTCGCCACTGCGCAGATGGTGCCGCGTGAGGCACCTTCAGCCTCCTGCTTTCCGATGTCGCTGACCAGCGGCTGAATTAATCGCTTTACCGATCCGCGTTTTTACATGCAGCGCCCCTTGCAATTAAATTTGTCCTCAGAAAGTGCCGCGAGACATATATATATTTTACGAAATACATATATATACGCACATATATAACAATGGGAAATCGTGAACAAAAGATAATTGCTTCTCATTCAAAATGCAAATGATGAGTAAAAAAAAAAGTCTCCAGTCAAAGTGATGTCATGCTCAATGTGCACTGAGGCATTGGTGCTCATCTTCTGCCTATAGCCCTGAGCCAGTGGTGGCAACTTCCTTGGATATGTATTCATCCCGGAGGGATGATGGGCCGAGTCTATCCCCAACCAATGTTTTGTCTCGCGACCTTGCGATTGCAAGCCACTCATTTGAAACCACCAGGTCAGGTAAACAGGTATATTCTTCGATTTAAAGCTTTCGTGGCTGCAGGGATTCATCTTCTTGGTTCTTTCGGTAAAGTCACGTAGAAGGGAAGTAATAAAATAATAAAAATAAAACATAATAAAACAATTCTCACGACGTTTGCGTTGTGGCCGAAACGTCGTGAGAATTGTTTTATTATGTTTTATTTTTATTATTTTATTACTTCCCTTCTACGTGACTTTACCGAAAGAACCAAGAAGAGGTATATTCTTGCTTTGACTACAACAATCTTAAAACACAGGAACAGCAACATTTGAAAGCACTATATACCTATGATTCCTGAATTGCTTTTTGCCTTGAACAGAGCCCCATTATTTTTGGAGTGCCATTACCAATAACATCTGGTAACTCGGGCGCATTTCTTTAAAAAAGCTGACTGCTGATGAGACGAAAAATGTTGAAACCAGTCCAGAGTTGGCTTGCATGAACAACTTCTGCCGGTCAGCGTACTGCGCTGCGATTCCAGCGACCCGAGTTCAATTCCGTGCTTAAAGCAAATAATAGTGGCGAATATTTGAACCAATTCTTGGGCATCCGCAAGATCGATGCAGGCTCAAACGAGTAGCCGGTGTGGTGTGTAAGTAAACATCAGAACTGGAGGAGACAAAGGTAGCCGAGCGTGGTGCTGATCATACATTACCCTCACGTACTGTGCAGCCTTCATGGGTGCTCGCTAACAGCACTTAGCTCAGCATTCTGTACAGTTATTTTTAGGTATCTTGTGTGAACATCACCATCTTCATACTCGTGTTAATTAATTTTCTTGTTGTGTCCATAAGTACAAAAAGTAATGCGAGGATGCTGTTCTAAAACTTGAAATAAGTTTACATTAGTCAGGTCAAATCCTTGACCTTCCCCCCACCATAGGAATGTGGAATTTCCAACCCGGGCCAATGGAGATGAGCACTGGTCCATTGTTTGCTTTAAATCACCAGAGACTGTGACTTTTGTGTGTGGGTGCGTGTAGCTTGCCTCGGTTTCAGTTTACGGCCAAGAGTTAGATTCCACCTCTGGCCTTCGTGCTTTTGGGCTGATCTTTTACGCGAGCTGTCGGTTTTAGTTCTCAGCGTGGTTGGGTTGCCCGTGGGAATTGGGTAAAGTTATACATTCCCCACCCCCCGCTTCAGGCGTACTATACTCTCCACTTGAAAAATATTTTGTGCAATGACACTCAACGCTCACAAGCCCATATTCACTTAATTGCACCGCTCGCAAAGCGGCAGGGGGATAGAGAGAGCAATATTAATCAAGTTAAGAATTGTAAAAAAAAATTCAAAAGGGTGGAAATTATTTTGATTTAAAATATGGGGGCACTCATTATCGAAGTGAAAAAAAAAAAATCTAATTCAGATATGTGGCAAATTGATTCGTGCCTCGACGCGAAATTCCTTACGACACAGGTTCCTAAATATGCTGTGAAATATTACGCGCCGTTTAATCAAAGTTTAACAGCGCAGTTGGGTGAAAAAAAAGTCATAAAAAACATCATTACTAAATTTCGCCCACTTTTTTTTTTCACTTTCAAACAAAAGTTCGGCCTACCATGCCACGGGCATGTTTGATGCGTCTCGCTCGCAGATGAAGGCCTCTGGGACATCATCGCAAAGGACATCCCCAGCGATGCCTACTCGCAGTCCGTAAGCGCCACGCTGCTGCGTCACGGCATCAGCTACAACTTCCGCGTGTCAGCTCTCAACCGCTTCGGATGTGGCCTGCCCAGCGAGCCATCCCAACCCATCTCCGGTGAGCTGGCCCCGCACCCCCATGTCATTCCGGCGTAGAAATGCCGTGTCGGGCTGCCCCCCTCATTCCTCCGTTCACTTTGTTGCAAGTCTGCGTCGAACAACAGCACGGGATCTTTAACGTCCACTGCGAAGAAGTCGGCGCATCTTCTTGGTTCTTTCGGTAAAGTCGCGTAGAAGGGAAATAATAAAATAATAAAAATTAAACATAATAAAATACAATTCTCACGACGTTTCGGCAACAACGCAAGCAGCCGTCCTCAGGTGAAGAACAGGTCTGTCGGAAAGACAGCGTCTACGTGACTTTACCGAAAGAACCGAGAAGATGAATCCCTGCAGTCACGAAAGCTTTAAATCGAAATTTAAGTCGGTGCATGTGTTACGATCCGTACTCCCGCAGTACGTACCGGTTGCAGCCGTTGCACTAAAACCAAGAACCTCTGCAATGGGCAGCCATGGTCACCGCCCAATTGTGCATGTGACGCAATGTCATAGGGCAAGAAAATAAAGAAAAAGAATATCTCACAATACCAGAAGAGAAAAGAACTGCATGTGAATGTATTGCTTTGAGTGGTTGTGGACACTTTTAATGTCCCAGGAATACTTACACATTTCGCAGGACAGCAGCTGCCTCAAAACCAGGACATGTGGCAACCCTAGCCGGAGACCGGGAGCAGAAACGGTGGCGGCTGGCGGCCTCAGAGGAGAGAGCGCCACAAATTAATCCTCTGGTTAATCCTGCCAGGTTGCTGTTCCAGTGTGCCAGCACCCAGGTGGCAGTTGGCCCGAAATCAGGCAGCAAAAAAAAATCCTCCTGGCGAATACGAAGCTGTCAGCGATTCGAAGTTTGTGGGGGTTACACCAGGAAGGCATTCTCTAGGTAGCAAGGGCTATCAGCCTGTGTCAGTGAGGGCCACTGGAAGGTGATGTCACAGATCTGAATAACTGACTAACTTACTTTTTTATTTTTACCAGGTAAGGCCCACTGAGCTATATAGCACTTTTTCAGTCAAGTACTCAAAACTCATGTTTCTAAATGTGGTGGGAAAAACCTGAGGACCCCGAGAAAAATCCACGTGACCATGGGGAGAACATGCAAACTCCAAATATACAGGCGTCAGGGTCGGAATCGAATCCACGACCTCGTGCATACCAGGCGACGGAGTTAACATCTCGCCACTTGAATCGGACTCTCTATCCACTCATTTCAAATGTATTTTGTTTGACCAGGTGAGAGCTCAAGGGGCAAGGATAAAGTCTCATCTCTAAGAGTTTACCTGCATCACCAAATTTTAGCACGAAACAAAATCTGAACAAAAACAATACAACTGTTTCACACGAAGAATTGGACATATTTGTAGTTTGAGGAGTGTTCGTTAAACCCTAAGTGTAATCTTTTATTTATTTCAAAGTATTGAATGATCGCATTGATTACCAACTTTCTCTCACTTTTGACCAGTCGCTCACATTGCCACATTCGTGGGCGATTACCTAATATCAGTAAATTATATGAAAAAATAAATGGTCATAACTTTGTCTGGTCGGAGATGGGAGATCATTATCCCAATATTTGAGCCTCGAGGCTGAATATTTCCTGTTATAAAAAGTTTCAGCTCAGGATTGGATGTACTTGATTTCCCCCCAAGCATATTCACCTAGGCTCGATGTGCCAGACCCATTAATGAGAACGGGCCATGAAATTGACTTTCAGACGTACTGACCTCTAAAACACGTAGCCACCTCCACATGTTTGCTTGTCCTGTTCGTATGCTTGAGAACACTTCCTCCCATCGCTCCCCAATGAACCTTCGGGTTTGTACCGCGTGTTATTCCGGCACGTCCGACGGTTTCGCTCCACGCACCTTAAAGCTTCGCTCTCGCGAAGAAAAGGGAAACTCCCAGCGAAACGTCGGACGTCGTACCAAACTACTACTGGTGGGACACCACACGAGAACACGTGGGAAACAGCGGTGCAGTGCAGTGCGACCGCGAGACCCTACGCAGCGGCCGTGGCTTCAACCGCGTCGTGCTGTCGGTCCCGTTGTCGCGTTTTCTCAGCGGTGCACGACGCGGCGTTCTACGACGAGTGGTGGTTCCTGGTGGTGGTGGCGCTCAGCGGCCTCATCCTCATCCTGCTGCTGGTGTTCGTGCTCGTCATCCGGGGTCAGAGCGGCAAGCACGTGCGGCGCACCAGCTCCGGTATCTCGCCCAGCGACACCCCACCCCTCCGCCCACCTCATCGAGCCACGCTCTCGTCGTCATCACGCCGCGCCGTAGTGGCCTTGGCAGCGTCGTCACGTCGCAGCGTCGTCGTAACGTCGTCACGTCAGAACGTCGTCGCATGGTCACCGAATCGCATTTCTTCTTCGTCTCATTCTTTCTCATGGCGAGTGTTGAAAAGAAAAAAAGCGGCGGGGCTACGATTGTGTTGTTAATGTTGTAGGCCATTCTGTGGCACCCGGCCTAATAGAATTGCTTTTTGTGTTTAGTTTGTTGTCCTTCCTCCGCACCTCCGATGAGCACGGTTGGCTACGTATGGTGCGAAAGAAGTTCAACATACATACACCCGCCCGACGGCTGCTGTCCATGTGCCACATGGTGTCTGAGTGGAGACCACTCTAACAGGCGTGCTGTATTGGGCAGTCATCAGTGATATGACTGATGGTTTGCACGTCACAGAAATCTCAGTTTGGCGAGACGTGAATTCACGGAGGAAATGTCCACACCTTCTTCCATGCGTTAATTCGGACACACGGTTGAGAGCGATCTCCGCCGTCATCGTCGCAGAGAGAAACCATCGCATTGCCACGTGATAACATCGTCACACCTTTGCATCGTTGCCATCGCGTCATGATATGGTCTGGTTATTTTATCATCGCTGTCACGTGCACGTCACATCGTCCCAGCATCGAGTTCGCCAGCCTGTCGCCGTGTCACGTCGTTAGAGCGTCACGTGACATCCTCACATCATCACATCGTTGTCACACGCCGAGCTGCGATGTTCTACAAAACCACCTTACGTGCGCCACAACGGGAAACTGCGTACACCACCTCGACACTGATTTACTGCGTAGGCTTTCACGACCAATATAATGATTCATAATTGCTTTTTTGGGGGGCTGGGGTTAGGTTGTGTAAATAGAATGCGTTGACAACCTGAGGAAACTGGATTCTCGAATAAATGCAACACGTTTGATGCAAGTGAGCGTTTGTGAAATGGACCGTTTCGGGAGGAGGAGGGTTCACGACACTCGTTTCATTTCCACGACCTGACTCTAAAGGAACGAATAATGAATCATACTTTGACACTGTTCGTCATCACATTGTAATTCATTTTGTCATAATAACATATATTTTTTAATCGGGCACCCTTTACTTCGAGAAACCTTAAGAGCTTTTTTACACGGGACAAGCCACTTACATCTCATCTCATCAACACATTTGAAAGGTCACCCGCCCGGTAGCTGCTGTCCATGTGCCACACAAGGTGACTCAGCACGTGGCCTGCAATCGGTCATTAAGTCTTCCAGAGGGGGGGGGGGCTATGATGGCTACTTGGTCTCGACGAGGGGGACCCCCAGTGGCAGCTGTTCCTTTGCTGCGCAAAGTGACTCAGCACAAGGGCCTGCAAGCGGGCATCGGCCTGCCAGTAGGTGGCTGCGATTTCCGCTGTGTGCATAATCCCAGTCGAGCAGACGAAGGAACCTTCCACGTGCTGCGGCATGACATACCCCCCTCCCCATCAGCAGGTCTGAGCGCCAAGCCAGGCACGCTGGGCCACGAGGAGATGGTGAGCCTAGACGAACGCTTCGCTGCCAGCCTGGAGTTAAGCGAGCGGCGCCTGCCCGTCAAGAACTCCTTCTGCCGGCGCAACGGCATGCACACGCGGTGAGTGCCTCTCCTCGTGGGTGGTGTCGCCACGTGCCCCGGGGGCTACGACCGCGGTTGCCCCCTCCCGCCGCCCCCCGTGAGATCGTGACACTCGCCCCGCGTGGGAGCGGTTTGCGAGGGATCACGCCGTCACTGCCACCACGCCAGCCGTTCGCCTGTCAGGAAGGTTTTTTTTTCCAGGATATTCTTGGGCAGTCTCGAACTGGCGAGTGTCACCGGTATTGTCACCGTGCAGCAACCCAAGTTTCCTCGCAGTCTTGCATTCAAGGCCCGGAAGACACGAGGCCAAGGTCAGGGCTGGGAGTCTTTTTTGGGTCAAACGTAGGGTCAATGCCACCGGCAAGGCCAAAGTCAAGGTCAGTGTCAAGGTCAGGGTCAAGGTCAAATTCAGGTCAAGGTCAAATCCTCTCGGACGTTGATGAGCTACAGTTAACAAAGCTCACGTTGCAGTCTCAAAACTGCCCAATACTTGGAAACACTCAACAACTAATAAATTACATCTAATCAACCTGATTAAAACTACATCTTGGGAAAACAATCTTTACGGAGTTTTTTTTGCAATTAAAATGAGTAGCCAATTTATGTATATTTTAATGAAATAAAATTTTATGAGAATTTACACTACAGAAGACGGCCCAGGTTTCCCTTGCAAAAGGGGTCCTCAAGAGTTATAAACGGCTCCATATTTCGTTCTTTCATCTCCTGGTTCAATAACGAATACTGCTACCCGCTACCCCCCCCCCCACCACCACCCCGAAGGCCAGGGCCACTCACGAGAGCTGAGAAAATGTCCTTGAGTCGACCTTGAGGGAGAGGACTGCTTTCTCACTCCCGCCACGGCGCGGCATGAACGCACGGAGGGCGGTCAGGCGGGCGTCGGAGCAACCGTGGTTTCCCCCCCCCCCCCCCCGCAGAGCCCCCTTTTGCTCTGCAACGCGAGCGCCGGGCGTGAGGATTGGGGCCGTCTGTGATTTTCCGCATCGCTTAACGCCGGTGGTAATGCAATTGCAATGCCGCGTGCGCGCGTCTGCGCGTGTAAATCTGGAAGCCTTCTGATAAGCTGGGCTATCGCCGTATAGAAGTTTTGTAGCAGGAAGGGGGTGTGGGGGGGGGAAGCGTATATACTATCTGCTGCAACCGCGCATTCAAAGAACATCGCATGACATCAGTGGGGAGGCTGGGGATCTCGAAGGAAGAGGCGATGCGACCGCTCTCCGTTGTGCAACGAATCGCAGCGTGGCCGCGCGTATTTGACTTGGCGTAATAATCGGCTAATTTCGCCGCTAAGTTACCCAAGTGAACGTTGTTTGTCGTTCCGTGGGCCAGTGCTTTAGTTGCAACCGCCTGGTTGGAGCTGTCTAATGAGACGAATATAGAGTTATTAGCATTTCATGGATGAGTGCGTTCATTTCTCAAATTCACCGTTTGCTGTGGTAGCATTTTTTGATAAATTTCATCCAACAAACGTGTAGATTATGGTGGCGTGATTGCACAGTGGTTAGCGCAGCCGTGTTGTGAACCCGGCGAATTGATCTTCATTACCGGCCATGGATAATTCCATTGGGGGCGCATTTGCCACTTTTTTGCAGAGGTTCGCGATTCGAATATAGCGGCCGCCCTGATGAATACCGCCGGTGTATTAACCGTATTCACTTTGGACGTTGGGGATCTTGTGACATCATTCCCAAGATTAGGCCTAGGCAATTGTGTGCCAGCATCTTGGTCCAAATCGGAAAGTAATGACCCGCAAAGTTACTCAAATGACTACATCGGAATGTACATCGTAATTATCGCCCTCTTCTGTGAAAAACCTTGGCAAGGTTTTCCTGAAAAAGAGTAATGAGACTCAGTGATGCTTTCATAGGTAAACAAACGTAGTAATGATAATACATTGTGAGTGGCACCTGAACAGGTTCTGGGGCCTCCCATCATTCACCAACCCAGACTGACCATGAGTGACATGGCATAGGGAAACCTTCATAGAGCAGTGGATTTACAAAGGTCTGTTCATTATGCATTATTATTATTTTGCAAAAAAACTATACCGGTAAACACAAGAGTAACACACGTACATACGTACGTATATACATAGATAATACAGGGTTTTTTTTGGGTTAGCTCGCGTGAATATAAATGTGTCGTTAAATCCGCCACTACCCGACACAGCCAATTAGTAAGGTTTGTCATGTAAACAGAACGTGGCCAATTCGTCACTAGCACAGCACACCGGTGTGTTGGAGAGAAAATCCACAAAATTTACAAGCTGAGTACGACTTTTCGCCAGTAATTACAACTAGCATCATCAGGCGGACAGCCAAATCTGGCGGGTTTAACGACACATTAATATTTACGCTAATCTAACCCATAAAAATCTGTATCAATGATGATATTGGTCACGAAAGCCTACATGTCAAACCGTCCGTACATAGAGTACGTGGATTCCATATCATCGTAATCCGTCCCGTATCTTGACATACTTGGACGTAGATGCACGCAGACAAGACACGCGGAAAAGGCATGCATAAAACAGCAGTGCAGTCATAAAACTGGTGGAGGCCGTTTGACCACGAGGGGCCGATTCTGAACGGCCGTAATTCATTTTGGATTCCTTTCCATCAGTCCATGATTTGCCGCATTCTTTCCATCGAGGGAATTTTAAATTGACTGAACACAGCCCCGCAAAAAACGAAAGCCTCTCAAACTGAACTGACGTACACCCAGGGCTTAATTTTCGGCCGACTCTTGGCCTGGGGGGGTCACCGACCCGGAGAGCAATTCCACACGCAGCACACCACATCCAGTATACATTCTCAGCAGGGCCGGATTCATGCAGGGGCTTTCGCGTCGGCAACCTGTGGCCTTGGCTTTTGAGGGGTCCTCGAAAGAATGTACACGGTTTAGAGTTGTTGAAACACAACACTGCACTGGAGCACTTGTTGGTAATTATAATTATTAAAGCAGTTGCATCGAAATGTGAATTACTGCCAGTTCTATCGCATTTTAAAAACCGGAAATGAAACATTACCCAGGGGTAAATAACGCGACGCAGTGTTTGCCATCGGCCATGGGTGGCGGGGAAAAACAGAGAAGGGGAAGTAATTGAAAATAGAAAGAGGGCCCCTCACAAAAGCATAACAGCCCCGGACCCCCCCATCAAACATAATCTGGGCCCCCCTCTCTCTCTCTCTGTCACGTGATCATGGCTGTCGCTCACGAGTCACGTGGCCACCTATTCCAGTCAAGTCGACCGGTAGCCCAGAAACTACTGAGTGGGAAACCTCTGAGCCCTGAGTACACCTGGAAAGCACCTCGACACTGATCAGGCTCCCCGCGGTTAATGAGCATCAGGCTTTTAAACCGAGAGATTGCAAACATGAAAAATCCACGCGAATACGTGGCCTCCTGCCATGAGATGAATTTAACCTTGTATGCGATTGCGTGCAATTAGCCATTTACATCTGTTTGCATTTATGTGTGTGTAAACAGCGGTTGTAATGATAGTTCACATACACGAACCAGTGCCCCCCCGCCCCCCACCACAAGGGGAAGAGCTGCCTAAGCTCCCTTAAGCTGTCTAATTATTTCCTGTTGGAGTTTACTACACAGAGACAAAGACCCCCCGTAGAGCCGAAGCAGACTTGGGGCAAGTGCTATCAGCTAGCACTTTTGATGGCCGGCAGAACACACGAGGAGATGGGTGGCCACCACAACCCCCAGCCGCCTTTGTCTCCCCAGTGCTGATGTTTAGACACTGCACCAGATACGCATTTAAGGCTTAGCCGACCTAGGGGAGGACAAAGACCGGTTTAAATATTCGTCACGGTTATTGATCGTGAGAAGGAATCGAACTCGGGTTGGCCCGGTTCAAAGCGTAGCGCGCTAACCACTGAAGCACCACTCTCCCACTCAACAGCAACAACAACGATGACAAAACAGCTGCCATTCGCCACCAAGTGGCGGTGACGTCACCACGGTGCTTATTGCCAAGCTGTGTGCACCCTTAAGGCCGCGTGAACTGTCGAACGCTCACTGGGCAGGAGGTCGTGGACAGACCCCCCCCCCAGGTGCCGTGGGTTGACTGACGGAGGTGATCCGCGCGTGCGCTCGGTCGGCCAGACAGCGGACATCCGAGGCACATTCCCAAGTTCAGTGCGATGGTCCACATGCGTCGATTGTGGGAAGCAATGTACGTGCACCTGCGCAGGCAAAGTTAAGTCAGGTCACTGCTCAACGAGGATCGCTGCCCCACTCCGCGCAAGCGGGTCGTGGGGGCTATTTTACCGCTGATTCACCACGCCGGTCAGTGCGGGTGTTGAAGGTGGGGAGCAGAGCCACGGGAGCATAGAATTACGGTACAACAATGAATTTGTTTGCACTGCCCACCACCTGGCCTAACAACCTGCCCATCCAAGGGCCATCCAAGGCGCAACCCTGCTTAGTTTCAGGCATCTGATGATAAAATGTGGGGAGCAAATCCACCACCACACACAGAAAGGAGTAACAATTAGGAGCCTCCACAGACATATCAAATAGATGGATTCAAGCATCCGTTTCTGACCTGCCGTCCCCTGGGCCACCCTTGCATCGTCAGTGTCATTGTCCAGGCTAGCAGAGAATTGTGGGACTCTGGATGAGATGGATAAGCTGCAGATGTGGGGTCCCATCTGCCAGCAGTGGCATGAGCCACTGCTGGCAGTGGCTCATGCCACGGGGGGCCCATTAGGCCACGCAACCCTCAGTGACGGTGACTCGGCTTAAGCGAATGTAACCATTCGACATGAGAAAGTCAGCAGTGTTTGTCAGGGGTGATTGACTACGGGGTGTCTTTTGTAGAAATGTATCCTGGGGCTCGTCGACACATCAACTATACGGTCTTTTTCTTATTTGCTCATTAAGCATATGAAAATACATTTTCGTTTGATTTTCTTTGCAAAAAAAGTCCATCAAACTTGTACGCTTCATCCAAAGGAGAATAAAACGAATTAAAACTGTTTAAT